CAAGACCAACAGAAGTATAGTTTTCAATTTTACTTCATTCTTTTTTCGATGCATTTTATGCAAAATCATATTTTGAATAAGTTGATGCTGAAATATCACATACCGGTATGCTGTCCTTTGAACGAAAAAGTTCTACCTTATCATAAGCTAGTTATATATCGGGTTAGTAACATATAGTTGGTTACGGTGCAATTGTTCCATATTTTCTTTCAATAAAGTCTAATTTCACAGGTCACAAATTAAAATTTAGGGAAAGTGGTGATTAAATTTGGTAGTTTCATTAGAATGTTTCTTCAGCATCCAGAGGTTGAAAGGGTCTTAAATTTTCAACCTCTAGAATTTACCTATATCGGGTCGAGTGCCAAAAATCATAATCAGCATCCAGTAATTTTGAAATGTTGAAAACTCGCTATCAAAGATCAAAAACTACCCTAAAAATCTTTTGGAATGTTATTGTTAATGTTGCATTTCGTCATTTTGAGACCGTTTTACCGAGATTTACATTAAAAAATCCGGAGATCTTGATATAAAATCGGTGTCCATGCAAGAGTAGAAGTAAGAGCTCAGTAAATCACATTGCTCTATGTGACGATTGTTCGATTGTTATTCGTCCACTGCGACTGCGCAGGGATTTTTAATACTTATAGATATTTTTTATCCTAACTATGTTTAATAAACACAGCATGGGCAGAGTGGACGAATGACCACGCGTTAACACATCATATGCGTAGATTATTAAAGACAGTGCGCATACATTTGCTTCGCATGTCTGCAAACGTCGATTAGCATAACAAAAGAAAGTTTTCAAAGGATTTGAACCGTAGTTTCTCAAGTTACGAGAACATTAGCGTCACAACCACACCATCAGCGTCAACAACTATACATGTGCATGCTCATATATAAACTGAGAACATGATTGATTTCTGTATGTATATATGTACCGAGTGAGTGTTATATCCATGGTAACTCGTAAAATTGCAATTATACAATGTGCAAAGTCGAAGAACACGTAAAAAAGGTTGGTGAGTTTTATTTTATTTATTTACAGTATTCGACAACATTAAGTTATCCTAAGAGGGACGCGCGACTCAAAATCAATATTTGTCAATCAAATGCAAATTTCATAAACGCCTTCGTTTGGTCAATCGGGAAGTTGCGCACATACTTGTTTTCAAAAACGCAGCACTTTTCAAATGCCAAATACAATAGGTCCATGAAGAATTTTTCCATTCATTGCAAAAATACAGTCTTGTCAGCGTACTGCGAGGACGTGAATAAATATCGGTAAAAGGAATTCTGTGAGCTGGTTTTGCGTGATGAGAATAACTTAGGAATGATCATTCAACGTTACCTCAATGTGTTGTAATTTGATCTCAGGTTCTCGGCAGAATAAAGATAGCCTGCGAGATTTGGCAAAACTGAAGGCACGTATAGCATCAACACCCTGGAATACCTTTGCAGGACCGAAACTAAAATTGGTGGGTAGCTATTGCACCTATATACCGAAGAAATCTGTTGGGCATGAATAGACAACCCCCCCCCCAAATTCGAAATGAGACCTCCAGACAAAAGAAAATGCAAATTTAATTAATGAGGCATTGTGTTCTTCAAACTTCTATCGTTGAAAATTGAATAAGCAGAATTTTTGCGATAAATTTGCATTTTAGTTTTCAGTAATGATTAGATTTTAAAGCCCTTTAGGACTAATTTTCAATAAAACAAACGTCCAGTTCCCATCGGCGGAAAATTGTGATTTTTATGAACAGGGGCGGATCTAGGGTAAGTCCAGTCAGTCGCGCGACTTGCGTATTTTTGGCAGTAAAAATGATAATTAAATATTCAAATTTATCTTGAAATCTGAATAATTAACCCCTTCAAGATTGTAATAAGAATTAAAATCATAGTCCAGTTAAAGGGTTCAGTTTCAAAAAAGCAATATTCTTTCATCCAGAGCAGCGGTAAAACGCAAAAAACTCGCAGAATCGGGTGGGTCAGCCGGCTCATTTTATTGGTCGATAAGCCATTTGGACTTATCTCGACTGATTTGTGGCAATATACCTAATATAGCAATATACCAAAAAATATAATGATTTAGGAGTGTTCCATGCATGCGACAAGTTCGTTCACAGTTATTGATTTCATGCCGCTTTGTTGTGTAACTTGATCAATTATCAATATATAGTTTATATATCATAATCTTCCTAGTAGTTCCTATGCTCATAATATTATGGTTATAAAACTTATCCTGTCGTAAAATGCACTAGAATGGATAAGCCTACTTACTCAACACTCGCTAGAGTGTTTGAGAATTTGCATTATACTGAAGTTTGCGATGCATATTATAATACTCGCGTCTATTTATAGCATATTATGTTTGTTATGATTAGCATGGTTTTGTAAAGTTCTTGTACGCCTAATGCATCTTACGCGAAGCAATGGAATATTTCTCTTTATATTATTTGAGGATATTGTTTAATTTGTGTTAAATCAACTATTGCTATCATAAGGGGATAATATATGGGAAAGTTGTGTGTTTTGAAATATGACCCTCGCCAGCTCTGTTAATAAGCGGAATCTAGTATGTCTTTCCTGGGCATTGTGATGAACCCTAAAATGAGCCGAAATAATCAAAATTCCGATCTGCCGATTTGAAAAATTTTCTCAAAATTTCCCAATTTGGACTTATGTTTGAAAAATCCTAGATCCGCCCCTGTTTATGAACTTTTTTGTCGAACCATTACTTCTTCATTTTTCAACTAAATTACACGTACAACGTGTCATTTGAAAGAGAAATAAATGGAATTAACAATGGTGTAAAAATCAACCAAATTTGTCAAATATATTTTGCATTATTACACGCAAAATTTCGATTCGAATTTTTTTTATACACCCTGTATATTACTCCTTATACAGTATTGTCCAGAAATAACCTAACAAAAACCGCGGTTAACCCGAGGTCAGATCGAGGTCGAACTACGGTGAGTGAGACGGAGATTTAACCTCGGTCTGACAGACATTTTTTAAGATGTTTGCGATGTGATTATTGTGTTGTCGTTCTCAGCTGTTCATAACATTCTGTTCGGAAGCGAACGGCAACCGCGGTCGTATTTTATCCCGCCTCACGGTCGTCTACGGTTTCTATTGGTCGACGGCAACCGAACCGCAACCGTAGTGCTAGGTTATTTCTGGACTGTACAGTATACAGGGTGTCCCAAAAAAAGTCCCCGCTATTGAAATGAAGCTTTTGTTGGAATTTGAATGCATGATCAACGCAGTAGTGTGTAAATAGCATATTTATTAGGTTGAGGCATTCAAATAAAGCGTCTTGCTTTCAATTGGGTTTATCATAATATTAAGGCAATCAGATTCGAACAAAGGCTTGATTTCAATAGAGGGGACATTTTTTTGGGACACCCTGTATACAACCGTGTTAATTGGTGCATAATTTAGGGTTAAATTATGTTACAATTTGCTATGTTTCGTAAATCGTACAAAGAAAAGAAGACAATCGAGTAATTTTGAAAATTACTACATTTGAGAGATGTTTTCATTCAAACATTTTTTAACAATTAACTTTCCAACATATAGAACTGCATCAGCATTCAGCACCCTGGAATACCGCGAAAATTGACCAGCTATATAGAGAAGCAGCTAGGCCACCTAAGTGCAAAGCTCAATTTTTTTACTAAAAATCAAGTTAATCCGTATTTCTCCAAGACAATGCCCCTTCTCAGTGTTCGAAGACATGCATTCTCATTTCTATACTCCATTCACTGCCTTTTCAATTTCACGTTGTGATAGAGATGTAATAGTTTGATTAAATATCGCAAAGTTTGAGAACACAAAATGTTTAAGATATATATAGACACTTTAAAAAACATCTGTTTTGCAGTTTTCGTTTAACAACCTCAGATCTCATGCAAAATAGCTAAATATTTGTCAAACATTTTTACAACGTAAATTAAAACAATTCGCTCAAGACATGCAAGGCGATCGGTAGGAACATATACGTATAATGGCCTGGCTTAGCTCCTCAACCGTGACTAGAACAACATGTTAATTCAGACCTTACTATTGGTTTATTTGTTCACAATACAATAGACACATGACGAATAAGGAATGATTTTTTGCATAAATGTTCCCCGACATAGATAATGAGTTCTATTGCACTTTTAAGTAGTCTCTAAACCATTTATCTTCTATTAACTGTGGTTCAACATACTTTTAACTGAAGGTCAAGGTATTAATAAAACAGATCACATGCAACTGATTCAAGTCGTGAGGTGCTGGGAGATTACAGACTTTGAGCTATCTTTAGTTTCATGCGTAAGCAACAATTCCTTTTACTAATGTATCTACAATTACAACCAGTACAGGTAAATTCCAAGACTTCAAACCTTTTGTATGTTTTCGTAGTTTTATCGTTAAATGAAACAAGTTTGCAGATTGCAATTAGTAATTCTCTAGTTAGTCATAAGTTGGCCTCTCAACTTGTAACCAGATTTTCCTGAAAGTTATACCCGAAAAGTAGATGAATTAAGATATTAATAAATATGCAAATCAGTTACAAAATGAAAGAAAAAATGAGTTAACTATTGCTTCTCCGGCAGAAGTCGAACCTACACTTTTGCTTTGCCAGTGCAATACTCTTGCCACTGAGCTTATTAAGACCCTCTATTATAATTTAAACCTCTAGAATTTAGACCCTTTAAACCTCTAGAATTTACCTATATCCAGTGAAGTGCCAAAAATCATAATCGTGCTTCTATACAGATATAGTTCTCAACCAATCAGCACGCTCTGCGCTTACTCTAAATGTTATACTATAATACATATTTTGTTCACTTCTTCAGAAGCTTGTACGGCCAAAAAGCTTTATAGGTAAAGTCAATAACTAAACTAGGGGCTGAATAAAAAGCCAGATAAAGTTTCTAATTAACTTCACTCGGGCTTAAAAAGCTATATCGTCGATATTGACATTGTAACAAAGACGCCATGGATTCAGTTGAAATCGGGATTTTTATTAATTTTACGAGCTCTGACAAGCATTATAATGTGAATTGCATGCATTTTTAGTGAAGTATATTGATGTAAAAGTCAAACTCAAATCCAAAGTCCAAATTTTTCATATCCGTCGCCAGTAATTAAGCTCGGCGTATGCTTTTGACGGTATCATTGGGAAGACCGAGGTCTTCGGCACTAGGGTAATCCCCAGGTCCTCGCTGGCTGGATAATCCAAGAAAATTGGCTTCAGAGTACAAATCCCATTTCGCGCTTGGAAAAATCAGTGCAGAGCTGACGCCTGAGTTGAAGCCTTCGAGTTCACTGGCTGAATTGACGTAAGTCTGAGAAGAGAAATAGGTATTGATCCATTAATTTCCGTTTCCTGTATAAGGTCATTGGCGAAGGGAGGCCTGATAAATAGTCGTTCATGCTTTGCATTTCAAAAATTCACACTGAAACCCAGTGATTTCACCAGCTGGATAACTCGATATGAGAATAATTTTATAAAAATAATTAGTTGCTTGACTTTTTAATTGGTTATTTGAGCCGGGTGTCTGGCTCAAAATGATTGCATATAATTTCTGCGCTCCAGTAAGCTATAATGATACGGATTAATTTGTCGACCATTTCGCGAACACAATGTCAACACATGATACATGTGGACAACTAACTCGCTAAGATTCATGTGTCTCGATTTCAAGTAAAACCCAATAATAATAATACATCGGTGCACGAAAGCACATGCATTTATTATCGCACCTAATTAAGCATTTTCGTCTTCAGGGGCCGGTTGTATCAAGCCCGTTTAGCCTAATCGGTGGATAAGCTCAAAATAGAAAGCAAGTCTATCGTTTTATTCAACAAGCAAAGTAAATGTTTTTAACCTTAATACAAAGATACTGTTTACAACTACATATTCAGTGCATAATATTCAAGTTCACTCATTCAAGAGAGATGAATGCTAAACGGCCTTTATAAAACCGGCCCCTGACGTTTCAACTTCCTGTCCTGTCAAAACACAAATTATATGAGTATGCAATAGTACATGGCTAGTTATCGTCAACAATTTTGAGATTTCATCACCGATATTATATGCAGCAATCCTATTGTATATACAATCCTATTTTTTTCGTTTTTCTGATAAGTGCTATTCATATAGATCACCTCCCTACGCCTTTGGCGAGAGCACAGGCAGAGCTAAGCGATGTCATGCAATTCAGATTTCAGGATTTTGCATTCATCTCATGAACACATTTTGCAATAACATCAAGCTTCATTTCCTCGAAGTTAACTTCCTACAACTTGACCATCTAAAACATGAACAGGACAGGACAGGACTTGAACGGCCGGACAGTAGATATTTGGTCATATAAAAAAGCCGTGTATGACTGCTGGCTTAAGTCAATCGCAGCGATTTTTGACAAAAGCGAGCAGCCGTTTTCATTGCCGACCAGTTCGCATTATGGAAACCCTGGAGCATTTAACCACGCGAATTTTGCAGCATTTTAATTAAGTGAAATATTACTCTCTGTAAAGCGGAACTAAATATCTTAATATATTACTGCGTGCATTAAGAACTCGTCAATTCACATCTGGAGAACAAATATTTGCAATTCAGGGATTACAAAATATCGCCTTATTCGAAATAAGCTGTGCTTGTCAAATCAAGAAGTTCTCAATGTAGCTTTGGGATTACTTGCATATGGCAAATGGCAATGAAGCTGCATAAATTGGGCGAATTAAAACATCCTAGTGGCCATACGTACTTTCGTTACACCATAGAAGTTGTAGTGCTCAAACAGAGCGACTGCATCTGACTGGTAATCCACTTCTCTGGCACTTACGCAATTGAAACCCAACTCAACATTACCATCGCCTTCCCTGACCACCATGAAGTTTCCGCCGTTGCCTGTGAAACTGGAATCGTAGAATATCCACGTTCCTTGATTGACATAGGCTTCGTTTAACCCGACGTCAGGAATACTGTCGCCACTGTTCGGGGGCATGTCATACCTGTTGCCAATGCTGTTCTTTAATGTCGCTCTTGCCTCGGTCATTCTTCAGCGCTGAACGTGACGTTTCTTGAAGTAGAAGAAGACAAAGAATATTTGTCGGTTGCATGGAATGTTTTGCTTCCAAATTCCAAAAATTAGTTCACTTATAGACTTATAGGTCAAAAATAAAAAAGTGTTCGTGAATCACGTTCACTAATGCTCTATATTCAAGGATGCCGCTAAAAACAACCTTAACGATTCAAGATTCGAAGGCATTAGTCAGAAGGCATTAGTCAGATTTATCTTTAAATACATAGCTTAGCTACTTGCCAATAAGAGATGAAAATTCTGAAATTTCTTCTTCCTTCGTTTCTGTCTTGCTTTACTGGTATTTTCCCGTCTTGTGGTAATGAGCACCTCTAGCACACGCATTTTATAGATTTACTTTGCTTTTTGCGCATGCGCGTCTACCACGTAGTAGACAAAGAGTCAATGTCACGACTCCTATTGGCTGCTGCTTACAAACCGATTTCTTTTGTGCAATAGCTTACAATAGAAACTCATCGGGCAGAACTGATATGAATATTCGCGTTCTCCCAATTATTGTTCTATATACAGGGTGTAGCAAAAAAACTGCAACCCACATATAATTCGCAGGTGACTACGATCTTTCGTTATTGAATAGATGCGAACAGAAATGAACATTTTACACCCTGTACATATAATATGTTGGGGTTTTTTGCTTAAAAAGTACAAGAACAATTAAAGTATTTGCAAAAATAAAATTCAACTTGAACCGGACAGTAAAGAGATAGGTTACCCACCAACAGCACGATGAACTTTATCGCAGGCTTCAATATATGGCCGATTTGTTCATGCAAATGTGCATAATGATAGATACACCGCCGACAGATTGGACTGCCTTTGGTTTTGACACGCTGTTAGAATTCTGTAAGACTACTTTAAAGTTGAAAGTGAAACTACTTGAGCTATTGTTTATCACCGCCCACATACTTTAAGAGTTAAAATAATTTATATTGTATCATTTGTATGATATTTCGGATTCACAGTCTACAATCTAGTTTGGTCGACGACGTCGCATCAATTTATGCTATACTAATGATCTACTTTCTAGACACTTGTCTAATCTTATACTTCATTCAACAGCTCCATGCCAATACAATAACAATGACACAGCAAAAAACGCATGCATATATAGTTTCCAGGTTTCGAAACCCATGCACGCTGGTACGCGACATTTCACATTCTAAAACACAGTATTCAATATCTTTTAGCTATTTATAGCCTTAGACACGGCCAAAACCCCTGAGCTTGCAATTTACAACAATTAACATTAAACATTATTATTAAAACTGCATGTCTGCATCGGATGTAACAATATTCTTCGATGTTGATATTTGTTGTAAGGGCCCGATTCCACGGGCGCTTTTTCTTGGCGAAATGCGAAAATTTCTTTTGAATTGTGACCATTTGAATATATTATTTCTGCTTGATTGCTCACAATTCAAAAGAAACAGGTGAAATATTTCGCATTTCGCTCGAAATTTCGCACGTGGAAGCAGCGCTTTATATAAATACAATAGACCCATGCATCCCGAATTTGTTCTGGGGCAATGAAAACCATCCCACAAACAATAGATTATATTGGCTGCCTCGTTTTAAAGCTACTGTTTTGTGTGCACTTAAGCAAATATGAGAAGTGTATATTGTTACAGTCAAATTAGGTGTTCTGTTTCCTGCAACTTTCCAATTTTGCTACGAATATTGTAATATTCATTGCTCATTGCCCGCACGCAAATGCGAATTGATGAGATGCTCACCGCTGAAGGAGCTGATTCTTCTTTACTCTCACTCCTAAAAATGACCGATATGCCCAGGACTGAACAATGTTGGCTTAATGCAGTCGCTTATTGCATGCCTCAGCAGGTTCTGTCTGTACTTCTGTACAAGTTGCAACTTGATAACTTTGTTGTTTTCGTAGCCATCTTGACATCTTGCATGGATTTCAATATTTTCAGCGCATATTTTCGCTGCAAAAATGGTTCCTATATACCTACCTAGAATTTACAGTATATCAAAGTTTGGCAGCGAGAATATGACGTGGAAATATTGAAATCAACAAAACGTGCTATGAAATTGCCAAGTTGCAACTTGTAGTTAACATGCTACAGGGAGCCTTTGGCCCAAAGTGAACTTTGCAGTATATACACAACAATGTTGCACAATAGCGGGAACATAATTGATATTGCACCCGAATTGGATGTAAAAATGCTGCTCATATCAGTCACAAGACCGCCTCGTGACATATCAGTTACCAGATTTCGGTTACATATCAATCACAAGACGGCCGTGCGATATTAGTCACAAGATCTGGCCCGGCTCTGTGACAAATGACAAATCAGTCACAACAATGAGTCCCAGTGACATATCTGTCGCAAAAACAATATTTCAATCTTATTTGAACTATTTCTTAACTTATTCAACTATTTATGAGATTTTCGCTGCGAGTCTTTGCAACCTTATCAGATGAGGACGAGTACCTTTAATGTATACGTGTCTCTACCTGCTGGACTTTCTTAACTTATTCACTCGCTTACATCCTTCAAAAGAAGAATGTCGTTTCAATAATTGCACTATTATTGAGCCAATGTTTTGAATTTGATAGTCTGCTGTTGTGATTTATTTTGACTAACGTTACAATCTGACTCAATGATAATAAAGTTCGGCTGCAGTCAAAAATATATGGCTTGCAATTTTTATCTCCTATTTCATATTATCAATAATCGGAAGTTAACTTCGAGGAAACGAGGTTTAATGTCATTGCGAAATTATCACAAGATATACATACTATATATAAAGATATATATATATATAGTATGAGGAGCTACAAGCAGGACAACATATCACTATTGCTTACCATGATCAATTCCACTTTAGCTACATACAATAATATTCCTTCCCCTCACCAATTTCTCATTCCAGGCTTGGGACTGGACAATGGCTGGTTTAAAAGGAGGAAGGAAACCAACACACAAACATAAAAGAGATTTTATTCATGAAATGAAGATGTGATGCCATTGTATTATTGCCATTGCCATTGTACTATAACAACCTTTCTAAATTTTGATATTAAGCACGCTTAGGCTTGTGCACTCTCGTTATAGTAAATTTTGTATGACAGCTCGCGACTGATTGTCCCGCTCATGTGAATAACACGTGAATGCGTGTTATAAGCACGCTTAGGCTTGTGCACTCTCGTTATAGTAAATTTTGTATGACAGCTCGCGACTGATTGTCCCGCTCATGTGAATAACACGTGAATGCGTGTTAGTAATAATCCCACATTAGTAATATAATACAATGGCATCACATCTTCATTTCATGAATAAAATCTCTTTTATGTTTGTGTGTTGGTTTCCTTCCTCCTTTTAAACCAGCCATTGTCCAGTCCCAAGCCTGGAATGAGAAATTGGTGAGGGGAGAGAATATTATATGTAGCTAAAGTGGAATTGATCATGCATGGTAAGCAATAGTGATATGTTGTCCTGCTTGTAGCTCCTCATACTATCTCGGTAAATTTAAATAAAGCACGCTTCGGCTTGTGCACTCTTGATTTGCTATAACAACCTTTCTAAATTTTGATATATGTATATATAAATATATATATATATATATATATATATATATATATATATATATATATATATATATATATATATATAATTATATGTACAGGGTTTAATAGAATGATACAAATTCTAAGGAAAGTGCAAGGATCTTGCAATTAATTTTTGAAATATATAATTTTGCACAAAAGATTAAAATGATTATAAAACAATTACTGCACTTATAAATTGCTTATTAAAAACAATTAACGTAAGTAAACTAAAACTCTGATCCATTATTATAAGCGTCAAGCTCGGGAACATGCACATTTTATTTCTGCGCAAGCTGTGCAAAGAAGATCCAAAAACAAATGTAAATCTTACAAGGGCGAGTCGATATCCCCCCTTTTAGCGACTAACAGCATCCAAAAACTGAAAAAAGAGACAGTTGTCCCTTGACGTCGAAAAAAAAAGTAGAAATCAAGATTCGCCTAAAAAATGCCGAAAAATCAAAACTGATACCTATAAAAAGGTTTATTCAAAACAGCCGGAGGGCGAAGGAGTGCGCCTGAAGCACTGTATTGCGGTTGCAGTGGTCATTACCATGACAAAGTTGGGCCAATGCATATCTGGCGTCAGCACGAAAAAATCCGCCATGTTTCTTGCTTCACTTTTTGGTCTTGAGCACTCCCTCAATAAATTATAATATAGCTCAGTGGTTCGGACGTCAGCAGGTGAGCTCGAAAAAAGCTCCCTGCTCGGAACCAATCGGAAAAGCCGCTTCACGAGGCATGAGATAAATGCTGCCGCAGCGAGCGAGCCTGGGGCGAGCGAGCAATGCAGCAGACCTAATTGATGTAGTTGGGAATTTTTTTAATTTTGCTTTAGCGCATTGCATTGTGGTCGAATATTAGATAGACCCACAATGCTATGCGTGAATCAACTTTATATAATTATATTGTTTCTTCCCATGTGCTTCAATGAGCTTCCTTTTCCATTGGGCATTCTGGTGAACAGTTAAAGAATTTTGTGATTGCCTGTTTCTTAGCTTTTTCACCCTCATTTCATCGCTGATTATTACATTCGCAGATCATTAATCGAGACCGCAGGTAAGCAAGCATGATCATGTGCCGTTGATCGCAAATATATCTCATGCCTTTCGCAGAGCCAGCAGAGGCTAGGCGATATAAAGAACAATTACTTCATGATGTAATTTTTGTTTTAACAGAGTTTTTGATACCATTCTGTTCTACTCTCCTCAAGTTGGTGTTAAGCACGGTAAGTTGCTGTCAGTAAAAGATAATTTTTTGCAAAATTTTATGGGTATATAGATATTTTACAACTTCCGATTTCACAATTGCATCATCAAGTAATTGTTCTTTATATCACCTAGCCTCTGCTGGCTCTGCGAAAGGCATGAGCACGTTGTTACTCAGAGATCATGTTTGCTTATCTGCAGTCTCGATTAATGATCTGCGAAACAAAGGATTTTGCTATTTTGCATTAGGTTCGGCACATGGAAAGTTCGTCGTCTGAAACGGGCCTAATTGATGTTGTACATTTACAACTCCTAGCGAAACGTTATAGACAATCTCAAACAATTAGCCAAGTTTTCAAGTCCCATGTGAAGAGTTCACAACTACGTTATCTTTTTTAAATAACTAGATTTCAGTAACACAACAACCTACTACTTTTTTCTACAATTCAATCCTGCATGACTAGGCTTGCGCAAGCGCGTGTTTGCAGATATACAAGATGCAATAAAGGCAGCATTCACTACCTGTAGGTAACCTAGTAATATATTAATTTTTTTTAATAAGTGCGCCCAATATTTACATGAAATAAAGATGATATATTTTTTTATTTACAAATGTGGGCTAGGAGCCTACCAGAAACCATATGGCTTTTATTTTAGGCCCCTAGTCTACTGAACTAAAATAGTTACTGATTAATATAATGTCAGTTCGAATGTTGTTTTTTTATATTAAAAAGATACAAAGTCAAAGGTATGTATAAAAAAAGAAAAAAAATAGTAAGGAGTATGGTGATATAATAAGCGCAGTAAGTGGTTTTTGATAAATTTTTTAAAGGAGTCATAAGACCTTGGTTTTTTACATTGCTCAGTGAGATTATTCCAAATTTCTATGCCTCTACTAGCAAGAGTATGTTTTGCGTAGTTGGTTCTATACTGAACTTTTTGTGTAGTAATCTCGAGTTTCGTGTGTTGTGATTATGAATTTCCCTATTAGTAAAGAAATAATTTCTGAATATTTCTGGAAGATTTTGTAAATGGAAATATCGGAACATGAATATACTTGTAAAATAATCATTTATTTTGAATAAATTGAGTATTTGCAATTCTTTAGAAATTGGTTCGGAATGATCATAATAAGATTATTATTACACATGCACATGTTTTTTTTAAAATCTCCACGTGCATACACAAACAAGTTCAAACTAATCTACTCAACATGGATGCCGAAACAGAATTGAGAAAGTGGCTAACCTGAATATGGCTGAACGCCAAGATAGTATAGAGACCGGCTTTGTTTGACGTTTACGGCAAACGCCAAACCGCTAACAAAGTTTGTTTCAACTCCACTATCTTTAAGTGTGCGGCAATTTCGCTATAAATTACAAACGTTTTACATAAAACCTGTGATGTTCAGCAGTAATGTAAGAAAGCAATAGGCTATTTCTGATGTATTTAGAAAAGCAGCAAATTCAGCTTTGCCGTATATGTGTTTCACGTTCGCCGTATAAAATTTAATGCTTGAACGGCTGAGGGTGTAATGCCGCACACTTAAAGATAGTGGAGTTAAAACACAAACTTTGCCGTAAACGTCGAACTAAAGGTCTCTAATATGACAAATATAGCAATATAGCTAAAAATATAATGATTTAGGAGTGTTCCATGTGACAAGTTCGTATCGGATTTAATGCCGCCTTGTGTAACCTGATTAATTATCAATATAGTTTTTATATCATAATCTTCCTAGTTCCTGTGCTTATAATATTATGTTATAAAACTTATCCCGTCGTAAAATGCACTAGAATGGATAAGCCTACTTACTCAGCACTCGTTGGAGTGTTGGATAATTTGCATTAAATTGAAGTTTGCGATGCATATTATAATATTCGCATCTATATCTAATGTATCTTACTCGAAGCAATGGAAATATTTCTGTGAGGATATTGTTTAATTTGTGTTAAATAAACTACTGCTATCATAAGGGGATAATATGGGAGTACGAAGTTGTGTGTTTTGAAGTATGACCCTCGCTAGCTCTGTAAAAGAATCCACGAGGCATCTAATACGTTGTTTTTTATTAATAAGCAGAATCTAGCATGTCTTTCCTGGGCATTGTGATAAACCCTAAAATGAGCCGAAATAATCAAAATACCGATCTGGCGATTTGGAAAATTTTCTCAAAATTTCCCAATCTGGACTTATGTTTGAAAAATTCTAGATCCGCCCCTGCAAATCTGCGTCCCATATTTTCATTTTCCAAGCGATAACTTCCTCTGAAATGTGTCCTTGTGAACAATGCCTGGATTCCCCTATTTTTACGCTGGGAAAATGTGATTTAGTTCATGACTTTTAAACGCTGGGATTTTTACAACTTAGACCGGGATTTTTAAGACTGGGATTTCCTCAAGTGCTGCTGGGACTGGGATTTTGCGAAAATACGATGTGGGAAATGGGATTGGGAGGTAAGACCCCCCAATTTAGGACCCTGCTTTAAAACCCTAAAGTCTAAAGGTAAATTCAGTTGAGTTGCAGGTAGAATTTTCATGTATTTTTTTAAAAAAAAATATGACTGAGATTATAGACTATAGGACCTTTAAGCTATGGCTACGATTGAAACAGACACGAAATATAATATGGTATATACATATAATAAGCATTCACTTAAAATTCACTTAATCCTATAATAGCACTTTGTAACCTAACATGTAGATAGAGTAATACATTATTCCCCCACTAACTCGAACTCCCAAGGGGAAAGAAAAATTTTTCGACTTACAGGGGGTTCGAGTTAACCGGGGTTGGTGTAGATTACGTTTACATTTCCGTGCATTGGATTGCCGCAGTTCATGCGTTTATTTGCTAAAAATCCTGTTTTATATAATAATCCCCGAGCAAGCGCGGAGCGCCTGCGAGGGTACTAATTCCGCTCGGAGATTAGGAATTACACCCGGAACCAAATTCTATGTCATAGATGGTCGATGTTGGGTGGTTTTGTAAGTTATGCGCATGCGCGAGAAATCAACAAACGTTCTGATTGGCTAAGACATAAAGTTGACATTTCATTGAGAACGTCAGCAATTTAACTGTCATTTTGTAAACCTTTTCGTAAATTGTAAAAGCGTTTCATAAACCGTCTAAAGGTCTCACGTCCAGGCGCGCCGCACGTTATTAAAGTTGTTATTTCCCATGGAATAACACGTTATCTCACTCTGCAGAGGGTCGCGCGGGCGACATTTGTGCAACGGTATCGTGTGGTTCAAGACCAAGTTGGGTCCAAAGGGTATTGTGTTGTTACTGAAACGTCCGTGCCTCCTGAAGATAAGAAGTTTGACGAGCTGGTTGCCATGATCAACGTAATCGCCTGTAAGCAGCAGAAACTAGAGGAATGTTTGACAGCCGCAGTAAACCAGAACGGAGAGCAACAAAAAAGAAACAACTTCCACGCTACATCTGGGAGAAGAAATAGACCACCCATTGTATGTTACAACTGTGGACAGCCTGGGTATCTGGCCAAAGATTGCGGACAAGAGAACAGTAAGCCTATTAAATGTTTTTTATGTATAGGGTATGGGCACATATCTCGCGATTTTGGGAATGATTTAAACGGGCAAGGGGCGTTTTCGACAGAGAGAAGATTGATCGCCCCAAAACACCAAATGTCTCAAATAACCTAATTCCCACCTATCCATTTGTGTTCTGTCTCTTTGAGGGAATAGAAGCAAAAGCCCTATAGTCGACATGGGATCTATGCGATCCTTTATTAACCAGGACGTTTATACTATAATGGACTTTCTTAATGCTAGAATTGATAAATCAGATCTAGAAAAATACTGTTCCATCACAGGGGGCTCATTAGACATTTTAGAACGCAGGGAAAAGTCGCATTTCTGCCAAGCAACTGTCATTTGAGCTCGAGGTTGAATTTATTGGTGTTGTTGATGTTGACCAGGTGCATACAATAGCGACTGATGTCCCTGACTGAGTTTGGAAGTGAGAAGGAATTAACTTCACACCTGGATTCACGTATAAAATCGCCCTCTCTTGTTAGTCTTGACAACGATGTAATAATTCCAGGTAGAACAGAAATTGTGCTAGAAGACAGGCTAGAAAAGAAAGTTGCTTGCCAAACAGGTATATCTTCTGACGTTGACCAGAGTTAGATCAGTTACACGTTCATGTCACACTAATGAATATCGTTCTCAGTCCAAAAGGTAGAAACGTTCCAGTAAGGATACTGAACAGCTCGGAAGAACCCGTTGAATTAATGAAAGCTAGTAAGATCGCTAGTTTCCTACAGTTCACAGAAATAAGATCTAAAAAAGTGGGTTCCGTACACGGTGACAGCGACAATTTCGCGTTTTGCTTCAGCCTCGTTTAATCGCAACTTGCAAGTCGAAGGGGCCATTAGTTCACATGCATTTTAGCGAAAAAGACAAACGTAAATTATCGGCTTTATTACATGATTTCGCATACATCTTTAACGATGAGATAACCGAGTGTACCATAACGAAACATAAGATCAACACTGGTAATGCAATACCGATTAAGCAACGCCAGAGCCGGCTGCCATATGCGCATCGCGCAAATTAAGGAAATGCTAGAGCAAGGTGTTATAGCCATAGCATAAGTCCGTGGTCAAGCCCTATCGTTTCGGTTTATAAAAAATTTCGGGAACTTAGATTTTGTGTCGACTGTAGAAAAATAAACCAAGTTACCCGCAATAACGCACACCCATTGCCAAGAATTTCGGGCGACGGCTTAGCTGCTTTTGCCTCAGAACATAGAGACTACTGGGACTTGTGGGTTGATTCTGTGGTTTTTGTGTACAAATATACACTTAATGTATGCTCCCGAGGGAAATGGTGAGTCATTGAGACCCGAGAGTAAACAAAACACTCAAAACATTAAACACCAAATCAAAAGTAATGTTAAATGTTATGAAGTATTGGAAACTGTACTTCTCAAGCTGATGAGTCTGTCTAAACGTTGAAGATCATCGAAAAATTCTCTGTATTTCTTAATTCAGGTGAGAATTTTGGCTACGAAATTTATAAGCAGATCAAGGGGGAAGATGAATTTGAAAAAAAGATGAAAGAAGCGAACACGGTGGGTATAATCACAGAGGCTTAGTCAGTGCCGGCATCGAAGTTCAATAATTCTGGCTTTATTTTTCAATGGTATAATAGCCAATAAACCTTTACCCTTTTAGCTTTCAAGCGTGCAATGCGTGACGGTAGTTGATTATCAAGCAACTTTAAATTGCGATATCGTTCTGCTTAGAAGCGATTTTGTTTGTAAGAAAACCTTGCTGATTCTTTTTGCTTCTTTGTTAAACTAAATCTCTTCTTCTGAACATGGCGAAATCGCCGGCAACTCAAATTGACCTCAATAGTCAACTACAGTCCGCAATGCGGGCAGGGCCGTAACTAGAACGATAATTGGGGGGGTGTTTATTCATATATTTAGTTCTGCCCGACGGATTTCCATTGTGAGCTATTGCACTTACAAAAGAAATCCGCAGGGCAGAACTGAATACATGAATAAACACCCCCCAATTATCGTTCTAGTTTCGGCCCTGAATGCGGGCTTGAAAGTAAAAGGGAAAGATTAGTGATTCAGCCTTTAAATCAACAGGAATTCGAAGAAAAGCTGAAAAGACAATCAGCCGAAATGTAATTTGAAGGTGTTTTCTATCACTATAGTTTCGACAGACTGGCATTTTTGATGGCATAAAATTAGCGCTCGAGAAGAATAAGATCAAACTCCTGTTTGGTGTGGCAGCGCTGAGCAGAGGCAAAAGACCAACACATGCTGTTGGTATCGCAGCGCGCGGTGTTGCTACGGTCGTAAACGATCCCCAATTTCCCCCATGCGAGTTTTTTACCCCCGGAAGATCTTTTCCTGTCTGCCTTCGTCATGCGACTCTAAAATCCATCGACGACGCCATGTTGGATTTCCTCAGTGCTTCAATCAGATTTGCCGACAGCGAGGAAGAGAAAAGCCAGCTGGATATCCTCATGTCGACGGGAAGAAGCAACCCTTTGTCCAATGTGAAGGGGATTTACGACGCTGTTGCAGCCAACAAGAGTGGCAACCTCAAAGACTATTATCTCGATAGCCCAGACCGGTAAGTTAGGATAACTGCATGGAATGCTATTTGCAATCGAAAATACAAAAAGCAAATTTCAAAACTAGGCTAATGTTTAGACAGAAATACTATAACGCAACTTTACACACCGACTGATATATATGTCGATTTCCTTTCATTTGCAGACTTGCGAGCAACATAGATGGTTTGCGGCGAGCACCAGATTCATTTTTCGATCAACGGTATTATTCTGAAATTATCCTGGGATTCAACGCCTCTGACGCTGTGCAGCGCTACGCCAGATTCCGACTGATACCAGAAGATGGCTCTATGGAAACGGGTTTGTTATCTAAAGACAACCAAAGACATATTTGGTACTTACCATTCATTGAAGAGAATGATATTGCTTTCATTTACGATAGCTATTTAGTACAATAGCCTCGCAGTGAAGAGTTATTTTATTGTATGTAAGAGTTATTTTGCAAGAGCAGTGAAGAGTTGTTTTCCCAGGCATTTCTGAAAGTTTCCCGCTTTTCAAATTGGTAGGACACGTTTACGTTTCAAGATAGGACTCCTCTGCTGTCTTTTTGTAGGAAAAACGAAAGACTGCCTTCAGAAATCAGATCCAAAGACTATTTGAAAGAAGAATTCAAACAAAGAATTTTGGCTGGGGCTGTGCGATACAAACTGCAGATGACTCTGCACCAGGCCCAATCTGATGACCCGCCTGGTATTTTGGATATCGCGAAGTACTGGGACGAAACTACCCACGAATGGGTGGACGTAGCTGACGTCACTTTAACAACTCTACTCACTCCGGATACAACGGCTGGGTTGCGGTACAATCCAGGCAATTTGCCTGATTCTCTCTATTTTCTCCCGGCTCGGTCCATTCACGATTCCAATTGCATCGCTCACATTCGAATGGAGGTCTACGCATTCACACAGCAGTTTCGCTACATTCGAAGTTCGAAAATGCAGCCTGATCACGTGGCCACATACACTATTCAGGTGGATGCAGCGGGCCACGCGACCTCAAAAGCTGGCGACAATCACGCTAACATTTCTATATCTCTCACAGGTATATACCGTTCAAATTTATTCTTCGTAAGGTATAACTGTCATATATTTCTTACCATGGAGCCTTTCTGCTTTGAATCAATTATTTGCGTGCATGGAAGAAAGATTCATGGCCGCTCAGACCGGGGGAGACGAAAGGGGAAACTGCCAAACTGTTTTATTAGCCCTTTATGTCAATACTTGATCCTATTCTACTAATATGTCCGTATAATACAACCAATTGTGATAGTTGTATGTCTATTCTGTATGAGTTTGTTTTATTATGAGTTTCTCTATGAGTTTGTTAACTCATTTCAGGATCGAAGGGGAAAACAGAAAGGCTTTCACTCAATTCTCTGTCGGATGAGGTCAGTTCCGCAAGCGAGTATACATTGCAGGCGATGGATATTGGTGAAGTTCTCATGGTCCATATTTTTAACGACAGTCGCTCTTGGTACAAAGATTGTGATTGGTTCTGCAACAAGATCACAGTTACCAGTTCAAAGTACGAAAAGTCCTTGGAGTTTCCGTGTTACCGATGGGTGGTATCAAATATGGTTATCTTTCAAGCAATGGGTAATAATGAGTGCTTGCAAGTGCTTTTGAAGGAGTTCGTTATATTTCATAGAAGCATTGAAACACTAAGTTTCAGCTATGATGTTACCTTTGAAAGTCATCATTCAAATAGTTTAACTGTGCCTTAAAGTTGCCTTTGTAAAAATTCATGCATCTTTATTTGTTTTGCGTATCTAGCCGTACTTCCTTTTCAAGACCAGCCAGAAGCGATCAGACTAGAGCGAGTTCTCGAGTTGCAAGAACGTAAAACGAAATACCGCTGGGGGGAAATGCCTTCGACCGGGAGTGGGGGTTTGCCCGGGTTCGTTCACGCACCACAACACGAAGATATACCCAGAGATTCGCAATTTTCCGTCGAAGCTAGTGTTGCGTTTAATCGTGGCCGCGTGTTCGGAGGAGTAAACCTGGGTCTCTCGTTTGTCTACAACGCTTTTACCAGCTGGGATGATTTCGACTGCTTCAAGAAGATCTTCACAGGTTGGACGGGCGATGTTCCCGAAATCAGCAGGAATGAAATGTGGATGGAGGACAGAATTTTTGGCTATCAGTTCCTGAATGGCTGTAATCCGTGTACCATCAGACGTTGCAATGAACTGCCAGAAAACTTTCCCGTCACAGACAAAATGGTAAAGAATTTTCTCGACCGAGGACAGACATTGACAGAAGAGATTAAGGTAATGGAGAATGTAATACTTTCTATTGAGGTATCAATCCTGCATTACCTTTCAAACAGCAATTTTTTTCAAAATGGAATTTTGCAACACTCTGGAACGAAACTGGGCGTTGATTAGGGAGGTACACAGGGTCGAACCTCGACAGAAATTTCTTACGATTTTTCGATTTGATTATTGTGTTGTCGTTCTCAGCTGTTCATAACATTCCGTTCGGAAGCGAACGGCAAACGCGATCGTATTTTTTCCCTTATTTTTTCCCTATTTTTTTTAAATAGGTTGTGAGTTTCATTTACTTTTCTGGAATAGTATGCTGCAGAAATATTATAATCTGCCATTTTTTAAATTTTTGTTTCAGAACGGGCACGTCTACATTGTCGATTACAAGGATCTGGAAGGAATCAAGCGAAATGGCGAAGATGGGTGCTCTGAATTATGTTACGCTGCAGAACCTCTTTGCTTGTTTTACGTGAGAAGTTCTGGAGATTTGATACCCATTGCAATTCAACTTTTTCAACAGCCTGGTGAAACCAACCCGATCTGGACACCCGATGACGCAAAATATGACTGGCTTCTAGCCAAAATGTGGTTCCGCAACGCTGACCACCAAATACATCAGGTTTGTCCGAAGTTGTGTTCACATATCGCATGCTCTGGGTTAGCTTAGTTTTTGAAAATTAGCGAGCTTCAAGAATGGCACAAAAAAACTCCCAAACACCGAAACATTCTTGGAAAGGAAAAACGCAATAAAACGAAGCTGAACAGACGATGTTTTGTAAACATTCTTGAGTGTGCAACTACAGAAGTGCCTTTTCACGAAAATTTGCCCGTCTTTGCCCTGGGCATCCCTGATTAGAAGTATTCAGTGATTGTTATTTGGTCAGAAGTATTTTTATGCCGGTAGTCCCGATTGTGCAAAGTGCAAGCTCACTTTTTCTGAGTACATAACTTGATTAGTTCTTTTCGCTAAACAGAAATTTCCTCGCCAATACACTTTAAGCTTTGATTATCTTCACAGATGGAAATACATCTTCTAAGGACACATTTAGTTATGGAAGCATTTTCTGTCGCCGCGTGGCGTCAGTTGCCATCGATCCATCCAGTGTTTCAGCTTCTCTTTCCGCACCTTCGTTCCGTCATGGCCATTAACACGATTGGAAGAAATGAACTGGTCTCTAAAGGTGGAATTGTCGACAAAACACTTAGCATCGGCGGTGGAGGCCACATTGAACTTTTGGAAAAGACGTACAGTAATTTCATGTTCGAGATGCTGTCTCTCCCTGATATGTTAAAATCTAGAGGTGTGGACGACACTGACAAACTACCAAACTACTACTACAGGTAGGTTCATGGACGCTTTAGATACAATGCTTCTATGCATGTCGCAATAATCATGATTCGTGGCCCTGTTTAGGGCCTAAGTTCTGGATGTTACACGCGTGAACTGTGAAATCACAGCTTGGACCTTGTTTAGTTTTCCTCCAACTCTTTTAAACTCCAAAAATCAAAATGTACTCTCAACAATAGACATTTTCTGGATAGTTTTACAATTCTAGCCGAAAAAGTTTGTCTTGAAAGAAAATAGCTCTTCACTAGGATACTAGAGTCTCTTTCAACTATATTGAGGATATTTATACCATCTTGTCAATCAGGGACGATGGACTTCTTTTGTGGGCAGCAATTTCTAATTTCATCGTGGAGTTTCTTAGCATTTTCTACCATTCCGATGATGACGTATACCGCGACCACGAGATACAGTCGTGGGTGGCTGACATACACGATAATGGTCTGCCGACAAGAGAGGGTAAAAAAATTGAAGATTTGGTAGATTAACAGATTACATGCATGTTTTAAATCAAGATTGCAAAACTTGCAAGATATATCAATGGAATATACAGCACGGTACGATGTGATAAAGTGGTCAGTATGGTATGGTGAATGTGGTTAGATGTAGTTATATAGTTTGGTATGGAATGGTGTGCTGTAGTTTTTAAATAGTATGGTATACGGTATTTAGTATTGTATGGTAAAGAATGGTATAGGGTACAGTGGCAATGCTTTTTATAGTATTTAATTATTAGTTAATTTTATAGTGTTTTTATTTATTTTAAGGCGATGTTGATCATGGATTTCCATCGTGTCTCCATACACGAGATGAACTGGCGCACGTGTTGACCTGTATTATATTCACGTGTTCATGCCAACACGCAGCAGTTAACTTCCCACAGCTGGAAATCACTGGATTTATCCCAAATGTTCCTCCTGCGATGCGACAGCCACCACCAGCGAAAAAAAACCAGGCAAACTTGCAATCTATCATGGAGACACTTCCCAATAAAAGCCAAGCAGGTTGGCACGTCGGCACTATGTACACACTAACGAGGATTGCAGAGGATGAGGTAACACGATCAACAATGTTATTATGATTCATTGTTTTAATTTCTCGCCATCTCATGTAAGTCAATAGGTAGAGAACTTTAAGGCTCATTCACACTCGCAATTTTATGTGCGATTTTCGTCTTTTGATAGATGTGAACGACTGACCAGTTACGAATGCTCTGATGTATAACAGCTATTATTTGAACAACCGTAACTAGTTCACTCGTTCACATTTATCAAAATAAGAAAATCGCACATAATGTCGCTGGTCGCAGCAAAAATGGCAAGTGTAAACGCCTAAACGCTCGTATTAACGTGATATTCATGACATTTCTGTATTGAAGCGAAATACTTGATAGTATAAACGCGGGTTTATTCACACCGCGTTCCGACTAATTTTCAACTCTTTTCTGCAGCGTTACATTGGAGACTACACGGAAGGTCTTTTGAGCGGCACTGAAATAGAAGGTGTTACATCTCGTTTCCAATCCTCCCTCCTGAATATCTCGAAAGCAATCAGGAAGCGCAATGCATCAGTGGAGTTTCCTTACACATATTTGTTGCCTGAGCGAGTGCCGAACAGCATTGGAATCTAAAGAGATCTCGAGAGAGTCTTACATCTGTCTTGAATGAGTTAACTTGAACATTATGCACTAAATATGTAGTTGTAAACAGTATCTTTGCACCAAGGTTAAAAACATTTAGTTTGCTTGTTGAATAAAACGATAGACTTGCTTTCTATTTTGAACTTAACCACAGTTTAAGCTAAACGGGCTTGATAGAACCGGCCCCTGGTGTTTAAAAAGACATGCAATAAGCTAAATTGTAAAATAAGCGAAAGTATGTTTCTGATTGTGCCACCTTGGCCAAACAGAGGTATGCCCCGTCCAAAAACCACGTGATAGTTCCAAATAATAATATAAAGAACGAATAATTTAAATTCTAATTTACAATTGGGGGAATCGAAATAAGGGTGTTCTGCATAAAAATAATAAAATAACTAAAATTTGTCGCAGTCATATGAAATGAAGGAAATGTTGATTTTGTCGAGGATCTGGCTTCTGATTGGTTGATTTTTATAATAAGATCAGCTGATCAGCAGATCAAGAAAATATTTCTCGAGGTCTGTCTAGTACAGGTCAGCCGCTGATATCTATCAGCCCATGCGCGTTGCGTTGGTAAATCGCATCCAGTGTGTGGGTCTGAAACAGTGGGACTTTACGACATGCTTTCCACGGTTCGGACCAATAATGAACAGTATTAATTGTTTCATGCGACTAATTGTTTAATTGAAACGCGCATCTCGACGATCAGCACGGGCGTACTCAATATAAATGTTGTATTATAATAATATATAATATAACTTTTTATTACTATATATATAGTATAACTTTATTAAATCTAATTTTATCGGAATGTACAGTATATTTCGCGGGATAAAAGACCCGCGAGCTTGCGTGAACTAAATGTATTTTCGGCTCATCAAAAAATATTCAACCACAAAATTGAAGGGCTCTAGCAAAATAACTGCTTGGCCTTGGATTGAAATCAGACACGGCACATTCAAACTACAAACCGAAATGCAATTATTGCTAAAATGATTCCGGCAATCATGACCAGCATCATTACTCGAGAACCGGCGTCGTTTTCTTTGATGTTTCTTGTTTTTGTAGCATAAATAGTATTGCTGTGTGCCTTTTCAATGGCCTCTTTGGCCCCGCTCCAAGCGCCAGGACCCATCAAGCGATATTGTGATGGCGTGCATGGACCAAATAAACATTTAAGAGCAAGTAAAGGATCAGTAAGGAACAATTTCATGATATCTGGCCTACAGCCAATCATCTCTGCCAGCTCATCACAATACGGAGTGAAATCAACCTATAAGGTACAAGAAAAGATGTGACATGCTTTGGTTGCTACAAATTTCTAGGAAATTTCTACAAATTTCTAAGAAATGTTAGTTGAAGATAAGAAATTTTCATTTACCCCTCTGCATTGACCATATAAGCATATCTACCTGCACTATATGCCTCTTGGTGGCATAATAACGTTTCCCCATTTCCTCTCGTTTCATAGAAATATCCATGTTCATTTCTTCCTCAGTTGGTAACTTGACCTGTCCCCCAAAGACACGGCAAGCCAGCCTAGATTGCAGCTCACTGATGGGATTGATAGCTCCCCAGGGTTGAACATTTCCAATCACAGCCAATGTGGTTCTCTTCAGGAAAGGTGGGAAAACAAACTTATACAAATTGACTTTATTCTCCATCAGGATTTCCGGTTCGATTTCCAGATATGGAAACCTCATATCATAACCGGTACAAAAAATCACAGCATCAAGGTTGCTGATGGTTGAACCGTCATCAAATACAGCACTGTTCTTTGTGAATTGTGCTACATTAGGTTTCACAATCAGAGATCCAGTGATGATCTGATGTGGTAAGGCATCATTCACCATTGGGTGTTGACCAATGATGGAGTGGCTTGGCTTGAGGCTGTATGTAGAGTGGCAGAATCGCTTGTTGACCTTTGATATGACTGTACTGGCTACTAGTGCCTTCGGAATATAGCTAAAAAATCTTGTAGTATACACCATATCAACTGGCAACCCCCCCTCGGCAAGCCTGGAAAGTACCCACGACCCTCGTCTGGTACTGAGATAAACTTGTTTTGCATGACGACTTAATTCAACAGCAATGTCACCACCAGAATTACCAATACCTAAAAGGTTTTTGGTTACGGCTTAATTAATTCATGCTGAGGAAAATCACATGGAGAGAATTGTTTCGGGGCATATTGTAAATCAAGGGGCTTAAGCACGTAGTTGTTCTTTTTACAAATTTAAATTACAGTTAAAGATCTTACAAATCAAAATGTAGTTTGTTCACATTTTAAGGCTAAGCCAATCAGAATGCCTGAATTTTTCTTGAATATACTTCATGAAAAAGGGTAGGTTTAGAACCATTTGCGATATATGGGGTAAGGGGCACATATATGGGATATATGGGGTAAGGGGCATGTATATGGGAGATATGGGTTGAGGGGGTTGATGGCTAATTGCTAAGGTAGGTGAATATACTGAAGATTCTATTTTATGTAACTAATGATATTACCACATATTTTATGGTAACTCATTTTCTATTTTTACCTATAACAAGGACATTTTTCTCTTCAAATCCCTTGAAGTCTTTATAGGAATGACTGTGCATCTGAACACCCTCAAACAGCTCCATTCCTTTGAAAGTTGGCCAGGATGGTTGCCAATGGTGTCCAGTGCATGCCATAACAGCATCAAATATCTCAACTTTGATCTCCTCACTGTCACCAACAACTGGCTTTGAGGTAACTTTCCAAGAGCAAGACTTCTCAAAGTCGGAAGATCTACTGATATTCAACACTTTCTGACCAAATCGAATGTACTTTTCCAAGCCAAAATTCTGAGCGTATAATTGAAAATACTTCATGACAAATGTGTTATGCATGAAGGGAGGGAACTCTTTTGGCATGGGAAAATCGCTGTAGCACATCATCTCTTTGCTTGTGTTTATTACCGTGGAGCGATACACAGAACTCGAAATACTATTTTCCTCGGTAAACTTCCACATTCCACCAACGTAAGTTTCTTGTTCAAAACAGACAGGTTCAAAGCCTTCATCCAGACAACATTTTATCGCCGTCAAACCACTTCCCCCAGCGCCAACGATAGCTACACGCAGTTTCGTCATTTCAATTTCTTTTAAAAAAAGTCTCTTTTCAAGTATAAATTCTCAAGGTAAAGCCTTGCGACTCCGGATATTGCGCAAAAACAAATACGATAAACAGAGTGAACGAAGAAACAAAGATCGGTAATGACAGACAAATAATGCAATGTTATATGAAGTATTGCAGTATCTCACCTTCTCTATTTAAAAATGGCAACCTTTTCAATGGTGAGAAATTTGTACAGTAAAATTCGCTTGGAAAACGTTGGAACTACGTTTAAAGTAGCGAGGAACTTGTCCCTCACAAGGTATTGAAGTCGATTTGCTTTTTACTTAGTGCAAAGTCTGGCCGCATGTACGTTTTATAGCAACTTCTAAGTGATCCCTCTTCTGGCATATTAAATATGCGCATTGTGATAAGAGGATGGCTCAGACCGGGGGAGCAATGAGACCGCCACACCGGCCGGACCGGGTTATTTGGATGTTTGAACAAAAGAAATCAGTCGGGCATAAGACGAGGGGGGCCCCCTCCAATTAAGTCTCTCGAAAACCCGAGGTACGAGGTTGGCTAGGGTCCTGCTCTTGTCTCAGTTGTCTCTACAGTTTTGCTGATCCTCTAGGAAATATAGTCTATACTGTCTACTGCTAGTGCAGTCTGATTTAAGACCTTAATCCGATTATTTATAACAAGTTTAACATGTGTCAATTACTTCCAGAATAGAGATGAAGGATTGACTTTAGAAAGTTGAAAGAGGTGTACCATGCTACCCATAACCCCAGGGTGGGGTTATATATATATATATATATATATATATATATATATATATATATATATATATATATATATATATATATAGTACAGATTTCACAGTTTTGTTTGGAGCTGACTCACTATCTAGCGATTGTGAATTGTCAATCTAAAGAATTTTATGCACATTCTTCTAGACTTTCAAATATGAAAATTTATACAAAAAAGGGTGACAAAGGTATTATGAATATTTGCTATCATGTGCATTATGTTTTTCTCACAGGGTAGGAAAGAGCATTTCAAAGCCATATAGATAATCAAAAATTTTTGCAGGAGGTGTGTAGGGCCTTCTTAAACATGCTCTGTTGGTTGCACGTACTTGTAAAGTCTTCTATCTTTGAAATTTTTTTTTACTTACCTTGCAAAATCTGCTGTTGTAATTTTAAAAGTGGAGTGTTGTAGTTTTTCCCATACCTGGAATATAGTTCAACCCTGAGTAGATATGACCAATCAAAAGAAAGCTGTGAACACAGCATCAGGCTTGCTTTCTTTTTCAGGGTACTCCTATAATTTTCTTGGTGAGCGACGACCCAAAGATGATGAAATATTTGAAGCTCTTGGAACCACAGATGAACTATCATCAGCTATTGGGTAAGAAATAAACCATTTATCATAAACAAGGGAGTATTTCATTTTAAACTAATTTGTTTACATTTTCAGGCTCAGCAAATCAATTTCTTGTAAAATAATTCATGTAGCTACCTTTTTACTGGAAGTAGTCAATATTCATGCATTTTGATTGAGTTAGTGAAAATGTAAACAAATTTGCAACTGAATTGACTTAAAACGAAATTTCTCCTTGTTCCTTTCGTATGATAAGGAATACCGACCGTGACGTTAACTAACTTCTTCAGTATTCACCATGCACGATCGGACAGTGCCAGTGGGCTTTGTTTAGTTTGGTAAAGACCAAGCAAAATACCCGTATGCGAAATTTGTGCGAAAAGTACCAATGTAATTCTCGGCAAAGACCGAGCAAGCGAGATTGATGCAATTAAGTTATGTGACAGTATAAAGGCATGCTACGCATTTGAAAATAAAACAAATTTACATAATTTTACCTGAATCTCTTTGTGGACATCTTATAGATTACAATATAAATAATCTTTTCTTGCATCATTTGTTTTTACCATTTTCGTTTAAATTTTTTTCTTTTTTATCTCGTATTAATGGTCGCCGGTTCTACAGTGAGTGTATAATGAAAACATTCAAACTCTGTTCAAATCAGATATTTATGAATTGACTATACAGGGTGTCTCAAAAAAAACGCAACCACCTAAATATGCAAGAATATTAATATTGTTCGGGTTTGCACCACAGTTCAGCTAAAATGACTTTTAGCATTGTAAATGAAGGATTAAGAGCCATTTTCCATTCCCAGAGGTGCTTATCTATTGTGCTTTAGAGCTGTATTAATGTCTTGCATATTTAAGTGTTTGCGTTTTTTTTTAGACACCCTGTATTTGATCCCCCAAGGGTACGTAAATCACAATTCATCATGCTCGGGGATGTCGAAGTCAGTTGAGTGTTAAAACTTGTGTGGCTATTCGAAAGGAATAAAACATATTTTCAAATCCAACCAAGAAGAAAAATTAGTTGCTCCACTGGCATCGCAAAACGCTATTTGCAGTTGCTATTTCATTTGTTCGCCCGACTGCCAGTCTGTCACAAGGAAACTGAAAGAATTCATTCGAGTGCTGTGCGAAATATTTCTTCCAGTCCCGTGTCGGGCCGTGAAAACGTTTGTATAGCCTTCTAACCTTTCATATCTGCAAAATTGACCACGTATATTATTCCGTTTAAAGAGTCGCTTCAGAATTCTGTGCTGATGAAGGTCATGGAATCGTGGAAGAACTTCAAGAGGTTTGATCTTTTTATACAAAGTTCACTGAGCCAGTCTCACTGTCGCCTTCTGAATTCAGGTCGGCAATCGCACATGTATGTATATTGCCGATGATTGCCAACTATCGTCATCTCAGGTCGGTAAAAAATTGCCGACCTAGTGCTGGATGTCATCAAAATATCTTTCCTGTAGTAAGTAAAATCGTTTGTAGTACAGTAAACGCCGGCAATATTGTACTTCCATGCGGTCCAAGGTTGTTTCAATCGTTGAGAATTTATGTCTGGGAAGCCAGTTAAGTGCATGACTGCATGGCTTGTTTGTTTTTACGCAGCCAATCATATTTCAGAAAAACGTGAAAAACAACCTAATTATAGAACACAAATTTTCTTATGTTTTTTCTGCATTATCGAAATATCAGGCCGGAAGATTTTTAAAACCTGAAACTGCAAACAAGGTCGGCACGGGACGGCATTTTAAAATTTTAAATAAAACGTCAACTTTACATTAATTAAATGAACACTTGTGTCTTGACTTTTCTAGACACTGATAGTCTAATAGTGAAAGTCAATCGGGTTTCTATATAAAGTTATATCTGAGGACTGTAACGTTCTAGTAAAAAATCATACGTCATTTTAAAAGTGCACATGACAATGACAATAAAATTATAAAACTGGTCGTCTTTTGCCAATGGCAACGGACAGACTTGCTTATGCACTTAACTGGCTTCCATCCCCAGACGATTGGCACAATCTGGGGATCGCAAGGGGAGTATAATATTGTGTTCACTGTGCTTTACACTAATGAATTAACCTACTGAGTACTGTCTGGAGAGATACTTTGATGACATATCCAGCACACCACGTTGCCGTCCGAAATTTTTCGCCAGCCGAGATACGATATGACGGCAATCAGGTTTATTTCATTTATCCATGTATGCACAGTAGAATCTTCACTCAGCAATTAGGTATATGTACAGATATAAGTTACACTGAATTGTATATAGAACTAAATATTATGTATATATATTATATAAGAACTAGATAGTAAATACGAGAATAAATATAGAATTAATTAAAAGTCATACGATGTCCGAATGAGACTATATATAACAGCGCCATTCATTTTCTTTCGTAGGTTCAATGTATTTTGCAAGATGTCGGTGCCAACATAGCTACGCCGAGATCCTCAACAAATGAGAAAAAAGTCGGTTAGTTAAATTTATTTATTTACTAATTTAGTAATCATGTCATATGCCGTGCAACATAGGCATATAGCCATTGCCATTGGCGTTGTTCATCAATAATAGCGAGCCATACAAGATTTAGGACTGCCACACGATGATGACGGCTAGAAACTCGTTCAATTATTAAATGCGATGCCAATTGTCGAACGGAAAACTATAGCCGAATATTATTAATCCGGACTTGAAATTTAATTTTCCGTGCAAGGACAAGATTCATGACCAAGGAAAAGATTTGTCATTTGAATGTTGTACCGCGTATAGTAAGACGCGAGAATCTGTGTTTTACCGCACTGTAAACAGCAAGAAGAGAAGCCTTCTGAAACTTACAACATATATAGTCAGAGACAGAGTAACTTATTTCAAAACTTGGTCAAACTACAGATTATTTGCAAGAAATTAATGTTTTCATCCAGGGATTTTCATTACACTTTAAGAAAATCTAACGCGGCGAGTTCAGCTTTGAAGCAGCTTACCTGGTCGTGGGTCTTTTGATTCCTCGTCAGTCGTCATGCACTCTCTTCGTTTAAATAAAGCAAGTCTGAAATCTTTGTATTCATCCGGATTTTCCGACTTCCATGCATGCACACGAAAACCAAATAGAACCGTAGTCCTTCGTTACACATGCTGTATACCGACTCTTTTAGAATGTATTTCATAGCTAGCCTATTGCATATTTCCTACATTGTACTGATGATACTTCACGTTTAAAGAAAACTTTATGTATATATAGCTATATAGCCTATATATGTACATGTATGTTGGGTAATCTTGCGTAAATCTTACACTAAAACTATGCAGTGATAAAATGATTATAGGATACAAAATCTTCATCCCCGACCCCCCGTATTTCCCAATTCAATTGTTTCTCATACTTGAATGTTTTGCAGATAAGACGCGTTTTCAATCCGGAGAAGTTGAACGTCTGGAAACATGGATTGATCGATACCACTCACAACTTCCGGAACTAACCAACTTTATTTTGCCAGTAAGTATACTTAATAAGGCCGACGACCATACAGATTATGACATCATGGAAAAGAAATAACATGCAGGGCCAGGTTGTATCAAGGCCGTTTAGCTTAAACGGCGGATAAGTCAAAATTAAATAACACTCTTACATCTCTCTTGAATGAGTCAACTTGAATTTTATGCACTGAATGAGTAGTTGTAAACAGTATCTTTGTATTAAGGTTAAAAACATTTAGTTTGCTTCATGAATAAAACGATAGACTTGCTTTCTATTTTGAACTTAAGCTAAACGGGCTTGATACAACCGGCCCCTGAAAGCTAAATAACTCCCCCTTTTTATATGATCTGAAATGGCGGGAAAGGACTTTATAGGACTACTGGACTATTGTTCAGTCTAGTTGTGATTTGTGAAATAAAAGTCCATTTTTCCGTTGAAACCACTTAATATCTCTTTAAATATACTTTATCTCAGTCTCAAATTTATATCAGTGTTATAGACCTTAAACTTATAAATAAACGATAGAGTCGATGATATAAATAAAGATATAATCGATTAAATACTGCAGAATGGATTTCTATTTTGACATGTTTGGTCACCTGGAAGAGTAAGGTTGTTAGACTAAGTTTGTTGAACATTTTGTAATGTTTTTAAATACTTAGAAACTCTTAGACTCCACCTTGTAACGTACGCAGGTAAGATTTGGAACAAAATACTTTCATAAATTTGTATTTTACCTTGCAGTCTGGGGGAAAGAGCAGTGCAAGCCTCCACCTCGCAAGATCCATTTGTAGAAGGGCAGAGAGGAGGTTAGTGCGGGTGTAAAGTGCAGTGTAAAATCAATGAAATGATTGAAATCAGGGATTTTTAGGAGTAAACCAGGCTTTCAATTTCTAACGAGTATTGATAGAAAGGCAATAACTGCAGGCGATTTGTTTTGATCCAAAATTTAAAGATCTCTCTGTTTCAGAATTTCGCCCTTGGTTCGTGCGGGAGGCGTAGATGGTGAAGTGTTACGTTACGTTAACAGGTAATACCTTCATTATGAACTTATGCAATATCCAAAGTAACCGTAAAACACGATTTAACCATAAACAGACAATCCGATTTTTTGTGTGTGGAGGGTGGACTTCTGAGCAATCAACCTTTCCCCTATAAACCCCTATGTGGTCACCCCCTCTCCTAGCTCGGTAGCCGTCTTTCTAGTGAGCTCTATACATAGTGGACCTTTCCATTATAAACATCTCTATAGTCTCTATCTCTCTCAGCTCATTAGCCATCTCTAATTAGCCCATAACTAATAGGTCTCTATTTTATAAAATTTCCTCCCCCTGCACTAATCACTCTCCTCTCAAATCCCATCTCTTAGCTCATCACCCCTCTTCCTCTCCACTGTTAAAAGATTTATTTCCGAAGCGATAGATAAGCTAACAATCCCGAAAGGGGCGACAAGCTCAAACACTCCCCATCATCGTCTTTCAGATTAAGTGACTACCTGTTCACTGCAGCAAGGTTTGTTTGTCAAGCTGAAGGGAAAAGCGAAAGGATTTACGAGCGGGAACGGAGACACTAAACAATGGAAAACATGCCACGTGAAGGATGGGGACGAGGTTAGGAGAATATTCATTCCAATACAAGTTCTAACCTTGTTGTTATAGTGGCACGGGTAGATGATCACCAGAGATGCCCGAACGAGTCGTGGTTTACATATTCAGTCGTTACGGTCGTTAACATGGTTGCTGTATTTCTATGTGGTCAGCAATGACAGGTTTGAACCGAACTATTTCACATCGGTTGAAACGACTTGTTTCAGAACAATTCACGACCATGGAAAGTGGGAAACATTTGAGTTTAATTTGCCAGATGAAGCTCATTGGCTGGTTTTCAGCCACTTCTAAGGCAATTCATGTGCTAAGATTAATCACTGCTTGTTATCCGCAAGGCAAGAAATTTAAATGGCATTTTTGCACCAGGTTTCTTAAAAGCTAAGGGGACAGCGACCATCGCTGACATATAAGAGAACTTGTGAGTGCATTTTTGAACAGATGACATAGTATCTGCACAAATGAACTTACTGTGTCATGTAAATAACTTTTCAAAAAACATTATTTTTGGCAGAATATAACACATTTTCTGTATTGCAACATTATGTTGCCTTCTGGGTTCATCAATATTTATATCAAATTTCTGATTTTTGCCAATTAGATTCCTGATTTAATCATTTGTGATTGCCCTCTTGTACCTAAAATCATGAAATACCACACCCTACCCATTTGATGGAATTTCTTTTGAGGCCAGAATATACACTTCCACACAAATTATGTTTTCAACATTTATTTCTTGCTTTTGAAATCAAACTACACTTGTTTAGTCAAAGAGTCCAAAGCCCATATCATCATCACTCTCCTCAGACTCTTCCTTTTTCTCCTCTTTCTTTTCTTCTTCCTTAGCGGCCCCTCCGGCATCACCACCACCTCCTGCTGCTGCAGCACCACCACCACCACTGCTTACCATACCACCAGTTGGTATGCCAGCTAGCTTTTCCTTACCAGCTGCAATCACCTGAAAGAAATACCTTTTTTAGAGTGTTTTATCAACAAATGAATTAAACAGGTGAATACAACTTTCAGAATATGTGCAAAACATAATAAACATTGGATATTTTGATGTTACTTTCTCTTGCCAAGTAATGTTGCTAATTACAATTCAAGGAAACCATTAATATGAAAACATATATCCCATCATGTGACTTAATGAATACATGTATATTTATCAGGAAGATACAACAAGAAAACAAAATAAATTTCACTACACAAAATAAATCTATGGTTAAAATTATTGAATGTGTGATGAAAGAATAACCTCATTGATGTCTTTTCCATTCAACTCAGAGACAACCTTGTTTAGTTTTTCATCATCAACATTCACTCCAACGCTTTCCAAAATTTTTTTGATATCTTTGGCCGAAGGTGAGTCATTGCCACCAAGATTGGCTAACAAGTATGCGGCCACGTAACGCATCTACAATAAAAATACAAAATCCTATAAGTAATTTTGAATTACCTTTATGAAGCAGTTAGCTTCTCACCTGGAGAACATTATCTCTATTCACTATTCAGCTGGTAAATCCTAATATATCTGTGTGTGTGTTATTGTGGTATTTTACTCTGGTAATAGACCATCTCACCGTTTATATGGTACTGTCAGAGTTGATTGATTATCTAGCAATACCATTTAAGAGTAAAACAAGGTGAAACCAGTTAAGGGGTTGTTTCTAGTGGTGTCAGACTACAATCTGGATGAGAAAAATGGAACTTTTTTACTAACAATTTTTCGAAAAATGTTTAAGGAAATTACAAGAGAGGCGTAACTTTTCACAAAATTTAAAGTGTGATTGTAGTGAATTCGTTAAAGTTATAATTCAAGTTTTTTTCAAATCTGACACACACCCCCCCTTGCATATTTAGATATACTTGGGGTCTTAGATTTCATTTCTACTTTACAAATTTGTATACACACAGATACAGCCTAGTTTAAACGGGTTTTCCCTGGAGTCTGTCGAATATCATATCACAAATATCATAGACAAGGAAACCGAGCAGTCATAGACTCACAAGTCACAACCCAAGCACATATAAACCTTTCGGTCCTTTCCACGTGGACTAAAAATTCTTCAATTTTTTTAGCAAAAACTCCAGGCGAAATCGCCATTCATTACGAACAAATGAGGGAATGTATTGTTAGGGACATTTTACTTACTTTTTAAGTCGACTAGGACACGAAACGAAGTGCACGCGGAAGGTTTTTTGAGAGATTTTCTTATAAAACTTGCTTTAGTTACAAGCTCAAGAGAAAGGGCTAATTATAGGGGGGTCCTTCTATAAGTGCACGGGCTTTTTAGTGTTTCCGTTTGGAAACGGGCTTTTCAGTTTTTCCGTTTCCATTTTGATAGTTACCACAGTGAATTTATAAACATAAACAACAACAACAGTTTCTTTGACAAATTTCTTCTTTTAGTCACTGCATTCAAATAATTGGATGAGTTGCGAGTGTATTATGTCGCTTTTCACGAGCATGGAGCAACCTTATTGCAAGAAATAGAATGGAACAGAATGGAACAGGACAACCTCGTACCCTATAGCAGTAGCGCAAACCAACCATGAACACAACAGGGCTCGAAGTCCAGGATTTCGAGGCTTTGAGCCTCGTTTACGAGTTTTTTCTACATTCACTGTTAGGGAATAAAATTCTCATGCATGTACGTAACGGCGAATAATTTTTTCCCCTGAGCCTGTTTGTACGAATGCTGGCTTTTTTTTCAACCGCTGTAAAAATGCCTGAGAATTAATAAAACCACAGCTTTAGAGTAGAAAATAACTTTTTTAAGAATTACCAAGGTTTATTAAAACACAAGCTCTTTGCTCTTTGGCCACGGTTTGGTAGGGCCTTCTTTGATGTGTTCTAAGACAATGAAAAAAAGCACTTTATTCACGTTGACAACTTAAAATTTACGTTTTTTCATAGGAAGCCCAGACAAATGAGTTGAAGTTAATAAAAGTCCGTAAAACACTTGAGATATGTGTTAAAATTAATTAAAGTATGTTATATGCTACAAAACTACTGTTAGAACCATGTATGTAGCGTGCTCCAGAGCCGCTGCCATTTGACTATGCAACTAGTGACGTAACTTACTATATTATTAGGAAGGATGGAAACTCTCGCCTCAATTTTCAACATGTTCACAAATTAAAACACAAATTACTATAGTAAAACGGCACGTCGACTGCTAAATGCCTACCTATGGTGGCCGATCTCCGCCATAGCGAAATTTCCATTTATTTTTATATTTTCTAAAATAAATCAATTTAAAATTTAAATGTTGACTAAATAGGAAAAGCAATAAAAAACAAATGTAAAATAAGGAAAAATCAAAACAAAATGCACTTCAAAAAATAATGAAAAAGAAATGAAAATCAAATTATCTACGGCCGAGAACCGCCATAGCCCGCAATACTTAGAGGACTTATCATAGGCACTTAGCTATACTTCATATAGGCTGAATAGGCATAAGCCATTCAAAATGGCGCGAATAAGAAACAATAGTTGGCAGGATGATTTGCAACTGAAGAAGGCTTTACAAAATTATATAAATAGCCGCTTAAAGCATAAAGAAATTCTTGACTTTATGCAAAGAGACTTCAGCCAGTATGCATGGAGTTCTAGGACGTTAGAACGGCGATTAAACCATTTTGAAATACGTTGTACCAACAGAAATATTTCAGTTGATCAAGTTCGAAATGCAGTTCAGGAAGAATTACAAGGTCCTGGTAAACTGCTCGGTTACCGAGCCATGCATCAAAAAATAAGACAGGTTCATGAACTTGCTGTACCAAGGGATCTAGTATATGATGTTATGTTTGAACTAGACCCAAAAGGATTGGAATGCAGAGCTCCAGGTTTTAAAACGAAAAAGAAGAAGGGCAATTTCACGTCGCCCGGTCCCAATTTTGTGCACTCACTCGATGGTCACGATAAACTAATGGGCTTCCAGAATAGTACTTTCCCTATTGCAGTATATGGCTGCCTTGACACATGTAGCCGAAAAGTACTGTGGGTGAAAGTGTGGATGAGCAATAGTGACCCAAAGCTGATTGGCCGTTTTTATCTGGAATATCTTTACAATCAGCACACCATTGCAAGCATGTTAAGGGTAGATAAAGGGACAGAGACTGGTACCATGGCCACAATGCATGCATACTTACGCCAGCAACATGGCGATATGGAGGCTGGTGAAACTGTACTTTTTGGTCCATCAACATCAAATCAGGTAAAAAAGCTTTTATGTAGGAATAATATAAAGTAGGCCTTTTATATAAGTGTACCACCACAACTGATGAAGTCTTGTCAGAAAATTAAATATTTTTCTTGATGCATTACAGATAGAACGGTGGTGGAAAGAACTACATGAAAGGTTGGAGAAGTATTATAAAGCACCACTGTTATGGCTTAAAGATCAAGGGCATTATGATCCTCAAAATGAAACACACAGGTAGATTCATTGTACATTTATATCTTAACCATGCAAAACTGGTATCTGTATTAACAATTTGGTATAATTTTGTAGGTGTCTATTGGCATACATAATGGTCCCTTTGATTCAGAAGGAAATTGACAGTTTTGTTCATCTATGGAACAGCCACAGAATAAGGAAACAGAGGGATACGGTATTGCCAGATGGAATTCCAAACCACATATATGATTTCCCAACAAATTATGGTCTTAGAGAATGTGGTATGTACACTATGCAAGTAACTATTCCTTTACAAGTTTCACCCTACTTGTGCACATATCTAGTTGTTAAAAATTATCCTTATTCTAAAATGTTTTCACTCTTCTGATAAATTATCATTTGTTCATGTATGCATTGCTAACATGTTGGGAAACATGAAAATTAAATAAGAAATAGTTAAATTTTTTGGAAAGGCAAACTCCCTTGCAATGGTATGCTATGCTTATGTTTTTTATTAATTAAGCACAAGTAGAAAAAACTTTAGAATGTTTAAAGGGTTAATAGGTTCAAACCACATTTGATTTATCTTTTTCATGCTTTGTAGGTTGGAAAATCAATGATAATCAAATTAGAGAAGTGGCAGAACTGTCAGGAGTATTGGAAGTACATGATGACTATCTAGACTCTGGTTTTAGGGCACAGTGTGAGAAATTGCTTCCTGAACCATCAAATTTAAAGCCATCAGATTGTGAGACTGCCTTTCTTTTCCTATGTGAACATATGCAACTGCAAACTGTATAATTTTTTGAGAGCTGTTTATAGGTTGATGTCAAAATTATTAAAAATAGCAACATGACTGTTTAGAATATTCAATTTTGTGGCATTATGACAATGTTTCAGGTTTTTTGAGTTATTCTACAAAACAAATTTCCCAATCTGAAATGACTATTTTTGGCTCATAATCATATCATATTTAAACACCTAGGGCCACAATTCACAAGCTGTAGTGCATAATATTGTTATTGCCTTTCAAAGGTTGCTTTTGAATTTATCATAAGATTTATGCTTGTAATGAACCAATTAGAAGAACCAAAAAAAATACACTGTACTTTTCAAACATAAAATTGCTATCAATTAAAAAGGAGAGAATCTTTTAATAAATTAATTCTCTTTATTCTATAGAGTAACTAAACATTAAAACAACAAAATGTCAATACTGATCTTTCAAGTTTCAACTATTTCCAGACTAACAAATCCTTTCCAAGTAACTATCAACGTCACTAAACGAATATAAAAAACTTTAACTCTGTTGGTTAATTGTTGATATTAATGCACCAATAAGAGTAGGGTAGTCTTGACCACTACATGTCTCCTATGCTATTGAATTCAGTCCAACTAACTGGCAAAATTTGTTGCACTTGTGGTTTGAAACAAATGTTTTGATTGCTTCTGTACTTAGGTTTCCAGCACAAAACATAAATTCCTTTTCTTCACCAACAAGCTTTTCTGAAGCTACTTCAGGGTCAAACAGCTGATGACCGCTTCCTTGCAGATCAAGAACCATTAACTGGCAATTGGACTTCTCATATGAAAAGTGGACCAAGCACTCAGCTTTTTGGCCCAGCAAATGGCTAGTAGGAACACATAGTTCTCCAGTATTGTTTACATATTTAACAAACTTACCCTTAATGTGTGGCTCAATTGTTACACATTCACCTGTGCCTTGTATCTTGCCAAAGTGAACAATTTGAAACTGCATGACAGGACCAAACGTGTCACAAATGTTCTTCTGCTTCACAGTTTTTGATAGCTGATCAGCAAAATTTTTGGAAAGATGGTGCATCTGAATCACTTTCTTAGTTTGCTCCTCCATAGATTGGCCAAGATCATTTGTTACCTCGCTGACAGTTTTTTCTAAGTACCTCTTTATGACCCAATCTTTGCCTACAAAACCAGCTGTGTTGCTTCTAGCTTTGTACGCTTTGCGGAAACCACCTTGAATAAATAAATGTATCCTTGTAAATAAATAAAATCTATTGTTCGTTAGGCTTTCAAGATATAAAATACTGCAACTATTGCCATACACAATTTAAACACATTTATACATTACCTTCTCCCAGTACAGAATTTTCAACAGTAAATTCCACAACTTGTGGGAGTACAGACCATGATAAACTGCTAAATTCAAAGCTGAACACATCAATTATCATTCTGGTGGTTGTATCAGCGACATCAGGCTTTATTAGCTTTCCAAGTTTGACCATTTCAGATATGGTTAAGCTTTTGGGGCAGGTCGTTTTGCAGGGCTTGATGAACATCTTTCACTTTTAATCTTCCTTTTATCAGGACTCTCTCTAAATTGAATGCAGTCGCTCATGAAGCTGAATGCAGGGTTTTCGCCTCCCATGATATCTTGGGATATACGACTCACAGACGAAGTAGACGGCCGAGCATTCATTTTTTGTGGCTTGATGAACCTTACATGTACTACTTTTAAGTCAGGAACATGTTCCATCGATAGACAAGAAGGCCCTTGGTCGCCGGCTAACACATCACAGATCAATCCTTCTCCCGATAGGGACTTGTAATGTCTTTCGCATGCCGCTTTGATTGCACGAATACTGACTTCTTCTTCGTTAAATGGGACAAACTCACGTGCCCCAATCCGACTGTATTTTTGAGCTTTTCCCGATACTTCAGAACTTAGTCTTTGAACAACAAGTTCCCCATTACGTACAATTTGGTCCCCTGCACTCAACCCTTTATTATTTACGGCAGTTTGTGCTTTTTTACACCGCTTGTCCTTCATTTTTTCTCTGAAAGTCTCCCAAGTGTCATTTTTCTTCGCCATGTTTGAATCTCAAAAAGCTGAATCGTGGCTTATGCCTATATGAAGTATGACTAAGTCCCTATGATAAGTCCTCTAAGTATTGCGGGCTATGGCGGTTCTCGGCCGTAGATAATTTGATTTTCATTTCTTTTTCATTATTTTTTGAAGTGCATTTTGTTTTGATTTTTCCTTATTTTACATTTGTTTTTTATTGCTTTTCCTATTTAGTCAACATTTAAATTTTAAATTGATTTATTTTAGAAAATATAAAAATAAATGGAAATTTCGCTATGGCGGAGATCGGCCACCATAGCCTACCCTAGGTTTAAGTTGAATAATCAAACTATACTTTCATCACAAAAATAATACTGAATTCAAAAGAAAGCGCTGGAAAAACGTACACAAACTTTGTAAATTTGCCGAAATTTACGTGAATTCATGCGGGATGTAAGTACCTACCCAAAATGGCGGCGGCAAAAGAATCTGATTGGTCGATCATTCTTTGTTTACCTTTCTCGACCAATCAGATTGGTTTATCATACTTTGTTTACCTTTCTCGACCAATCAGATTCTTCTGCCGCCACCATTTTGGGTAGGTACTTACATCCCGCATGAATTCACGAAAATTTCGGCAAATTTACAAAGTTTGTGTACGTTTTTCCAGCGCTTTCTTTTGAATTCAGCATTATTTTTGTGATGAAAGTATAGTTTGATTATTCAACTTAAACCTAGGGTAGGCATTTAGCAGTCGACGTGCCGTTTTACTATAGTAATTTGTGTTTTAATTTGTGAACATGTTGAAAATTGAGGCGAGAGTTTCCATCCTTCCTAATAATATAGTAAGTTACGTCACTAGTTGCATAGTCAAATGGCAGCGCCTCTGGAGCACGCTACATACATGGTTCTAACAGTAGTTTTGTAGCATATTACATTATATATTATAATTTTAACACATATCTCAAGTGTTTTACGGATTTTTATTAACTTCAACTCATTTGTCTGGGCTTCCTATGGTTTTTTACGCTGTTTTATGTTGAATTAATTTACATAATTATTTTCTTTGGGCCAAAGTTCGTCCAAACCAATTGCTAGTTTAGGGTATGTGCACACGAGCGTTTTTGAGCGTTTTCAAAATCGTTCCTGTCCATTTTATTGTTGAGCACCCTGTCCACACAATCCAAGGAAAAAATATGCCTAATATTTTTAATCCAAACTGACGGCGCTTGAAACCGTTTTGGTATGAGGACAGATGTGGAAACGCACGAAAACGTTACTGTGTGAACATGCATATGGTCTGTTAACAGTTATACATGTTAACAGTTAATCAGTTATACTCGTTAACATTTATACTCATTAACATTAGTATTCAAGTTTATATTATTAGCATAAATTATAGAGAACATCACAGTAATATATAGAGATCATCGGACACGTTGTTTCATGTTTGCTTTAATAGCGAGAACAAAAGACAATTGTGTTAAATATACTCCATTATTATTCGAAATAAACCAAATAATCTACATGGTCTACCATATCGAAGCCTGCGAAGTCATAAGAAGTTTATTTTTACTTGTAGATGAACAGCAGCGATTCTTTTATGTCTCCCAGACGCTTTCCATCTTTGACAAAGGTCATTCCTTCGATTATTGCCAGCGTCTCCTCCAAGTCATGTTGACTCACCATCTTACGATAGTTCTCAGTGTTGGTCAGAAAGTCGAGAAGTAGGCTTCCTTCCTCCGATTCCTCGTTGAATACTTCGCTAACATCTAGAAACGTTCCAGCGCGATAAAACTCGTGCTTTAAACCGTGTTTTCCCACAATCTTCACGAGCTCTTCCGATAACTCGATGCTTATGGACTCGGTGAGATTAGTCATAGCATCGTCGCGATTCCGTTGTCTCATTATCGACAGTAGCTTACAAGGAATGCTGTCGCTGTTGCCTATCAGGCAAACCAAATAACCATTCTCGGCTAGCAGATTCTCTACGCAATACATCACAGTTTGTTCAAGATCTACATAATACAAACTGTGAATAAAATGCACGATATCAAATGTCATACGATCTTCATTGGATTTTTGGTACTCTTGAAACGTCTGTTGTCTGATTTCGTAATTTGGAGAAGTGGCATGGCCAACTTTCGCAATTTTCTCCTTGTATCCTTGGGTTGAAGGCTCGTCAGGCTCAACAGCTCGATTCAAAATACGTATGTGTTTCCATTCCTGCTTTTTTATCAACTCTCGCTGAACTATGTTAACAATTTCAATATCAGTCTCTCCAGTACCGCTTCCAACGCCTAGGATATTGAACTGAGGTCGCTGCTCGATGATAATAGACGACACAGCTTTTTTAACGATCTGAGGAAGATAATTTTGCAAGGTCCGGGCATTCTCGTAATGCTGGTTTGATTTTTTTAGAAATACACCAAAGCTTCTCATAAAGTGGTCTGAAGACATGACTTCCGTATTTGGAATGCCCGCAAGGTCGGTTGAAACTTGAAAGATGAGCAAAACGTAAGATGATACCCGACTCAAAACAACCTCCCATGCGGGTAATATTGCCTGTATACCAACCTCCAGAACTCTGTATCAGGCTATTAGCGGCTGAGGAAACTAGTGAACTAGTCTAAGGGATGCTATAGCCATTTTTTTTAGCTATAACACTAGCTACTAGGTCTGCACACGGTAAATAGAAATAAGAATCTTATTTTTATTAACCGTAGTCTGCATCTCATCACTGGTTATCCCCCGGTCGGTCCAGTTAAATAAGGTTGTTATAGAGCTCACTGGTGCAGAATTCGGAGAAAGCTTATTAAAGATGGCGGATCGAGTAAGTCAACTTCAAGATGCTCTAAACGAAGTATGTATCGAAGTGTAAAGTTCGCATGTTACATGTGTATTGCTAATTTAAAATTTACAGTGAAACTGCAACATTAAAGCGCTATTCTACTCATTATCCTAACTATGAAGCTTTGAATTTGCGGGGGGTTTTTATAGGTTTATTTTAATAATAGGTTACCCTGCCATTAACTTAAGGCTGCCAGTTCAAAATCAAGTCAATCAACGTAGTAAATATTAATCCACTAGATACTTCATATTGAAATCTTTAGCGTAGGAACACGGTGTTGGCCATTGGGTAAGGAAAAATCAGCAGCTTGGTTGGGCATACAAAGTCTTGGCGCATTGGTGACTTGGGGGGTTACACAATAATACTTTTCACAAATAGACCCCACACACTTTTCACCTACATATAGCCATCTCTGACTGGAAACAGAATAACAGATTGCATGCCCAAGATTTTAAAAGAGTACTAGTTAGCAAGTAAATAAAAGACATCAAAATTGTGCTATAAATACTTTCCACACTGACACTGCCTCTCTGGTAGCTGTTTATTATTTAGTGTTGTCTAGCTACCATACACATAGTTCATAAAAGTGCATCATTTGCTACACATCAACACCTGAAGCTTGAAATTCAACTTATATAAATATTTGTGTTGTTCAACCGAAACTATAGTCAAAAATATTTACCTATCATTTGATCACTTTGCCTTCGAAATAAAATAACACTGAACCAAAATTACATTTTTTACATCTAGTTGGCCAATCATTTCTGTAATAGTATTGGAATTCTACAACAGACAGCTCAACCTAGTCCATTCCCAGGTTTTGAAAAAGAAGGTAGGCCAATATATACAAAATGATATTACAATTTTATTAACTGGGTATAACCTGAGCAGAGAATGTTCAAAATACGTAGATGGACAATTTAAGTCAATGGGGTTAAATTGTCTGTTAGCAGATTAAATTAAATACCTTCAGCCATGGGGTGAAATGATTGCATACATGACAAATTTTCAGTCCTAGCAAGTGCTGAATGCAACTCCTAGGTTTTAATGTCAGCATGGATAGCTCAAGGAAAACAGAACTGTAGGGTTGAAAGTTTGTTGTGTATTTGTTTATTGTATTTTAACAGGGTTTTATAGAAATGTCATTTTTCAATCTTTTATAGATACTGACATGAAGCAAGATAAAGTAGTAAATAACCAGGAAGGCAAGTTGTAATGACTTAAGATAGTTGTGTATATTGTGTAATGCTCTAGGGATATTTTTTATATGCAGATAAAATTTTACTGCTATCCTGAAGGAAATATTCACAATTCAAACTCAGAATAGAAGTCCCAATTAACTCATTGCTGTTTGCCTATGCCATATGAGAAGACTGGTTGGGCTTTTCAGTACAAAATTAATTAACAAGCTTACACTCAAAAGCTTCCAGGCTGCAAGTTTTGGCTGATAGTCATAGTCATAGTCCCTGCTAAAGCTCCCTAATGATCCCATATAGGTCATGGCAAACTTTTTGCAACACTGATTGCCCGAACAGCGAAAGACATTGATTTTCTTGTTGATTCCTTACCAAGTGAAGAATGCTCCACTGAATTACAGGTACCATGAAAATTTTATGTACTGTACTTTTTTCCAATAGCAGACTTATTGAGATGTTTTGGGATGATTCCTCCCTCCCTGGACCCCCTCTGCCCCACTCCTCACTTTGAAGTGCTGAACCCCACCAAAATGACACTTCACCCCTTTTCCTGAAATATTAGTAAAATTCACTAAAACGTCTCTTGACATTAACCTATGGCTATGTGAATCTATTTTAACTATATACATTATTTCATCTTATTACCAGTCCTAGCACATGAGAAAGAGTACTTCCTTCCCAAACCTGGCTTTTCGCTTTGTTTTTTTTGTCCACAGAGACTTTAACCGTAGTTTTCGAATGTTTATCCAGATTGCTAGTCTCGATAAACTGCAGCAGGAAAACGAAGAGGCAGCCAAGAAGCTTGAGCAAGCTGTTCAAAAAGGAGGTATGTACCATATTATATGAAATTCTGAACGTTTATACACCTCCGTAATTTTTAAATTTTATATTTTCCATAATGTTTTACTGAACTTTAGTTGCTAATTTGTATTGTTAATGTAATTCGTACGTAACTTTGTAATTGAGGTAGGCAGGTTCAATTGGGGCTATGCTCTGTCTGCTCACCTATCATCTGCGTGTTGTAACTCGTTTTTGGAATGATGAAGTTATTAAACTAAACTAAACTGTAATTTTATAATATATAATTTATAGTACCCGCGTGTTGATTGGTCGAGAAACGTGTTTCTTTAACTGTATAGAAACACGGGACTTTTCCCGCCGTAATCAACAAGCCTAGTAATGTGAAATATGTAATGAGAATTTGTACTTGAATCGAATTATAATATTTGAGTTATATTATAAAAGAAATAGAAAACATTTTTTCCGATATAGTTATATAAACACTTGTGGGAGTTGAGGGAACTCGAAATAACGTGGAAAAACTCGCCCTACAGGCTTGAAACCCTCAATCAAATAAATACAAAATATAACAAATACGAAACTTAGTTTTTAAGGCGTTACTTGTTAAAAAAGTAGGAAGAATCCATTAGGCAAATGCCGAATTGCAGTATACTTTGCGTGCCTCAATATTTAATACAAATGCTGGCAAAACGTTGCAGCGGAGTCTACGGCTTTGAGACACGGGTGGATCCAGCACTAGTGCACTAATTTGCATTACAAAACGAAGTGGTTATTTTTAGCAGTTTTCTTGTGTCATGCAAGTTAGTGCACTAGTGCTGGATCGACCCCTGCTTTGAGACATGGTCCGGGTTAAACTGTTGCTAAATATAGTAACTTCCAGCCATGTCGAGACACTGTGGGGGTATAAACCCAATCACAGCGCCGCATCTTATGACGTGGGGCACGTTGGGCCACGGCTGCCCATGTTTACGGGAGAAACACAGAAATGGCTTCATCACGGAAACAACAGCTCGGAAAATCTGACACTGTATTTGGCGCAAATTTTGCTTTGTCGACATAGCGTCTTTTGCGCACTTTGTGGCAAATAAGTTCAAACTTTGTTCACACTTTGTGACAAATAAGTTCAAAGTCTCAAACACTTACATTCGCAAGAAGATAGCTCGAATGAGATTTTGCGAATTGATCTTCGTAGATTTAGAAATACCAACAGTGTCAGTCAGTGCGTTCGTGAGAATTTTCGAAGCCGCAATTTAAAAAGCCAGAAACTTTGATAGATCTCTGCTCGGGTAGACTGCAGGTGAGAATTAGTCTGACTTTACAATTGACTGGACATTTGATATTTTATGCGATTATTCGTTGTATGAAAACTCGATCGCCATGTAGCTATATAAATATCTAAAGTGATGTGAGATTGTCTAGGCCCAGGCCCCAGGTTATACGTCGCATTTTAGTCCCACCACCTCAATATCATCTTATCCATTAATTGTATTCTACGCGATCAAAATGGGACGTATTCACCTCGGTCTTAGGCCTTAATTAAATCGTAATATTTTACCAGGTCAATAGATAATGCAATATTTGATTTCGAGATGGTGATTGTAGACCTTGAGACGCTGTTACACTATGCAATTTTCCTTGAAACTTGCAATGCAATTATAATTTTGAGAGATTTTAATTTGTAAAGAGTGTTCGAAATGTGTAAGAAAACGTCAGCAGATCGTACGAAATGTTCGTATTTGACAACTTTAGATGCTTCAGGAGTAGAATTGCGTTGCAAGAAGAATGTATTTTTCTGTTCGATAAATGCGGGTGGTTTCCACAAGGTCAATTTTAAGAGTAATACCACTGATGAAGGCCTGGGTTAAAGGACCAAGAGCTCTGAGTAAAACGAATACTTTTATGTTTTCTATAAATTGATTATTTTTTCAACTGTTTAAACAATCGAAAAAATTCTGAAATTGCCCTTTTTATAGACATTTAAGGTGGCTCCCTACAGTTCTATGGTTGTATCGCGGTAATTTTGTCGCGCGCGAAATAGTACACGCAACACGCGTGGCTGATGTTGCATGCAGGGCGGGCTTTTTTCTTGTCATTGTGAACTTTTGATAAACACGCGCGGGCCTTCGCGGGATGTCGACTGGTCGCGCGAGGAAATTGAAATCCTGATTTTTGTGACGTCATAAACATAAAAATAAATGTATTTTTCTCGTTTTTCCTTCGGTAAATTCTTTTCAAACTTTACACAGTTTTCTGTAATCTTGAAATGCGTAAAATGTGCAAGTTTTAAGAAAATCGTACCAGCCGAATTTTTTTTAATTAAAAAACAGGATTTTTTGAGGATTTAAAAAAAAGTGCTCGTACGATTTTTTTTAAATGCTAACATTAGAAAGAATTATGGATAAGATTACTGTGTGGAAAAAATTAGAAAGTTTTACCGAAGAAAATTTGAAAAAATTATCTCAGAATCTGTAAATTGGCCCTTTTTAAAATCGTTATGTTACCATGGCAACGAGGTAATTTTATGAAATTTTATATATTTCGTAATTTGCGATATCATAGCAGTTATGTGGCCAAGTTTCGTGATCATACTTTGTAAGATGATAAAATAATGGTCTTTCCAACACAATTGCGCATTACACAATCAAAACTGTAGGGAGCCACCTTAATATTAAACCCTTTTGGCAAATTTACTCCAGTGAAATTGAACGTCGGTTTTTTATGATCTGCAATATGATGCGCTTCTCTTTTAAAATTTTACATCTGTTCAACGCATTGGTATTTAATTAATTCATTAAATTTTGTAACATAGTATACTAACAGTCTATACTAACGGCTGGAGAGTTACCGCTATTAAAGAAGTTGTATCATTATATATCACTTGTCAAAGTTTGATGTTCATAATAATAATGTACATCGCACTCCTCCACAAATATACAAAATATTTCGTCAATTGTTTTGTAGAAAAAGTGATGGAAATGTTGCAGAATGCCCTGAGAGTTATGGCAGAAAAACAGTTGGATTCTGAAAGAGAAGTTCTTGAGAAATGAATCCATCGTGAAAAAAATACAAAACCAGGGAGCGATGCGATCACACTAAATGTAGACACCAACACAGATTACACCACCAGTGCCCATGTAATAAAAGCAATTTGAATGTAAAGTCGTAGACTTGAGCCGTTTGCGGCTATACGGTTGTCTATATCTCTGCCACTGAGCAACAACGAGTATTTATTGACTTAAGCACTCCTTAGTAGAAAACGTTTACAAAAAAACTCGTGTAAATCTCGAAGTTGGTGCGATTGAATTTACAATTCTCAAGAAGCCCGTTAGGGGGCCGTCTTTGTCATGTTTTAAAGAGAAAGCCTTAATAGTCAAACAATTTTAATAAAAAATACACATCGAAAAACAATATCTTTGAACCGTTGATTTGAGCTATTATTGTCTGCAAAATAGCAAGTTACAACATGACAATTTTGCGTTGACTTTGTTGTCGTTATAATATGCCAAAACCACAGATGTACCATGACATCAAATAGATTTCTGAAGAACAAGGAGAAATTTCGTGGTTTTTTCGTATAAAAATGGAACCTTGTTATTTTCTTGTTATTGACTTGCTTTTATAATCCGATTCAAATACATAGTTTATCAAAAACTGTTATATCTTAGATTGAAGATTCACAACCATAGATTTCGCCTTATTTAAAAACCACTGAGCTATATTATCATTCCTGGAGGACTTACTCCTCGAATTTCTGTAACTTTGTCCGCCATCTTTTTGCACAAAAAACATGCTCTGCTGACGTCATATCAATCGACACGGTTAAAATGGGTAATAGTGCTCAATTTTATTGGTGCTCAAGCTACCAAAACAAAGGCCTGGCACGGATGAAATTGGCACGGGTACCCATTTTAGCCGTGCCATGCCAATAAATCGAGTGACGGGGCTATTATGGTCGTTCTCCAGTATGCCTTCTTTCATGTTTCTTCAAGCTACCGTGTTGCGTAAATGTTTTCGCACAATGTTGACATTGATATGGTCGTTCTCCAGTATGTATTCTTTCATGTCTCTTCAAGTGACTCTGTCGCGTAAATGTTTTCGCACAATGTTGACATTGATATGGTCGTTCTTCAGTATGTGTTCCTTCATGTGTCTTCAAGTTACCCTGTCCCGTAAATGTTTTCGCACAATGTTGACATTGCTATGGTCGTTCTCCAGTGTGTGTTCTTTCATGTCTCTTCAAGTGATACTGTCGCGTAAATGTTTTCGCACAATGTTGACATTGATATGGTCGTTCTTCAGTATGTGTTCCTTCATGTGTCTTCAAGTTACCCTGTCCCGTAAATGTTTTCGCACAATGTTGACATTGATATGATCGTTCTCCAGTGTGTGTTCTTTCATGTCTCTTCAAGTGATACTGTCGCGTAAATGTTTTCGCACAATGTTGACATTGATATGGTCGTTCTCCAGTATGTGTTCTTTCGTGTCTCTTCAAGTCACCCTGTTGCATAAATGTTTTCGCACAATGTTGACATTGATATGGTCGTTCTCTAGTATGTATTCTTTCATGTCTCTTCAAGTGACCCTGTTGCGTAAATGTTTTCGCACAATGTTGACATTGATATGGTCGTTCTCCAGTATGTGTTCTTTTATGTCCCTTCAAGTCACCCTGGTGCGTAAATGTTTTCGCACAATGTTGACATTGATATGGTCGTTCTCTAGTATGTATTCTTTCATGTTTCTTCAAGTTACCCTGTTGCGTAAATGTTTTCGCACAATGTTGACATTGATATGGTCGTTCTCCAGTATGTATTCTTTCATGTGTCTTCAAGTTACCCTGTCGCGTAAATGTTTTCGCACAATGTTGACACTGCTTCACTTTCACACTGATATTAACTGGTTTGAAACTCGTACCACAATTCTCTCTATGCATATTAAGATATTCCTCACTGCTGTACTTTCTTCCGCAACGTGAACACTCCCAGGTTTCGTACGATACCAACATTGGACATCTTTTTAAATGCGCTTCCAGGTAATTTATATAGGTATACGTCCTTCCACAATGCTTACAGCGGTGACCACATTCTGCAAAGAAAGACAGGTGAAACTGTAATTACTTATAATTATGATATAATACTTTTGTTCCTGAGCTAATATTTGGAAAAGCATCTGTGATAACTTTTTTCTTTTTTTCCAATATAATCATGTCGTGCATCTTAAGTATCTCACTATCTACCAACTCAATGCTGAGCTCGTACTAGACGGCACTGGTGTCTCAAACTGATTGCATTCTTGAAAGTTTTTGAAAGCTGTTGAGCACTAACTAGAGGTAAAGCTTCACGATTCTTGGGACCGACTTCATTCCGAAGCGTTGTGCTGAAACCACGCGCTAAATGCATGGGGGTTTGCAGTGGTCGTCTTCTTGATTGGATTTTTAAAACGTAAGAAATTGCACAAGTCATATTTTAACATTGCTGTATTTGCATATCCCCTCGGAGCTCAGCATGCGATAAATATGATGTGATATATAGTTACAAAGAAAAGTGAATCACCTCAGATCATTCTCTTGGAAAGCAGTGGTCAACTTTATAAGATCGATCAAGACGCTCATAATGACAAATTACATGCGTCATGTGCAAACGAACGTATAGATAGCTAATACGTACCCTTCAGAATAATTTTATCTTCCTGACTTTCATCATCTTCTTCTGGCAGAGTCAGCAAGCCACTAGCGTCCTCGTATTTATCTCCTGCCTCATCCTCACCCTGATCCCTTTCCGCCAAGTTCAACAACCCGAGTGCTTCCCCGTACTCATCTCCGTACCACACCAACAGCTCGGTACCAGCCTTTATCTCTTTGTACGCCCGGTAGAAAATCTCACCGTGATACTGGTACGCGATCAGATTCTGCTCATTCTCACAGCGCGCGCAATTCACATAACGAATCCAGTTACTGTTACTTGGGTCAATCCCATCCACTACATGCGTGGCTTTCCCGTTTTTAACTATCTGAAAACGAACGAAAAGAAAAAGGTTTTTCAGAAAGAAACCTTATATTAAAAATTCTATGCAGTAGAACAGCTATGATTAAGACTGAACTCCTAAGGACAGTACTCGAGGAATAGAATAGAATTTTCAGAAAACTTCAAACGAATTGCTTCATTATCTCGAATAAATATCAATCTGAAACTGGTAATGTCTCGGCCAAATCAACTAATTAAATATTGACGGAACTGAACAGAATGTTGCTGTCTACGTACTCTGAGTGATTTCAGTATAATTTCAGTACTGAAATATGGCCTTCGAGAATTCTGATTGGCTACCTCGATGACGTGTAACTACGAGTATGAGGGCATAGTTTAATTCTGCCGCCTGAGCGAATTCAAAAACGAATAAAACGAATATACAAGCAAGGTTCTGGCGTACAGAGAACAAATCCATCGCTGGGATTGGCACTTATAGACATCGCAGAAAGCGTTAATAAATACTATTTCGGACAGCAAGAAAAAAATAAGAAATTGTCTAAAAGCTTCGCGAGACAGTTTGATTTTTTCACATTAGTTCTGCGTGAAAGCGCGCAGACAATTAAAAATTCCGCTCCGCGGGTAAATTTCCGCCTGGTGGAAAACAGGCTTTACAGTAGGAAAAATGTGAAAAAGCGTAAATGAAACTGCACTGACGACGTACCTCCCACATGTATGATGGGTCTTTTCCATCAATCTCCCCGATGTTGATTTTCTTGCCGGTATAGGGGCCAAAAACGGTGTTCACTTTTATTTTCTTTTTGGTAAAAACACCAAGACCCGCATTTGGAATTGAAGATTTCTTAATCTTTAAATGCGGCGGCAAGGTTCTTTCGGCGTATGACTTGTCGCCATCACAATCTACAATTATGAAAATATGCTTTCTGCATTCGAAACCTTGCACTCGTTTGATCAGTACATTTATCACAATCTGTGTAAAATAACCGATGGTATTAAATATGTCAGTTAAAATCGGCTGTATGAGAAGGTTTTTCAAAAAAACCAGACGCCTGTTATGGCGTTAACTCCGGCGTGCCGCGCACGTGCCAGTCTTCAATATAAAGCTTCTGAACATAAACAATACAGTTCATATTCATTTAGCTGCCTTCAGTGCCTTGCGAACCTAAATGATGTTCGATCGCGACATTCAGAAGCACATCGTACTTTAAAAAGTATAGAAGTTCAAGTGTTTAAAAATGCAAATAAACCGCATGATACGTTCACTTTGTCTTACACTTTCGAATTCGTGCTTATATTAAATCTTCCATCCCGGCCGTGCAAACTACGACGTGTCAACGCGCCCAAACACGACCATATCTTGTTAAACGGCGAAATAGCAGCAATATTATTAAAATAGGACTAGAATCTACATGTATTAAATATATTCTTACCCCAATTAAATCTAAACTTAATCGAACAGCATCAAAAGAACGGTTTATTTGTTCCTCTTGGAGCAATTGCCGTATTATGCCAGAGAAATCAAATCGCGCATCCGGCGGAAAATTAGCCAAAGCTGTGCACCACAACTCTTGGGAGACAAAACTGTGACGTAGATAAATACGGTCACATACTCATATATCGCTCATATACAAACATTAAACAATTTACCATGCTTTGGTTATGGTGTGAAATATTTTAACCTGGATAACCACGCCGTTTTAATGGTCAAATGCTTGTCCAATGTAAAGTTGCAAGCATGTTTGGCGCTCATGTACAAACATTAAACAATATAACCATGCTTTGGTTATGATGTGAAATATTTTAACCTGGATAACCACGCTGTTTTAATGGTCAAATAATTGTCCTATGTAAATCTGCAAGCATGTTTCGTACTAATATTATACAAACATTAAACAATATAACCATGCTTTGGTTATGATGTGAAATATTTTGATATGGATAACCACGCTGTTTTAATGGTCAAATGCTTGTCCTATGTAAAGTTGCAAGCATGTTTCGTGCTAATATTATACAAACATTAAAAAATAATTAAAACCATGCTTTCCATCTTTGGATATGATGTCAAATATTAAGTTAAATGGTCTGATTCTGGTCCTAGGTAAAGTTACCACATCACCACAATCACCACATATAGAGCAATGTCATATATGCCAAGCCTTCGGCTTTTGGAGTCGCATCTACTGCGTGACACGCCATTCTATCGGTTCTCGCTCTCCTGTCCCGTTTATAGGAAAGAGAGTTCTCTTGCAAGTTTAACTATGGCGCCGTAGTTGTCAGCTTCTCGCATGTTTTAAGCGGAAGGATTAAATTATGAAAGGAATGATGTTTTTCATCATCAACTTAAAAAAGCCTGGTTTAAAATACCGTCATTTATCCCAAGAGCAAAGAGTCTAGGGGTGACGACAATGGTCTCGCAACTTCCAATTTGGTGGTTCGAATCCTGCATGGTGAAAGTGTTTTATCATGACGTAAAAGAGAAGATTTTGGTAGGTTAGAAAAATATAGCTGTTCATTTCAAGATCTGTTCGCCCAGTGGTGAAGACAATCGTCGTGTTATTACGTCGCGAGGCCATAAATATCATGCTAAATGTCGATTTTTTACTTTGTAAAGGCATGATTTTGGATGTGATATATTGAAAGGGTATTGTATTCAGTCTTTGCAACATATCGAAAACTACCTTACCATTTAGAGCAAGCATGACAATATTTTTATGTTAATGGAGCTTAGGAGAATTTAACATCTGTTGGAGATATTGGAGTACAATTTCAGCTCTGAAATAAGTTGCGAATGTTGAAACATTCTAATAATGAAAGGAATACCATTTTCCTGAAATTTCCATTTCTGACCTGTGAAATCAGACTTGACTTCATTGACCGTAAGCAATCGCACGGCATTCGTACCGTGACCATTAGCTTCACCTGGACAACATATACCTAGTTTATGGTGAGGAAATACTCTTTTGCTCAAGGGATTCCATACCTGTGATATTTGAGGCGTAAACACAAATGCCGATGGATATTAGGTTAAAGCTACGAATAAAAGGTACACTTTTACACAAGAACATAAATCATCATCATCAAAATAAACTCATTGAGACATTAATTTATGTACAATCCTTCGAAAAAAGGTTTAATAAAATAAAATAGTGTTGTTATTCGCCACAAGTTCTGCTGGTCTAGTGATGAAGCAATGCTCTCCCGGGTTCCAAACTGGGGGTTCGAATCCTGCCATAACCGTTTTTCTTATGATCTTCGTGAAAATAATAAAGTAAATTAAATAACCATAATCGTTCAGCACAATATCTTGTAGTCTAGTGGCTAAGACAATCGTCTCCTTAGAGGTAAATCGATGGTTCGAATCCTACCATAACCAATTTTCATTATGAATTTCGTAAAAAGGATAAAGTTAATTAAATAACCATAGCCGTTCAGCAGAAGATCTTGTAGTCTAGTGGTCAGGATGTTGGTCTCATGTGTCAACAATCGCAGGTTCGAATCCCGTTTTAGATGGAAATTTTCGTTATTAATATTACATGGTAAGGTTATGGAGAATAAGTTGGTGTTGGTTTCCAACAATCACCAGTTAGCTTTGTGGTAATGTCGTAGACTATCAAGTACAAGATCGGGGTATCAAGAACAGGATGGTACGCTTCTCATGGCGGTAAAAGAAAAAAAAATGTTGGCTATGTTGCTCGGAGGAGGTTTGTACTCGGTTAATGTTTGGAATTCAAAGTTAATCTTTAGGGAAGTTTAGGTAAATCAGGGGATAGATAGGGTGAACGAGGGGTATATGAGTACAAAAAGACTTAGTAATTTGGCGGGTGGCCTCGGCTCCCGGGGCAAGGGGGAGGGTATAGGTGAGAAAACAGTATATAAAATGTTTAAGTATTTTTGTACTCATTTAAACCTCTTTACCCCTATTTATCCTCCTATTTACTCCTATCTAGCCCTACTTTTTCCTATCCTCACATACCCCCAACTATCCCCTAAAACAATTAAATGTTTGAAGAAAGCTTGCTTTGAAAGTCAGGAAAGCCGGGGGAAAGAGAACCCCCCTCAATCTACTCCTCGCCCAAGGCGAGGGCATATTCGCCCTCTCACACTACTCCTCTCACACTCACAAATTCTCACTTTATTACCTTGTTCTTCTTCGGTTTGTCCAGGGCTTGAACCATCGACTGTGTACTTGGCAGATCATCGACTTCACCACTACACTACCAGTTCTTGTGGTGAAAGCCTACAGTTTTTTATTTTACTTAATCCTTTTTTGGAATGATCTTTGACGAAACTTAATACCTTTTGGTAGGATCTCAAATCACATACTGACAATTCAAATGAGTTCACTTTAATGTTCATGATTTATTTCTCAAATCTCACACGCTGTATCTTATTCGTAGCTTTTAACTTAATATTTGCCATTTGTGTTATCACTAAAATATCACATACAAGTATACGGCGCCTTAAAACGCCATCTTTCCATAAGTTGGTTATATGCGGCCCAAGTGAAGCTAATGGTTACGGTGCGAATATAAAATACGCTAGGAAAAAAGAAGTTCAGTTCAAAAGCGTCATGTTCGCAGTTAACCGCGGTAACAAACAAACAAACAGCAGCTCAACAATATTACGGCAACGATTCATAATTTAATGTTCTTCGAAGAAACGATTAAGTCAAATAATAACAATACCTTATCGACAAACGATGTGGTTGTCAAGTAGTTGTTAAGACGTAGGTCTCTTCAGTCCAAAGGTTCAAGTATTAGATTAGCGTATCTTATATTCGACGAACCGGCTAGACCAGCCAGTATTTCGACTTTTTATCCAACACTGAAAGTCTTGAAATAAATAATCAGTGTCTGTTTCACTGGTATTTGCTTCATTTGTGATTTCAGATGTAATGCCTGTTGCCTCATGACTATACGAGTTATATACATTTGGTCGAATTCATATTAGAGACGGTGAATCACAAACGGGTTTATCGTCCGAATTTTCCCGTCCAACTTTCCCCTCTAAATTAAGATACGGCTAACTTGGACGGGAATCACGTCTGGAAAAGAAACTAGTCTTAATTTGGCATTTAGACGGATAAATCTCACGAGTTTCAGAAATGTCAGCACGGACAAGGAAGGAACAAGGCTAAGGAGAATAAACACAATTATTATCGTAATGATTACGGGTTAATTACCCGACCCATCATTTATACGTATAAATTTTTCCATATCCCAATTAGTCGCATTTAGAGTTTAGACGGGTTTCTACGGCTATCAACTTTCCCATCAGTAAGATGAGTATTCGACTATTCTTAATTATCGTACTTTTTTCCTTTTAAACCTATTTTGAAATACATTGTTAATTCTTATACCGCTTTACTTCGACTTCACTTCATTAAAAATACAAAACAATCGCACCGTAACCATTAGCTTCACTCGGGCCGGATATAACCAACTTATGAAAAGATGGTGCTTTAAGGCGCCGTATACACCTGTATGTAATATTTTAGCGATAACACAAATGGCAAATATTAAGTTACAAGCTACGAATGAAATACACCGTGTGAGATTATAGAAATAAATCATGAACATTAAAGTGAACTCATTTAAATTGTTATTTGATTTGAGATCCTACCAAAAGGTATTAAGTTTCGTCAAAGATCCTTCCAAAAAAGGATTAAGTAAAATAAAAAACTGTAGGCTTTCACCACAAGAACTGGTGGTGTAGTGGTGAAGTCGATGATCTGCCAAGTATACAGTCGATGGTTCAAGCCCTGTTCAAACCGAAAAAGAACAAGGTAATAAAGTGAGAATTTGTGAGTGCGAGAGGAGTAGTGCGAGAGGGCGAATATGCCCTCGCCTTGGGCGAGGAGTAGACTGAGGGGGGTTCTCTTTCCCCCGGCTTTCCTGACTTTCAAAGCAAGCTTTCTTCAAACATTTAATTGTGTTAAGGGATAGTTGGGGGTATGTGGGGATAAGAAAAAGTAAGGATAGATAGGAGTAAATAGGAGGATAAATAGGGGTAAAGAGGTTTAAATGAGTACAAAAAGACTTAAACATTTTATATACTGTTTTCTCACCTATACCCTCCCCCTTGCCCCGGGAGCCGAGGCTGCCGCCCCGAGGCCGCCGCCCAATTACTAAGTCTTTTTGTACTCATATACCCCTCATTCACCCTATCTATCCCCTGATTTCCCTAAAGATTAACTTTGATTCGCAAAGATTAATCGAGTACAAACCTCCTCCGAGCAATATTCCTACCATTTTTTTTTCTTTTGCTTTTCACCCCCATGAGGAACGTACCATGCTGTTCTTGATACCCCGATCTTGTGCTTGATTGTCTACGACTTTATTACAAGGCTAACTGGTAATTGTTGGAAGCCTACACCAATTTATTCACCATAACCTTACCACGTTTTATTAATAACGAAAATTTTCATCCAAAACGAGGTTTGAACCCTTCACTGCCAACACACGAGACTAACATCTTGACCACAACACTACAAGATCTTGTGCTGAACGGCTATGGTTATTTAATCTAGTAAAAATCTACTTTATCCTTTTCGCGAAGTTCATAATGAAAAACGGTTATGGTAGGATTCGAACCATCGATTCACCATTAGTTGGGAGAGCATTGTCTTAGCCACTAGACTACAAGATCTTGTGCTGAACGGCTATGGTTATTTAATTTACTATATCTTTTTCAACGAAGTTTATAATGAAAAACGGTTATGGCAGGATACGAACCATTGATTCACCATTTGGGAGAGCATTGTCTTAGCCACTAGACTACAAGATCTTAACCAGACACAGTACTAAAATGCGGTGCCCGCAATGCTTGTCTAGAAATAAAACGTCCGCTCATTTCTAACGACATCACCAACTTACATTCTCCTGTCGGCCGCAGCCTGGTTGGTTGGTACATTAAGGTCAAAATTGCGCCGTTTTAAAATCTTCAGAAATAAAATATTTAGGCTAAAAATACTATCTAAGAATACTATCAAAATGAAGAGAAACGTGAGACGAATAAACTGGCGTAGAGCCGGAAACTAGAAAAGCAACGATACAGAAGTCAAGGATTAAGCGTACTGCATTTTTAATTTGTTTAATAATTTTGAGCGATTTGTCATAAAGTTCGCTTATTGAAACTATACTTTAAAACCTTCGAAATAGAATATATTTGGCTCAAAGTACTATAAAATAAATCGCAATGTAAGACCGATCCACTTATTTAAGGACGAAAATTAAAAGAGAAAACCAACGATATGAAAGATGTCAAAGACCAAACTTACTATTACTAGTAAAGTATAGCATAGTAATTTTGAGCGATTTGTCAACAATTCAATTTCGTTTGTCTTTCAAACGTCATAAATCGCTGCGAATACTCTTGTTTAGTAATATATTTAAGACCTGTAAGTATAATTTCTTACGCTGAATCGAATGGTGGTATTTTTGTCCTTCTTGGGTGCATAAAAGCAGAGATACACGCATGCAATTATCATAGTTTGAGATTGAAATTGAAAAAAGAACGTTCCTTTAAAAAAGGAATTTGCCAAACGTACAACAAGATTAATAGTAATAATTAGGAAAAAATTCCAAGCATTCCAAGTATGTGCAAGGAATTTTTACTTGGCGATTAAGGAAACGTATTGATGCGAACAAACAAACTCACAGGCAGAATATAATGCGGTGCCAAACTTGGCGCGGGCACCGCAATTTACTTTTTCTTTTTTTCGAAACCGGTAATGAAAACAGTCAAGCTGGGATTCGAACCAACCTTGGGAGAGCATTTTCTTCGCCACCGTCTTTGACAAGTGGTATATAATAAAAAACTTATTTACTGAGAACTCAGAAAACATTATGTTTTGTGGACCCGAGACCTGTCGATATTTCACGAGGCGAAGTGTTAATTAACTAACTCTATGAAACGGCCACCTCTATTAAGCGGCCGCGGTCACCCAAAGAGCAGTCGCAAATGAAGTTTTATATCAATTTTTACCTCTATTAAGCGGCCAGCCTGCAGGATTACTTGGCGTAACACCTTGTCAAAAAAGCCCAAATAAAAGTCCAGCTAATTACTCCGGCGTCTGCGACGGAGTTGAAAATTCGCCCCGGTTTTGTTTCGTTTTTTATTTTCCGTCGTCGCAAGTCTGTAATGGCGCGAAGTATGCTAGTATTTGAAATGTGTATGTGATCGTATTTATCTACGTCCCAGTCCTATCTTCCAAGAGTTGTGGTGCACAGCTTTGGCTAATTTTCCGATGCGCAATTCAATTTCGCTCGCATCATAGGGCAATTTCTCCAAGAGAAACAAATAAACCGTACTTTTCATGCTTGTTCGATTAAGTTTAGATTGAATTGGGGTAAGAATATATTTAATACATGTAGATTCTGGTCCTATTTTAATAATATCTTTGCTATATCGCCGTTTAACAAGATGATGTGGTCGTGTATGACACCATCCACCATATCTTTTGATAGACAGCTTTGGCTTTGCATCGCTCCCCTCGCCATTTTATGTAGTGGCCACATATATGGGTTACTGATTCATTGCATGCAATGTCATGTTGTTTTGGGCGCGTTGACACGTCGCAGTTTGCACAGGATTGAAGATTTAATATAACTATACAAGCGCGAATTCCAAAGGCAAAGTGTAAGAGAAAGAGAATGTATCATGCGGTTTATTTACATTTTTGAACAATTGAGCTTCTATACTTTTTAAAGTACGATGTGCTTCTGAATTTTGCGATCGAACATCTAGGTTCGCAAGGCATCTAAATGCGAATATGAACTGTATTGTTTATGTTCAGAAGCTCTATATGTTGAACACTGGCACGTGCGCCGGAGTTAACGCCAGAACAGGCGTCTTGTTGTAATTATATATTACTAGTAACTCAGCCCGGCAAACCGGGGCTAAAATATTTTTCAATTACATGGCAATTATTATGACACGTCTGAAATATTTTAAGACTAGGGCTGAAATTTCAGCCCGGGCTGAGTTTGTAAAGGCTGGTAGTAGACCTATTTCGATTCTTCGAGCGCTTTGAAAATCCCGAATGACAATAACCTGACCTTTAAGGGACTATGACTGCACATAAAAATGAAATAAACAAACGAAAAAGCATTGTCAAGGCGAATTTTTCTGTCCGGGTTCAAGTTTATTTACGATTACATGCCAACAACACTAAGTTTGTCATGTAATCGCGTGCGCGATTTTGTTAGGATTTTATAACAACCCCGGGCTGACGTTTCCGGGCTGAAAATACTCCATGTAATCAGCCCCTAGTCTGAAGATGTCTTAAGTTAAGACGAAACGTTACTATCAAATATAGTTTTATTACTCTCAATTGGTTTAAATTGCTTTATTTGTAATATGATGCTTAAAACTTATAACACATGCCACTTTACACCTCAAAAGCATAGTTTGGCGGCATAGAAAAGGCGAGGGAATTTATTCCTTTACTCTTTAGCCAATTGATCGAAAATTCATCTCCTGTAAAATGAAATTCGCATGGAATTTCCAACCCATCGCCTCCACCTATATTTACTCTCTGGAAATTCTTTATTACCTGCTGCCTGATCTTTCTAAAGTCTATTCACTATTATATTCTGTGATTTATAATTAAAAATAGACATTTGTCTACACCCGGAGTTGATTATTAGGCGGCCATAATAAATGCCGATTCCCGAGGGTGGCCGCTTAATATAGGTTCGACTGCAAATGACAATATTTAGGACTGCTCGTTGCGTGGGCGTTTTATAGAGAGCTGGTTAACAGTGTTTATATTACAAAAAACTTCAGAAAGGCCGTTTGATGATGAATTTTGCGTAGTTCGTCCCCACCCCGTATTCAGTCAAGACGAACTACCATTCAAATTTGTCTAACTAGACAAACTATGCGGATAATTCGTGTTGACCGATGATCCGTGTGTTTGCCAGTCTTTACACACAGACGAACTGGAAGGCGGAGGCAGCTGAAACATGACGCATTTAAGAGGTCTTTACTATAAAGAATGCTGGCAGGTAACCTTTGACAATTTAGTTACAATCAGAACTCGCGGGGAACTAGCTTAACAGGGCGTATTTTAATATGACAGAGACTCTCTCTTCAACCAGGTTGTGGATATATTTTGATCAAAGTCATAGGCTCATAGCCATGAATATTTAGCAGAATACTGACCTGAATCGACTCGTGGTTTCTTCCGAGGGCGTAATGTACGGACTTCGGTATTCATTTTCTTTCGTAGCAATAGAACTCTCGCTGAAACAGTTGTTATAAATATTTGCTATACACAAGCGGGCCAGTTGACACGTGACTTGAACTCAATCAAACTGAGCTATTTATAACACATTGCCGGGCCGCCGGCAGTCTACACTACAATACTTAGGGCCTCCACAGACTAGGGATTTAGTTGTCTACGGCCTCATTTTTTGGCGTTTTTCTAGTATGTGAAACCTTTTGTTTTAGTTGCCGACTACTTTTAATCTCCGCGCTATTTCGGTTGCTTAATCAGTATTTGAGCGCCAGTGTGTGGAACCCTTTATCGGATAAATTAGTTGTCGATAACTTTTAGTTGTCGATCACAAATAGTTGTCTGTGGAGCAACCTCGTACCCAGGGTCTTTACTTGGTCTGTGGAGGCCCTCATTATCTAAAATGATTAATCCGATCTGACCAACTTTTTAACAACGAGTTTGCGTTAGAATAAAAGAAAAACGCACTTTTTAATTTAAACTTTGCATTCCTAGTTGGTTATTGGTTAAACTTGATTTGCTATAGGAAAAGGTTCGGTGATTGCCGAAGCCAGGCATTGATCAGGCCAAGCGCCAATATTATTTTTGGAATTTTTTTCAAATTTCCCGTCGATAAAATGTACATCGCCGTTTTGAAATATCCCGATAAAAAAGGAACACTGCCGTTTAGAAAAATAAATAATATTGTACGAAATTAAAGTCTAGACTATCGAGTAAAGGTGTTTATTTTTTCTATCTAAGAAATATATTATGATAACAATGTGTTTATACCATTTTCAGATAACACTTACGAGAGATGCCTTCCTTAACTAATGTCAGCTATTATGTCACTACAGCATTAATTCTAAAAGTTGAGAAACGTCACATTTACCCCTTCCTTACGAATCAAAACTCGTTCCCAACACCATTGAAAGGTTAACTTCATAAGCACGTAAAAGCTTCAAACTCTTCAAGTTGCTATATAATTAATTTTATGCCAGAAATCATCTGCAGAATCCAACAAAGCAATCTCTATTCAATCGTTGGTTTCATAAGTATCATTTAAATGATTTTAGTAAGTAAGTAAGTGAAATCTTTATTTCAAGAGGGTGAAATACACATAATAGCTAACAAGCTATATATAATAAACTTGTGGCCCTCAAATTTAGCGACTACAAACAATACATTATTAAGAATAGGCTATATGAACACTATTATACTATATATATAGTTTTTATATAAAAATATATACTATATTTAAGCTTTTACGTGCGTATACGTACGTACAAAAAACGCAACAGTGCATGGAAAACGGCCCTAATGCACAGCCTAGCCCCAGGCCGTGTAAGCGAGCGCTTAATTAATTATGCCCCTGCATAATCAGTTCGCGCTGAGAGGCCTAGCACGAAATGTTGGGATTTCAAAAATTGTCCCTGATTTTGTCCCTGATGCAGAAATTTTGAGATCAGTGTTGCTTGAGAAAAATTTTCTTGCCGCCATTTTGAATTAAGAATTAAAAACATTTTGTGCTAGCCTCTCCCGCGCGTTCAAGCCGGTGAAGTCACAAGAATGGAAAGCGCGCTAAGGAGGACTAAGGACTAGTTTGCCTAATGCAATTTTTAGGGCGTGTAATGGGAGGGTATATTACTATATTCGCCATCTTGTCCGCGCCAAAGGATCGTTACTAAAATCACCAAATGTTTCAATATAAAATATACTACGTATATATATATATATAGAAAGAAAAAAAAAAGTAAATACAAAAATTAATACACTATTCCGAGTATAATATAATAGAAAAATTTATTAAAAAAATTAAAATATTCTATAACTATGTATAATGTGGTCAAATTTATTGGCCTGGAAAGTAATATGTGGTTAAGATTTAGAGCGAACTATATTAATGAAACTATATACTTTATATTTATAAAAAGATTTTAATAAAAAATTCAGTTAAAAACAGTCACGACTCCAAGACCGTGACGCGTGGCAGACTGTTTTATAAGTTCATTCGAAATTAAAAGTAAAAAATTCTTTAAAAAGTTTGAAAAAAAACACATTCACCTTTTCTGCACGTTTTTGCAAGAAGCAATGTGTCACTTGCTCAATATCAGAAGATTTCATTGCACATCTAGAATTCATGTCTATAGACTTCAATACAAAAACTAAACAATTTTTACCTAAATTCTGTGATTTAGTCTTCGGTACCAAAATCTTAGACGAAAATAAAATTTTGGAATTTCTGATCGACACATTTACAGTTAGGAATTTTCTCTCCAACCCTCATCCACAGTCCACTGCAGCTCTTCGCGTCTGTCGCTACCCAAGATGTGAAGTTACCCACAATTCCCTCGCCTTTACAGAAGCCTTTATCATCCATGATGGCTGGCTGACATTCAACGCACATCGGTTTGGATAACTTGAGTTTTTCGGCCCATGTGCCTTTGCAATACGGGTGTTTCGACATAAGTTTAAAGTTGACACAATGACTACGGAATCTAGAAAAAAGGTATTCTATCAGAGTCGTTTGAAACCAATATACTCGAAATAATACGATAGACATGTAAGCAGACAGAAAATTAAAAAGGGATATTAATCCCACTCAATTTGCTCGTTTTAAAAGGAGCAGAAAGCGGCTATAGTAAATCCTAAATACACAAATTTAATCCTCAAAATTAGTTTAGGATTGGGGTTAATTCAACCCTAATCAACAATAAACCGTAATCTAAGACCCAACCTGATATAATCATAAAATATTAAATTCGTGTATTTAGGATTTACTGAACACAGAAATATTACCCTGTTATCTTGTAATAGATTGTGACGTCATATGCCAACGGCAACGCCTTATGACGAGCGTTAGAAGCTTAACTGCAAGGGTCTTGTCAAATATCTAATTATCGATCAAGGGCGGATCCTTTTTTAACAGGATCATGATAATATGTATATTAATTAGTCTGTGTACTTTAGGAATACGAATGAAAATCCCAAAACCCTTGAATGTTAAGGGCTCCCAGAAATGTTTAAGCCTGCTGTACAATAAGACACGATGATACTTGCTTAGGTATCCCATGTGTTCCTCGATTATTTCTCTCTTTCAACGTTTAAATGTGACGTATTAAGCAACATTTTCGCTCTGATCGCTCGAGAGCTAATTTATTTACGTAACTTATTGCATGGGTTCACTGAATTAGTGTTTAAATTTAAAACTATTTGGAAGATGTGGTATAATAACTACCTAAAATAGACAAAACACTTCTTGACGTTTCGACCTGAGGGCCTTCGTCAGGAGAGTTAGTATGCCTTACTGAACGAAGGCCTTCATGTCGAAACGCGAAAAGTGTTTTGTCTACTTTAGGCAGTTGTTATACCACATTTGATGCTAAGTTGTTTGAAGACGCTGCCACGCTGCTCCCTGGTTATATTTGGAAGATGGAACTCATTTCAAAAGGACACTTTCATGTCCTCAATGGATAATAGACTGCCTGCAGAATACTCAATCAGCCGAATCGATTTAAAAAAACCCTGCTGAAATCTTGTTAGTACTAAAAATGTGGTTTGATCAAAAGATTGTAATGTACGCCCCGATTTGAAATCATTAGCCATGATGATTCAGATTTTCTTGTTAAACTTTAAATCTCATCAGCTCTAAATCTCGCAGCCTAATCTCAAATAATTTGAAGTTGATGAGAGTATGAAATCACTCTATATTTCTCACTGGGTAGATTAATCAGAATCCAATTTGGGGTAGTTTTGAAGTACGTCCGGCACAAGTTTTGAATGGGGGGTTTTTAGATCTGTTCTGATATCTCTTACCTTTTACGTATTTTCTGAATTTGTGTTAGCTCTTTCTTCTCTGGCAGAATGGTTTCAAATTTGTTTGTGGCGTACGACTGGTGGCGATATTCGGCAGGAAGTATTTGCGCTAAAACTAAAGAAAAAATTGAATTAGTATAAGAGCTTTCTCAGTCGATAAGTCACACGATTATGATGTAATGATCGGACGACGATGACAATTACGATGATAATGTATGATCAATGATCGTGATGACAATTTACAAATGAAAATTCGTCAGTATGGGTGAGAGCGGAGGTCAGGGGGTGAGCACTCAGTGAATCAATTGTTTTTTCATGAGGAATTTAGCCCCTCCCTAACTCTAGGACGCAGTAACAACTAGATACCTAACAATGTGGTTAGTAGAGAATTTGAAATAACTATCATCCAGTGTTTGCACTGAGATCAGTGGTGGTAGAACCTTCGAAAATCACGTTACAGTCTTTAGGCAACCTTGAGGTGCTATGAATAACTATAAACACAACGTATTTTATAGTTCACCGTATTCTGAAACGCACCCATATCTCCTTTGCAGTTCTGGTTGAAACATCCCTTCTTTTCGTGTCTCATAGGGCATGCCTTCCCGCCATTCTTAGGTGCCTGCACAATCAGACGCCGCCGTTTCATTGTTCCAAAACCACATTGCTCACTACATCTGGACCACGGCGACCAAGGAGAGAGAATACAGTCTTGTGCTCCTGGAAATAAACCCAAAATATAATGAAGACGAATATTCCTAACTGTTCTTAGGGTTAACTATTACAGCTCAAAACATTTTTGGCCTCAGGAAAATATGGGCATGTTTATTACATTTGTCACTCCAGTTGTATTAGAGCTCACCGGCCAGATTTTTTAAACTGCATACCTGAGTTTTATTTATTATCGCGGCCAGCGCGTTTTGATAGCAAGCAATTTTTACTTTACACATATTTTGAGATAAAGATTGATAAAAGCGGATTACCCATTAATTGCTGGCATTTTAATAGCATGTAGGTCTTGTTGGTTGAAATATTCAATAAACTAAGGCAACTACATCGAAGCTTGAAAATTCGACAAGGATGGAATGTAAATACGAAGGTAATGGGATATATTTGATGGGTCAAACTGTGAAATTGTTGTTTTATTATTTTAGGGTAAAACCACGATAGCCAGACGTACAGTATATGTGTCCAGTGTTATATTACGGTCCGCGGTTTCAAATGTAACACTCGCTGTCGGCTGGTAGAGTGTAGTGAATATCGTACTCGTATCACAAAGCGCCTAATTCTAGGAGTATTTTGCACATAACCATTTCAGTGTGTAATGTGTATCAGTATGTAGGCAAGAACTCACAAAGGAACAAATTTGCAGTAATGTGACATACGCCCCCCTCCCTCGACGGAACATTTATCTCATGTTTGAAACTTTGCCTGCTTAAACTATGGCTAACATAAACATTCTAATGATAAAGCACATCATTTTTAAGCCTTCTTCCCGGAGGTCCGGTAATAATGATCATTACAATCCAGTCTAATGAGTTTTGGCCCCACACTGACGACACCCCCTTCGCTTATACCTGCAATCGCGGGGCTCGAGAACGCACCCGTTTTGCCTTTATAAGGCAAGGTTTTCCAGCAATTTATTTATAACACATCGAATGGGCTAAGCCTGGCGCCGTGCAGTACTTAGTGCTCGCTGCGTCTCGATTTGGAAATGTTTACATTTGAGCACGGAATGCTAATAAATGATTTAAATCGTTCGTAATTAGATTATCAAGTCAAACTCGAGGGAGATCTCTTACTGTGTAAACATTGTAATATGGGCAAACTGGGTGCATTGGGGAGGCAAACTACGGTGTGGTCATGATACAATCCGGGGCGACAGAGGGCAATTCCCTACTGTGACGTCATCAAACGTGCCAGACAAATTTGCATCAATTGCAACAATGAAAACATTCCAATGCCTTGCCTCAATACAAGGTTATTCGGGAGACATAATGAATCCTGGCTAATGAATTCATCATTCATATTGATGTCACCGAACATAAAACCGATAATTTTTCGTGGATTAGTTTAATAGCACGTAAGTTTTATTCAAAGGTTAAATTGGAAGAATTTGAAATTTATAATCAGCACACGACGATTTTAAACTCGCTGCCTTTAATGACGGAATTGTCTCAATACGAAGCAGGGATTCTGTGCTCCGTCAGGATGTTGTAATGTAACGTTTGTAAATGTCTTATCTGAGAATCAATGTGACATAGTTTCACAAATTAATGTATTAAGGGTCGCATTGTTTGGTGTCGTTTTCACGTTGGAAGATTTCCAAACACATCACGACAAAAAAACCACAAGTGAAGCCCACGCCTTGTCGAGACCACGCAATCCCAAACTATTCATATCGCCGTTAATCTCAATGATCTATTATTATTGTCTTCCCTAAAACATGATGATTAGGGCACGCTGAGCAAACATATATGTACTAACAGACTCAAAACGCTCCGGCATATGTACTAAAGTTGGAATAGCGGCCAAAAATCCAGCATGACACAAGGTCAACCATCTTGAGAATGCGTGTTTTGCGTACGACGTTAAGACACTTGACAGTTTACATCCAGAAAATACTTTAAGAGGCCTAAACACGGTCAGTAGCCTGACCTGTTTACATAAGGTCTTCGGGTGGTCAGCAATAAAAATAGCCTATGCTCCTGAGGGCAACCTACAGCACTCGAAACGCGGCTATGTTTAATAAAACAACATCGACGAACGGCACCACCTAAATTCAGGAAACACTCCCTAAACCACATTGCTATCGGCGAGTACGAACGGCGAATTTCGAACATTTTTACAGGCATTCATGATATATTTAGATAGGGCCGGTGCGTGGCTGGCACAAGGTCTCTATTATTCCTTCATGTGTTCCTTGTGATCCTGTGCCCGTTTAACCGCAAATGCAGAACGGATGAAACAAATGTCCATTATCAGCTTATAGGAAAAGCGCAAATTGCCGGATGGGTGTTTTGTTGCTTTTAGCCATCGGCAGGCCGGTTATGGGCAAGTCGTGAATACGAATGAACGATTACTTGTTAGTTTTACTTCCCAGCATGCGGTAGAAATACCTTGAAACGCATTTCGAAAACAGGTACGCGCTGAGAGACGATTGCACCACTTTTGGATCACTTGCACGCACACACTTCAAGTTAGTGCGCACCAAATTCATCCGCTGCGCAATCGATGCTATTTGAAATGACTCCATCGACGCAATAAATGCAGATCAGATAACACAAGAGAATATAGTGCGACTAAGTGCTTCTCGTAAGGAAACACAAGGCCATGCGGTCAGCTGGCCTCAAAAATTGATGCCTCTGTAAACAAACTGTTCTGTTTGATAATAAAAGGTACACATACCATTTATTATGACGACACGAAGTGTTAACGCGCAGAAATCGTCATTAGCATTTAGTCACGACAGCTGCTAAATCATTAAGGATTAAATTCGCTGTCAGACTTTTATTCGCTGTCGTCAAACACCTGATGATTTTTCTCATTAGACTATAAAACATTTCTCGAATTTTATAATTTACACCACTACTGTACCTATCGTTTTAAGAGACACTTAAGTACCGTATAACTTTGTATTATCCTGGGCCTGGCGAAGCTAGTTCCACAGGGAGTGAACGATACTCACTTATGAATTGTGCGTGAAGAGTAGGCTACTTCGATACGTAACACGAGCAAATTAGATTTCGAGAAGTGAGAATAGGTTGCTGACAATTGGGCCTTGAGGTATTGAAATTAAAATTTCTGAGATTAATATACGCACGCGATGTTTGGCGAAGCGAAGAAGTGAAAAGTAAAACGATTGAAGTGAACACGAAGTGCGCATTTGAGCAAATTTGACATAATTCAATCGCTTAAATCTGAGTTAGAAGAGTAAACATGTTGTGTAAATGATAAAGAACAATAAAACGCTTTCAAACCTCGACACTCTGCTTCGACACGCTTCAAATCAGGACAGCAATCACCAGTATAACTGCAATACTCATCACAATAACAGACCTTTGTTTGACCTGCCGGCAAGGCATTCTCTGGTGACGAAGGCACGCTCACCCAACACGAGTTGTTCGTCCCTTTACAACACAACAAGTTCCCCCCTCGAGCACGTTGATCGCAGAACTGCGCGGTAGATAGGATGAGAAACTGGACGAAAAACAGACCAAATAGAAGCGACATTATTGGACGAAGCATGATAACTCTCTTTGATACCAAACTGTGTATAGCTCTTTCCGACAGCTACTGATATCGATCTAAATTCTCTTCCCTTGTGTTGCTGACTTGACGGAACTGGACGGAGGATTTTGCGCGCTTTTTCCTCTCACTTGCGCAAGACCTCGAGGTGCATCGAAAGAGTGCCGACTTCTGTAGAATTGTGCGCCGCGTTTGCCAGTAGAGCGTGAAAGCGCTTTGGTTTAGTCCGTGTTGTATTTATTCCGTCTGTCAGTCAGGAAACTTTGTGTGTCTATCACTAAGCCAATTAGATCAGAGGTGTCATTTTCTCAGTGAGAACTCGAAATAACTCTTGACTATAAAAGACGAATTCAAAGGATTGAACCGCGTCGGACAATTACCATTAAAATTTCGAACAATGCTGCTAATCCACTCATAGCTTGTTTTTGCACGTGGAGAAAAAAAGATAACCATCGCCAAATCGTCTAACCAGTTTACAAGATGGAAATAAATCATATGGCATTATTTCAGCCATACCAAGGAGTGCCTGAATAGCGGAAATGCAAGCAACTTCACGCCCAGTTGGGGACAAAGAAACCATGTTACGTTGCTCGGATGTACCAAGATTGTTTTATTTCATTAACAAAATTGAACATCTTTGCACGTGTTATACGCATCTGTTTTGCCAAAGGAATTTTGTGACAAGTACTGAGACATTCATTGCTTGTAACCAAGTATGGATAATGGGCCTTAAAATTACTGCTATAAAACAGCTATGAATTCCTATGATAATTATCTCCATCGATCGAATGCCCAAAACTATATGTATAGGGTTGTTATAGTACGCTGCTCAATGAATATCACTTGTGTTCTTATCAGAACTAAAGTGGTGCGAGGTTTTAGACATTTAGAGTTTTGGGGTAGTTCGGGCATGAACAACTAAACGTAGCCAAAAGTAACCATGCCTCAAGTGGTTCCAACGTCTTTAGATCATTATTTACATGCAGCGATAAGCCTTTCCGGATAAAACACTCACTGCATGGGAAAGAGTTTAGGTGTATCTGAGAGAGACGAATAAGATCGGTTAATTAAAAAGATTTTCATCTTATCAATAAGATCAAGATTTTTTTGCCAAGTCAAGAAACCATACATCACGCTTTGTTTAAAAAGCTTCCGAACCACGCCACTTGCCCAATTAGTGACGGTATTTGAAAATGATCTAATCAGTATTTTAAAAAATGTTTTTCATGCAATAGGGCAGACAGCAGACATACAGGTGTTGGTGCGGAATGTACAATAGTGCTAAAAGTCTAGATGAAATATCGAGACAAGCCGCGTGATATAGTTGATATTCAGTATACTAGTTATATAGTAATGCTCCAGTTATACGTATGTTGAACTATGTTCAAGTGTTGGGAACTGTTGGCCATTAATTGTAGAGGCTGAGGCGACCGATGTTCTGGGCTCGGTTCTGGGTGTAATAGATTAATTAATTATCACGTTCATATACCATGCGTACGTATCAGTCTTAAGATATCAGTCATACTACAGATATTTTGATTGTTTTTAGTAAAAGATTTTTAAAAAAAACAACAAAAAAACACGCAATCTCATTGGTTAATATCGTGCGGTTTGTACTTAATTGCCTGCGCGCGTGAGATTTCGAAAAGGTTTTAAACCGTTGTTCTTCTGCAGTAGTTTTATAAAGCAATCAAGAAGGAAGAGAGTGATCAAGAAGGAGAAGGATTGCGTGATCCATATGCACTTGAAATGATGCTTGTCTTTCAGAAAGCATAAAAATACACTCGCCTACGGCTACGGCTCGTGTATTTTCCCGCAGGCCGAAAGTTTTGCAACAACCATCGTCCATGCATGATCACGCTATCCTACAGGGAAAACTGTTTGGTACACTTTCACCCCAAATCAAATTTTTCCCGCTGTAAATTGCTATTATGGTTCAAATACGTACAAATGGGTTAAGAGAAGGGTATTATGAAAGAGTATCCGCTGACATAGGGACACTTACATGGCTCCCCCCCCCCTCAAGTATTACGCTTACAGGTTAAGCTGAAATACGTTTCATCATGTTCGCGAAATGCTTAGTAAGTCTTTATACTGATCAGTGTGAAACTTGTTTTAGCCGAACTTATATAAGCGTACAGTATCTATTTTTCTTTATGTGCAAGATTGCGTCCCTGTTATACTGAACTATGATGAAATCATCAAATTGTACATATTAGGGTTGTAATTTGAGAAGGTTTCTGGTCAAATACCATAATAGTTACATTTAGCCCACACTTCCTTCCTCGCTTTAGGACCTACTCTAACAAACAATCAAAGTTCTCAACAGCTCGTTGATCACACTACTCCGAAACAGGTGTAGTGTCGCAGCTCCTCGCAAGAATGATTTTCATTGGCTCTTTAGAAAGCATAGAAAAGCATTATCCAATTGGACGAAAGCTTCTGAGAGCTTCGACATGTCACCGAAACAGGGGCGTAGCTAAAACGATAATTTGAATATTCATACATCCAGTTCTGCTTGACGGATTTCTTTTGTAAGTGCAATAGCTTACAATACGCCCCTGCTCCGAAACCGTAAAGGCGTGGTTCCGATTCTTACCAAAGATTAAAGATGCTTTTCAGTGCAACCTTCTCAGTCTCATCTTAAAGTATTTTAGAAGGTTTTTCACTCCGCTAAATTTTTCAATCGGAACAAAAATTTTCATGATTTGGTTATAATGATGTTTCGTAAATTTCAGCGGATGGGGTCGACACCTTTCATTCGTTGAGAGGTCTAAATAATCCATTTACGTTGGTATAAAGAGGGTATTCAAGGTTTGAGCTTTTTTTAAAGAAAGATATTTAATCACGTTGCACAGTTAACCCCAGAATTGACCTAAAAGTGGGCAAACACGAACCATGATTGCATTGAAAAGGTATTTGAAATATCGATTTTCTCTGCAACTCTCTGAGAAAATTTGACCGGCTCCGATAGCAACACCGCATAGTGTGAACGGGATCTATTTAGTATTAAACTGCAGGATCTGCCAATGTAGCCAATGATAGCTAATCGACAAAAATGACCATTGCCATTTATCACTGTCCAAATGATCTTTTGCGTTAAGATGATTAGTTCAAAATCCGAACTTATAACGACGGAATTAAAGATTCATTTAAGGAACTTATAAGAAACAAACATTTTTTAACAACTCATATTTCATGCCCTTGTTTTTATATAATCTTTGTTATGTAATAATAATCGTAATCCCGGAAGATTACTGAATTGCATTCGAAACCGACGAATAGATTAAACCATTCTCATAGATTATCAATTCCGGTAGTATTTTTTCAAACTTTTATAGGCTAAAAAACCAATGTGGGGTTTTCATTCAGATATATCCTATATATATCATGTTCCCAAACCTCCTAAAGTCCAAACGGGCACGCACACAGCTCCGTAAAAGGTATAATATGAACTATTTTTCTGAGGTGCTTAGCTATAATGGACTAGGATGTAACGATGAGGTAGCATTACGCACAGTGGACAACTCCATACTGCGAATTATTCTGGAAGCGTGCATTAATCCGTCAGCGGGGGGATGAATGGTGGGCTGTTACATAGTTAGAAAAGGCACTGTCCCTTAGGTTAGTGCCGGATGAAGCAGGTGAGGTTCTGTTTTTATAAATTATGGCATGCGAATCGTTTATGCATAGTTAAACTAATTTTAATTATAGTTCTAATTCAGTTCCTAGGCAGAGATTGATATTCATAGCTAAATTTCAGGTCTTGATCTTCAAGATTTCGTAAGTTATAACTCGTTTATGAAAGTCACCAATTTTTCATCAACGGACGAATGTTTGACCTTGTTATCAATGCTAATTAGCTACGAACTATGCGACACCTCCTTTTGCTCAGAAAAATCTTCTCAGCAATATAGCGAGAATAGATTTTATTATCATAAAAAAGGTTTTAAAGTTTTTGTACAGACCTCCTTGAACTTTCACGATTCTGGAAACATCTTATAGTGAGTTTTTGTTAATCCTATTTATAACTTAACTGATATTATGAGAGATGATGAAAACGTTAGAAAACGTTCTACGGCCCAAAAAACGAAGAATTCAACCCTTCGGGGAAACAGCCCATTCATGTACTTGACATACAGAAGTTTCAAGAAATAAGTGTTCAAACACATTTTTGTCTATGCAGTTTTTCAATATGCAACTTGCTTATTTGGGTCTCTGAAAATATTTGACCAGCTCCAAAGGCAACACCGCGGCATAGTGTGAACGGGACCTATTACACCGCAGGATCTGCAACCTGATAAACTGGTAGCTAATTGACAAATACAGGTATATATGACTACAGGCATTTATCACTATCGAAATGATCTTTTGCAGTTAAGATGATTAATTTAAAATCCGAAATTATAAGTTTATATCGACGGAACGAGATTCACTTAGAACTTATTAGAATAAATAATAAAATAATAAAAAATATTATATGAGAATAAAATCTGCAATGACTTTTCGCCATCACTTGAGGTGCTTCCTGTTATCCTAAAAGCAATTTTCTGATTTTATGAGGCTTTGTTTCGTTTTTGTGACTTTAACTCGATCAAAATTCCAAAGGTGGGGGTGTCACTTTTGTAAAGTCACTTAGTTTGTTATGAGCAAAAATAGCGCAGAACGGACTTCAGATCTCCTGCCCAATTTTTCATATTCATAACTAAATATAGCTGTCAGCCTGATATGTGATTGCTATCAATTCAGTGCCAAAGATAATCTTATTATTATATATTAAAAGGCTATTCTCTTTCTGATTGGTCGAAACGCGTCGGATAGATCTCGGTAGTGTGCCGCTGGCAACGATAGCGTGGTCACCCATTCCTCGTCTTGGCTGCATTTCTAGCCTTTCCTCAAGCAGATTTATTAGCGAATTTTAATTGAAAGGGAATCTTTTGCTCATCATGCCCCCCTCTCCCCTGGTAAGTTTCTCCGCTGTCCCATTCGCCCCACTTAGGTCTTAGGCATACGTAGTTGTTGGTATAGATAATAGATTATTCGAATATACTAACCTTGGCATACTCCAATGACATCATCATCTCCGTTCCTCCCGTCTCCATCATCAGTCATAAAAGCTTCACTGTTATCGCTCACACATTCCAAGCCCGTTTCACATTTGCCGAAGCTGCTACGAAGTCCACCGCAGATTTCATTAACAGACCGCAGACAAACATCACAGCAGTCGCACTCATCTTTTACAAATTTACCGCTACCACAAGGTACCGTCGACTCTTCGCATTTTGTCTTGTCACAGATCTCCGGGCAACGGATGCCGGCAGCGAAGTTCAGAAAAATTAGGAATATTCCAAAAATAAGAAGTGAATTTTTCATCATTCTAAAAAAAGGAGAAAAAGTAATTAAGGCAAGTGAGACACAAAATAGAGCGATTCATCGTGCTTTTAAATGAGATTTTCTTTTATTTAAGCAATGCGAGTAAAGAGAGAAATAGTGCAAAGAATAGCCTGTTTTCATAAGAATTCATGATCATCAATATATAAAACTTAACCACAACTTCACAGCTCTTTGAAAGAAATCGTATACCTAAAATTGCCCGTGTGGACTAGTCTAGAAAATAATACGTGAGCGATCCTTCGCACTATTTTAAGTGCGACTTTCGTTTTTTAATCAACGCGAGTGGGCGAAATGGCGTAAAAAATGGCTTGTACTGATGAGAGTAATTAGAAATCAGCTGTATTCTGATTGGCTATCCTAATTGCTATCTATATACTTGCGATAGATGGCGATCGCGAGTATAGCAAAACAATAGTGATTTATCTTTTGAAAAATGGCTTATCTGTGGATACAAAAAATGTGTGACTACGTTTCCGAGACATACTCGCGATTGCTGAAAATCATTTTAGGCTTTTGATACAGAAATGAAGTATGAATGAAAAAAAAGCACAATAGAAATAGGGAGAGAAAAAAAATGGAGTTTTGATACGGGATTACTACCATGCATATCCAAAGCTTGCCCTCTCTAAGGCTATAACTAATGGTTATTTGGTCGCCATTTTTGCAGGGAATTTGAAGCCTAATTTGTTAAAAGGGCCAATCTCTTTCTATTGTTTTTGCCGGCGTAATGAATCTTTGGTCAGGGAGCGTGAGGGAGGATTTCTCAATGAACATATCCAACATTATAAATACGCTGTTGGAAGGTTAATTTGATTTGATTTGATTTACATTAACCCAGCTTATGCAACCCCGAAAAACGTGACAAATGGAATTATAAATAGCTCAATGTACGCATGCTCATACTGGTCATTCAAACACGAATTCAAAGCAAACAATATTTGAACCATGCACTAGCTGATGCACCGCGAATTCAGAATGGAGAAACCAAGCATTCCTCTTCAATTGCCGACGTGCAGGAATTACAAACATAAGTTTGTCACTCAACAGGTGTGAAATGGCTGGCATACGTCTGGCACGCTTCTTCACTCTTATCTATTTAAAGATATCCCTCGGCTATTTCTGTCACCAAAATTACAAAAACATCTGCAAACTCCATTTTAGAAATTTCTCCTCTAGGGTCGGCTAAATATAGCGTGTGGGCGATGCTGATCTTATAGTTGAATTATAAGGCTCAAGAATAAATGCCAAAAATGGTTAAAGTTTTTTTAAAAAAATATATAGGGGTAAAAACTAGGAGTTTTACCACAAGATCCTTCAGTAAATAAAGAATTTTTGATGATCAGTTTCCACGGAATGGAAACCGCTCTGCAAATTCGTGCAATGAAGCATGCATACTTCTATCGCCAGGAAACTTGATGACCCTGCATGAACCCTTTAGCGAAAAGATATCCAATGGAACACCACGTTTGACTATTTTTAGATTGTATACATTCGCATTTCTGGCTACGAAATACGAATATTCCCAGCAAGGTCAGTCAACAAAAGGATTTATTTTTTGGCAAAAGTGGATATTTGCAATTCATATATAACATTGTAAAAAATTACCAACTTATTACATGTAAACTCAATTTCCCTATATGAGGTTGTTAGAATGATTGTAATCTATTCTTCAGTTGATTGAAATAACGTTTTTTAAGCATTACGTTCCTAGTCACGTTTCTAGAGATACCACAGCATAATGATATTTTAGTGCGGTTTTGGGTATTGAGTTACTGTCAGTTCATTCAATAATACTGTGAAATTGCTGCGGTGTTAATCTAAACGAGTTTAAAGCAATAATTACACCGGTAATAAATAATCCAAAGGCAATACGCCAGTTGAATGCTTAAATGCTTAAATGGCTGCAAGTCCAGAGATTAAATAAACACTGATTATATGCCATATGTAATTATATGTATATGTGTGTTTCTGCCAAATTCAGTTAAGTGAAATATTGCACTTTTAAAAAACAACGTGGCATTGAACAGTATAAGTTGATAGATATGACTAAATAAATAGTGGAATAAGGAAATGCATAACTAATTTCCCGCAGTTTCCAAATGGCGTCATTAATCTAAGGTATTCCTGGAATGTTTCGTAAAGGTACATCCGTCATCAAACTTAAAACTGCAGGAGACGAAAATCCTAGGTAATTACTTGAGCAAATATAGGACCAAACTTACTGAATGAAAATTTAATAGTGTTAAATGTAATTATGTTGACACTAAGCAATTGTGACAGACATATATAGTTATAACATGCATGGTATAGATCATAAATTAAAAATTCCAATTGGTTTTATTGGGAAACTTCCAGCAAGTCGATGAAACTACTAAATTTAGAGAAAATTCAGAATGCAGTCGAGGTGACATTGATTTCCTAACGCAGATCTCAAACCCTTGGGTAAAATAATAAAACAGAGATAGAAGACAGCGCAGTTTGGATGTGATAAAGCATTATTACTGCTGTGCTGGTGAAAGATTATTATACTCAGTCTGACAAATTTTAGCGGCCAGTAGAAAAACACGACTTAGAAATTTAGAAAAATGTTTGCAATTTCATAACAAGATAAACAGTAGATTTTTATATAGAATTAACGAGCACAGAAACCCAGCAATATGTTTTGTTTTATTTACATTCATCCGGTATATAAGCACTCACAAAAGAAGTTGGGGTTTAAAAGCTTGTCATTTCAGCGTTTGAACCAGAAACACCCAACACGGATTTATGTACGGCAGACCTAGAACATTTTTGTCCAGCACACGAGAAAATGATGTTTTTCATAGCCGGGACAATGGCTCGTCTGGCTATTGAACACAATACGTCATTAGCAGTCAGGTGTTGTTGATCAACAAAGGTCAGATTTGAAACCTAATAAACTCGGATGCTGCAGTGAAACAAAACAATGCCATTACACGCGATCGACAAGAGATCAAACAAATTGATAAAAAAAAAAAGAATGAGACATGCATTCGCTTCCTGTTCCGTCAACATTTCTGTGGTTATAGTGAGTCGTTTCATGAAAATCATCTAATAAGCACTGCATGGTGATCCCAAGTCTGAGAAGATTTTGTGTAGCAATAAATTCAAAACATTCAATGTGTTTTCTGCGAAGAAGGATTTTCGTAACTTAATGAAAATCGGTCATTCCTTAAATATACCCTCGTCATTTAGCTCCCATATCGGTTTTTTAAAAGATCGCAATGGTTTCCTCTATCGTGTGGTAGTGCATGTATACATTCATTTGTTTCAGAGTTAGTTTTGCCTTGCCTAAAAAAATTAAACTGATACGCAATGTTAGAGTGTCCTAGCTGAGTACCCTACCTTGGAAACTTTTCATAGCCTTTAAAATGAACAGAAAAACCGTCCTACTGTCAAGTCCTAGAATCATTCGTCCTACTGTCGTCCTACTGTCATAAAACATTCGTCCTACTGTCAAGTCCTAGAATCATTCGTCCTACTGTCGTCCTACTGTCATAAAACATTCGTTCTACTGTCAAGTCCGAGAATCTACTTATAGTAAAACTGATACATAACAGCGGGAATTTTTTGTGAAATAAAAAGAGACCGTTTATTTGTGTCAAATTGCTTTGCTTAATTTTCTTGCATAATTGTGTTATGTTATTTGTCCGATCTGGAAGTTGTGACGACAAGTTTCGTGATTCCTGCGCTATCAACTCATCCAAATAATTCTTATGCACATGTGTCACGATGCACGTTCGAAACGCAAGATCTGGTTTCAATACAGGGTTAACTAAAAGCTAAAATATTGGACTTAAAATGGCGTTCTACTCGTGCGTGAAATTGGAGGAAAGATAATTGTCTAATTAGGTCATTAATAAGTTCGCGACAAATTTGCATATAGACTGGCAACTGTGTTTTTTTTACTGACCCTGTAGGGTACTTTTTTGAGACACCCTGTATACGGTTCGAACGGAAAGCGTTTATCGATGAAATAAAAAGACATGTTTCATATGGCGATGACTGTTGGGGACTTATTGCAGCGCAACCTTGTTTTCCTTAAATAATTTTCTCTTCCATTCTTATCGACCGTAGGTTAATCAGTGTCTGGTCGGCGTTTTTACGGAAATAAGGCCCAAATAACGAAGATTATGCCAGAGATATACGGAATATCTGAATTCGCGTTTCCTACGAATCGTTTGGTATTGTCGACACGCAATCAATGTCGGATAAGATGACAACTAAATATTTCATTTTCAGACAATTGAAATCAGCCGTGAGCGTTTGGCGCCAAAAAAAACTAACTGTTTCCTGCGATACTATGTGGCTTCAAAATAAGATACTTCACTTGAAGACTATTAAAATACATCTCACCTGATAGTTATCAAGGGAGATTTATGTTAGCGGAAAGGTACGAAATTAATAAGTGTAAAATGGTTTTACAAGCAATTAATTAAAGCAGACACTCTCCGTATTCACGCAAACATATAAACGTATATGATAAAGCGTTTAGGAAATTCCACATCACGAAATTAGTGAAAATCTATTAACACATGCACTATAGCTAATAATATATAATATATAATATACCTTCCCACATAAACAATGACACTTACCAACAAAGATGTTTATATAAACGTTGATTTTGCTTTTCAGTAAATATACGTTGTTGCTGCTTCGAAGTATTTCGTATAACTGAAAGAACAACAAAGACGGTGATTTCTTAACAGAAAATACGGCAGAGGAAACGACTAAGGTAATGACGCATTAACACGCTTCAATTTAGCGTGCATCACGGAAGGAAACAAGATCTAAAAATCTCGTCAGGAGACAAAAGGGTAGCCAATTATAACGGATGTTCAGAGACAATTAGATCAGGAAAAGCACGATTGTGGTAGAGATTATCGCAAAAATATGCGGTTCATTCCCCTTTATCAATAATACAATCGTTCGCACGAAGCCGGCGATGTTCAACAAGTTAAACAACAATAAAAGCTTGTTAATAACATGCTAAGCTTGAAGTAATCATTTCCTGGACAATGAATAGAACAAGAACAATGCCTGGGCGTGATGAAAAACATTTAATTGCTATAAATAATAATCGTTTAGCAATGAATCCCACGAAAACAATTTGATATAGATAGAAGTATTTCTAACAAAAATATTAAAATTCTCTTCAGAATGCTTTTTGCGTGTCGCGTAATGGAAGAATTCGCTGGTTTAGAACCAGTCTGGGTAAAAAGTGTTTGCTAGGCGCTATTTAATATGGTTTAAGCGACACGTTTAGTTGACCAGACTTAGTTATAGAGTACGACCAACCGGACCAGGCATACTGGCATAGGTATTTAACATCAAGAGTTCATTTAAAATTGCCTGCAGTTGTACGTAAGACATAGTATGTTCTTAAGTTTCGCCGAGTTTCCCGTTATAAATTATTGTATACATTGCTATACATATATTGTTATTTCTACAAGGCCCTGACTGGAGCTAGTTCTCTATCGGATCAATTTCGTAAGTATTGGAAGAGTGTGTTTTTTGAGATTTTTAACGTCGGAAAAATCCTGTCATTTGCCTAATGACCATTATTTCCAGAAGGTGCAGTGACCATGCAGCAAATTTGATATATCGCAATCGGGGCCTATAACTAAATTTTATAGTTATGCAGCAAATACTGCACGGAGGTGGCATCAACACCATGCGATGACATTTCTAGCTTTGCCTTCGGCTTTGGCCTTTTTTTATCAATAGCGTTGCATGAGATAAACACAATTAAGTAAAAAAATGAACTCAATCGAGACGGTTTCCTGCCATATTTACCGCAACAGACTTCGGCCTATGATACTTGCATAAAACGAGAGAAGTAAATTAGTTTTATCCCTAGAATTCTGTAAAAAATAATGCGAGATCAAAGAGCGGAAGTTCAAGTGATTTAAGCCTGAATAGTTGAAGAAAGGTTTGAAATACGGCTGCGAAACTGTGCATGGACAATTATTAATAACGGAGGATTTAAAGAGTCTGCTTAGGCTTTCTATAACCAGTTTTTTGAAGAAGGGTAGATTGGTTCTCGGGGGACTTGTGGCCTTGTAAAATCCATGAAAATTTACAGGGAGTGGGAGCTTAACCCCTCTATTCATAATGCTGTCTGGGATATTACGTGATGAAATTCTGGAAAACAGGCATGCGTGATTTCCTATTACTTTATTGTTTCCACCGCGGTCTTATCAGAAGGAATTTCTGGCCTTATCAGAGGTTGAAGCTGAAAATTCTCACAGATTCTGTTATTTGATAAAAGGGCTCTTTTATTCGCCACAATCATTTGTATACGGTTGCGATTCCGAAGAATGACAATGAGTTCTGATGTGATGCGATGATGTTTATTTATTAGTGACAAGGTTTCATGTCAGACGTTTGTACGCGCGTTTAATCGATCACACACGCCATGGCTGAAATTTTATACAACACATCGTAAAGTGAAGAGAGCCTATATAGTCCCTTCATTGTGAAACATCAGCTAGGGAGCTTTAGCAGTGACTACACGTACAAGCATCAAGGTTTGTCATTCTCGCATATGACGGTAGCCCACGCCATTGCGCAAACTCGTTGTCCTCAGCGTGTACGAGTCAGAAGCGATTCGTCAGATGGCGTAAGCAAACAGCACTGAGTTTTGCGCATAAATCAAGAGTTTCGTATACTCTTAGTATATAATAAGTCTCTGTATATTTAACGATAAGCCACTGGCGCTAGGTTTTCGCGTTGTGCGGGTACGAGGTTCGTGCCCTTCACAAGACTGCCTATTTCACAGAGCGACCACCGCAATGGATGGCTGTCCGTTCGGTCTGCAAAGACCAAACCACAGGAAGGTTCTGTGACCACGGTAACGATCTAGCGCATGCAGTGAGAAGTCTTATAACGAATAAAGTTTAACTCCAAATATTCTATTAGCTCTTCTAGAAAGCTGTGACCTTGCGTCGGGTATTTAAAACTTCACAACTGTTTATAGTTTATGAACTGCGTGCACTTAAAAGCATTTTGAGAGATTTGACGATAGACAAGATGTTAATTTACTTTCTTTCCTGTTAAAAGGGAACTCTCAAGTCAATTAATATTCGATACATTATTTTGACTGTACGCTGTACCAGGCCAAATCCATCCTACGGAAACCTGTATAGAGGCACAATCCTAACTAAAGTGTGAATTTTTGAGGAAGGCTGTTGAAAAAGTAAAATGCGTTTCAAGACTCCTTATACTCAATACTAGCTTCTAAGTGATTTTCGTTTCAAATTGTGCTCTTATTTTTAAGCAGCAAGACTGTTGTTATTATGATAAACTTCACACATGCTCATGTATTAATAATACGTACATGTCTATGGACTTTGAAATCTTTAAAGCAAATAAATAAATCAAATCTCTTCGATAATACGTATGCCTCGGCAAGCCTTGGTGTCTAATAACGATTATCATAGAAACTACGAAACAGTATTTACCTTAGAGATGCCAAACACAAACTCCGTTCTTGTCGCTTGTCTGTGTAGAATACAGCGTCCAAATGGAGGCGCGCCAAATACGACATGCGTTCCCGCGAGGAGAATCTTTATTTTAATATCAGAAAGGCAACTTGAAAACAATGCATCCAAGGTAACCAAAGAGGTCAAGTGGTATCCATTTCCCCTCACGTGGTGATAGTTGTGCCACTACAATTCTCTCATCACTATCCAGCAGCGCTATTATAACATCGCGAATGGCTCGTGCGCCAAAAATGGCAAAGCAACGTTTAGCTTTCTTGTGTTTCTTCCTTATAATGCGCGCTCAAACCAGACCAACACGTTGTTCAAAATCGCCCAGCACTGTTGGACGCAAGCTGCCGGTAGCATTTTTGGTAATATTTGATATTGTGAGTCGAATTTGTGAAAATCAAGAATATTGATTGACTTCGTTAACACTTAACAAATACAAAACCCATATTTTAGAAAAGCATCCAAAGTAATCACACTTATCATTGGCAGTCGATGTAGAATTGTTTAAAACAGGCTTTTAGGAGGGATTAAAGATTGAATCAAAAACGTAGTTTTATAAGTAACCACGCAATTCCGTCTAACAAACGCGTTAAGTTTACAGTTATCTTTCAGATTCGTAGCCACGCACAGCACGACGTTTGCCGTGGAGCTTTAAAATACTTCAAATTTTTGGCAGGTTTACAAGAATGATCGAGAATAACCTCGTGCAAATTAAAGTTGAAAGGCGACGCGACACAGCAAAAATGAAAAAAATGCGATATTTTAAGAATGCCAAGGTATTTTTATCAGCTGTAAAATTAATTGTATTCCCTATAAAACACAGTCAATGCGAGTGGGACGCTGGTTTTCTGTTACTAGTTTTATTGCGGTATTTTGTGATAGAATTGTCTGGCTTAGTTTTGAGGTATATAGCATCATTATTTCCCCTTATATGTAATATATAGTCCCATATGCAGGCTTTCGTTATATAGCGATAGTCTGTACTGCAATGACCGAGTAGCAATTAAGAAGGTTGACTTTCGATACTAGACTTTGTTGAGAAAGAGATGTGAGCTGTGACCATGATTTACTATTTTATTGTCTATTTAATACTGCATGCAGAGCAATATTAGGTATAAACTCGAAGTACAAATTGTATAAGTGAAATGCTGCAGGCTAGTGAATACACGTAGTGCCTTTATCTTCTCCCAATCGTTTCTTGGGTAGTCTTCAGCAGGGACCAGTTGTTCAAAGCTAGGTTAGCGCTAACCCTGGGTTAAATTTTAATCCAGTGTTTTCGTTTACGTCAGTTCTGAACCACTGTTCGTTTCGAAACAGTAGAAAATATGACTTCTATCGGTCCAGAAAATATTTATGAAAAAAGTTATTCAACTTTGTAAACAAGCGACTTAAAAAATCGATGTAAAGATTTGCTTTAACCCAGGGTTAAGCTAACCGGCTTTTGAGCAACCGGTCCCAGGATAGTAATGGCAATATTGCGTGTCACAAAACATGATCTTGTTTACATTATGATAAACGTATATACATGCAATATTATATCGTGGTTATGCTGATGAGAATTCTCTCTCGAGTTGAGATCATATAAAGATATAAGATATAACATAATTAAGATATAATATGAAGCATCACGCATTCGCATACGATGAAACCGCAGTACTATTGTTCGTGTGCTCAAAAAATCATCCTGACAAACAAAATCGGTGAAAACGAGATGCGCGTCAGTAAAATGGGACTGTTTGCTTCGCTCGCAGTTGCAGCGATAAATATTAGACTGCTCAAGCCAATATTAGTGAAGTGGCCATGCCTGCAGGGGCCCCATTCCAAACCTTTGTGTTAGCCAAATCTGCTACAAACTATTGTTAAAGTAACTTCAGTCTTCAGTCTTAAATTACTATATACAACCGACCCCAAAAAACAGCACTCAATATAACTAACAATATATGGCAACTGTACTGGCAAGAATACGGTTATACTATAAGAGAACAAATTCCAACGACACTTTTTATTAAAGGTTGCATGCTGAACAGCAAGCACTACCTAAAGGCTATAGGCTGTAGTTGGCCTAGCTTGGCTTTCCCAGTATTACTTTTGATTAGTCTGGGACATTTGAATGGCACCAATGTTGTTGAAACGGTCACTGAATATGCGGCAAAGAGCCGCGTCATTAAAGTGGTAAAGACGTGACTGAAACTGCTAATTGAAATTATTAGTTTAGTTTTTTATACTAAGAAGAATTAGGGTGCTGAAAGCCAATTATTTTTCTATTCCTTATTTATGAAGTACATGACTTAATCATTCCTTTCTTTTGACAAAAAAAAGCCGTAGATATCTTGTACTTTATAAATCAGTTAGGAATAAAAAAATCGTGACTTTCAGCACCCTAATTTTTCTTAGCATAAAAAATTAAGCTAATAATTTCAATTAGTGATGAATTGTTTCAGTCTAAGTCACGTCTTTATCAGTTTTGTCCACTTTTCACAACGCAGTTGTCAATCAATGCTTGTGCTAGTTTTGCAGTCCAGATTCGGAAACTGTTTTGCCAATCACGGACTGATGTTTATCTTCATGTATAGTTATTGTTTCAGCGTGTCAATCCAGTCCGAAATGTAAACAAACGATTGTTTATCTTCTTTGCTGCTATATTCTATAAAATATCATGCCAGGATAACGACACACAATATTGATTCGCTTTTAAGCAATTAAACTGGTGTTTGAATCATGGTAAATTTCATTATATTACCCTAAGGTGGTTTTTTCACTAGGCTGAAAAATTGAATCGAGTCAAAAATTTTGAATGGTAAACCGCCTCTATAGCTGTATATCTACGTATAGTTTAAGCAAAAAAAAAAGTAGCCTACTAATCCATTTATTGTTATGAGCAGAAGCGATGCGCAGACGCCGCTGTGAATCACCTGGGGCCGGTTCTATCAACGGTGGTTAAGTTCAAAATAGAAAGCAAGTCTATATTCTTATTCAGCAAGCGAACTAAATGTCTTAAACCTTAATACAAAGATACTGTTCACAACTAAATAATCAGTGCATAATATTCAAGTTGACTCAAGACTCAACAGAGATGTAAGAGTGACTTTGTCAGAGTAATTTTGACTTATCAACTGTTTAATAAGCAAAACGGGCTTGATATACAACCGACCACTGTTAAAAAAGAATCAGAGAGATCATGTAAACAGCGCCGCAAAATAGATGCCAGTCACTTTCAGCTCACTTACATTATCCACTGATAAGGGGGGCTATTAATATAGGGGGTCGGTCTATCCGGAAACCGCATATCTTTATCTTCTTTCACCGTTAACCGTCATTTTTTCCGCGAAAATCCGTAACCGCCATTTCCCTGATCAACATAAAATTGGCTTTCTCTTCAAAGGAACTCTATGAACAACACTTACATAAAAGAAACTCCGCACAAAACACAAAATACGAAAATCATTGACTGATAACGCCCATTAAAACGCACCGTTCTTCCAAACCTTGATCTCGTTCATATTTTAAACCGTATTCCGTGCATAGGACACATAGCTATATAACCGTAAAACGATACAATAATCTCTTCACCGTAAACCGCTACGAAAACGTAGATACATCCGAAATCCGATCCTTGACATGGATAAAAGTCATAAAACCGCCAGAGGCCCAGACAATATAACACTCACGTCAAGTGATTCGAAATTTGGAGGCAAATTAGAGTCGGTTTACACATACGTTTTCCGAAAGCATCAACGGACATGAAGACGCATCCTAGGTTAAAAAACATCAGTATTGAGGTGAATTACAAAAGGTTTTATATTGGAGAACGGTCTGACATCTTACTGTGTTTCCATGATAAGAATTAGCGAACATATAAGCAGTTCGGCACCTGAAGAATTTGTACTTAAAAGAATTTGTACTTAAACTTTTAATGAAATGAATTAGCCTCAGAATCTATTTCAGAAGCAGAGGGCATTCTGGCACTGTGGTTTTGCCTTATGAAGTAAGTAAAACCAATGAAATATGTCAATTTTGTTTAAATTGGAGTTGACTTGTAAATGCCACCATTGATGGGCAAGTGAATAAAATTGTGAAACATTTTAGCGCTAAATGTCACTGAAAATCTCCAACGGCGCGAATATAATGTAAACATTCAGGCATGTGCACGCGACATTATTACTACGCAGATTTACGTCAAAGCAAATTCAATATATCCCGCAGTTCAGCCAAAGGTTCACTGCATTGGCCAAGCACGATTCTATACGTCTCTTAATTAAAAAGTCATATGCCAATACCTTGGCAAGGAACTGGGTCCTTTAGGGTCCATGACATCACGTGATGACATGCATAGTATAACAACACTTGACTAAAACTACGTCAAGCTATTTTCTATTTTCCCAAACGGACCAAATTATACCTATCAACGAAACAAACAAACATGGAATCCGACAAGGATTTTCTTTTAAAAAGCGATTGTTTGATCCGGATGCGGGTATCTAGATAGTCCGATACGATTGACACGTGTTATGGAGTGTGAAAAATTTATCGAAATGCCAAAACAAATTCGCAAAAAAACAAATTTAAAAATACATATAAAAATAAGAAGAACTTATCAAATGTAGCTAGCTAATGTAGTTTAAGTCAAATTTTAAGACAGAATTAATTACGATTGTTTTCCCCATTTAAATTTGAATAAGTAGTCGTTCTGGAAGACTCTAGAAAACGCGCGCTAACTTATTTAAAATATCCATTTGATTCATAAAAAAATCATAATGATAATGTGATCGTGTATTCGAGATACACTGTGGTTTTTAAATCTGACAGCAACCGTATGGAATGCTTTTAAAACCCTCAAGAACAGAGTAAATTACACGCTATTTGCAAAATAAAAAGATTTAGATGAAAACCTGAACTTCTAGATTTTCGATCTGAGTACCTTCGCCAAGAGAGCGAGGGCTCTTAGTTTTGCGAACCAATCAAAATTTGTGTAATATCAGGCTAGCTCTCATCGTTTGACGTCATCATGAGAAAGGTCTGGAAGGTCACAGGATGCTTTAAAGATTATTTCTCAGGCGAGATTAAAACGCACGCTTTTGATTCACGAAACGCATACAAAAACAAGAGGTGCATGTTTCAGGCATCTCATTTGATCATCTTGTCTCGGTCTGATAGAGTTGCCGATCCAAATCGCACATAAAATTCTCACAAAATCCACAGATATAAAGTAATTTCCCATTTGTCGATGCACGTGCAAATCTTCACTTAAAAGGTACACCAATGCAAATTACGGCCTTAAAGCAAACAAGAATGATTTAAATTGCTGCCCAAAGTCAAATTGATGTACTCAAATTTGAAATAATTTTGAATTGGAAATTGTCAGGTCTAAGTTAAAAGTTGCCAAAATTATAATCCTGTTCACACAGCACTATCCGTGTTGCGCCACTTGAGATCACTTATAATTTTTCTTATATACCATGACATACGCGCATCTCAATTAAGCAGACAATTCGAAAATCTTCAAAATCCTTATGGTTTTGAAAACCACGGATTTTTAGAAGATCGCTCTCAAAAGGTGTTTTTCAATGATAAAGCTAGGTGTTTGTTGTGTGGATATAGACTGGATTTATCAATTCTACAAAGTGGTAGTGTTGCCTCATTTCTTTTCAATTAATTTACACAAACGATTTACCTAATAGCAGTAAGAAAAAAAGAGGTGGCATAAATACAATAGACTTTTTGCATTATCGACTACTTTTTGATCTATACAAGGAAATGCAATCAAATCACAGCAGCTGAAAAGAACGTACTGAAATTAGTACAAGCACAAAGTTTGATTTCGAAATGTTGTAAAATGCGGAAAATATAGCCTTCCAAAGTTTGCAAATTTGTATACTTTTTAGGACAATCTGTTACTGAAATTGTTACCATTTTTGGCCCAAATGTGGTAACAATTTCCGTTTGTAGTAAAAAGTATACAAATTTGCAAACTAAGCAAGGTTGTATTTTCCGCATTTTACAACACTGCGGCGAAACCAAACTTTGCATTTTTACTAATTTTGGTACGCTCTTTTCATTTTTCAGCTGTGGTGATTTGATTACATTACCTTGCATATGCAAAAAGGTAGTCTATAATGCAAAAGGTCTATTGGCATTCGGCATTAAATCTCAATCTATTCGTGAGGAAAAGGTTTTATTTTGTAATTAAAATATTGAAGTTCAGTGTTCGAATCACCAACCTTTTTCTTTTAGGAGATTAATGCAACGAAGGGAAACAGAGTATATCTCTGTATAACCCTTGTACACTAAATTACACCAAAATGGGAAACAGCCTAACAATTATGCGTAAAAATGGAACTGAAATTAAAATAAAAAAGATAAGAAAAAATTTGGTCACTTTCTTAGATTTAGCGTTTGGAATCCAGCGACCTCTTTTGCATATCGTTAAAGGTTCCATGAAATTCGTGCCGTAGTAAGATGTTAAATACTGCGTGTGATTTCGCGGACAATATAATGGCATTCCAAGAAAGTAGCAGGGTTTTAAGGGAAACAAAACGTCTCGCCTGTGAAATACATTTCTATATTCGTCCCAAAAAATATCCCCATGGTCCTCGATCATAAAAATATCAAGGTAAATCTTGGAGTGGATGTACAGTCGGGCGTGCGGGTCAAGAATTGAACAATCATCTGTGGTGGTTCTCACAATTTTACCATTACAGTCTTCCCGGGGGGTGTCTGCTGAAGGATGCGGAGAATGCCTTTGAAGAAGCAAGCGAATCTTTCCATCATTCAGGTCCAAGGGTCTTCTTGATTCTTCAGCGTAAAGTTTATGGTATTCGTCTCGTAACATGCATATATCAGCATCTGTGTCCAAGGGAATGACATCGCCATTACGCAGGGAGCCCAGCATGGAACCAAAACATATGAAAGACTTGCTGATGTTTCTGCGTTCAGCCATGCGGCTCCATTCCTGGAGTAATATCTGAAGTCCTTCGCGGTACGGATTCGCCTCGCAACCTTCACCGTAAAATTCATCCTGTAGACGAAGTGGATTCTCCTTGGTGTGGGTGATATTGCGCCAGTGTAGACCCTGAAAGGGAAATTCCCTATACACCTGTATTCCCCTGAGTGAGGATCCATCTTCAAGTATATAGATAAAAGTAAGCACTCCGTATGATAAAAGCACAAAAGTAAGGGTATATTTTCTTCCGGATGTCATGGTACCTGCAGGCGAAGTATAAACACGTCAATATTAAGTGTAAACATGCACAACGAAATCGATGATCTTGGGATGAAATTATTTGAGTAATTGTTATTGGAGATAGTAATTTAGTTGATGACAAAATTAAAATAGTTATCTTTGCCACTCAGTACCGTCTCGTTTCAAAGATTTACAACAGATCACTTGCATAATAGATCAACTTTTGATTTAAGCCCATTACAGACGAGCAGGTTTTCTATGACAAGTTTTTTTGTTTTAATTGTTCGTCTGTACACCCCAATTTGATTACTCGATTTTGAACAAGTGTACTTGTCATAGAAAAAAATGTACAAATTTCGCTCGTCTGTGCGAGTCAAGTCAACAAAGAAAACTTGTCAAAGTAATGTGAGCACTTGTATGAGTTTGACCAGCGGACTATTGTATTTTGCAGAGGCAGCTAGCATTAGCCTGTACGTTTGACTGATTTGGCGAATAAAAGGAATATTAATTCGGAATCATTTCGATATAGAAACAAGAAAAAGACTGAATTACGTTATTATTACAGTACAATCCTTACGTTATTACATTATTCAGAAATGGAATTTTAAAATGGCGCCTGTTAACGCGCTCACGTTTTTCACTGAACGATTAATTCGCTAACTGCAAACTAAATTGTCAAAGTAAACTTGTTGGCACGTTCACACGAGCAAATAAAACTTGTCAAAGAAAAACTTGTCATACAGAATTTGTTGTACATACACACTGCAATTGCCAATTAAATCTTGTCATATAAAAAATTGTCATAGAAACTTTCTCGTCTGTAAGGGGCTTTAGGAAACAAAAAGGGATACTACTTAGTAAAATTGCATGCCAAGTTGGCTGCAAAATATTGTAATGTACGGAAATATAGCCAAGTGAAGTTTGCAAATTTTGTATACTTTTGTATTATGGCCGGAAGTGTGGGATTAAATTAGTGCACATTTTAAATTAGAGGATAAGACCCAGTTTGGTAGAAATATTTCCCCTTTAACATTTTCCCCTTTGGCTGATATATATATATATATATATATATATATATATATATATATATATATATATATATATATATATATATATATATATCAGCCAAACCTGGCAATATTACTAATTTCAGTATGCCCTTTTTAGCTGTGGTGATATATTTCCTTCTTGTTACCCTCTAACTTAGAATCTAATTAAAAATATTCAGTTTTCATCCCTATTTCTCCTTTGGTCGTTATAAGTCGCAACAAGGCTAATTGATAGATTTATTTGTTTCGTCTCGTGTCGGGAATGCAAATGTTGACATAGTGAAAGACTTCTACGGAAGCCATTCAGTGCTGTGGTTTCGACAATTAAGGAACAGCGAAATGCGAACAAGTAGATTGTTCACCGATGTCACGGTCACATCTATGTGACACAAATGCTGCATACAAGGTATTGAAATGAGTATATGAACCTGGCAGTGGTTTAATGTAATCATTCAGACTATAGCATGTGCTCGTTAACACCTCAAACTCATCTCAGCTAACGGAGCTCATTAGACAGCCCGTTAGACTTATTGACAGCAGTAAAGATCTGCGCGAAGAATTTGGCTCAGTCCCCTTGTATTTTTGCTAATTTCAGTACATTGTTCCCAGCTGCGGTGATTTTTTTGCATCCATAACGCAAAACGTCTTTTAACTCCCAAACTAATTCGTCGTAACCATGCAAAATTCCAAGAATAATTTCAAAATATACCCATGCTATTGCAACACAAATATTTTACTTCTCAGTATAGATATTTTTTTGGAATAACTTGTCACTTTGACTCTGACGAATGAGATCATTCTAAATTTTCGGAAATGTAAAAATTTCCAGATTTATTCCAGCTATTGTATCCTCGGCGCCAAATTATTCCACTTCTCAGAAGGAACTATAGGAATATAGTAACTGTTCAATTTACCCGTGTGAAATGTAAACATTTTATACCAATGTCCCAGAAGATGTTTTGACTTACCTAAGGTCGAAACGTGGAGAATTGTTTTTTATTTGTACTCTAGCGGATAATGGACTCGGATAAAGAGTTGCTCAAAACTTATGGAAGGAAAAAGTGGGAAAATATTGCTTCGAATGCAAAATGTTGCATGCACAAACTGGGCATGCCCAAAATTATTCTTGCAGTTATTTTAATCCGTTCTTACTGAAGAAAAAACGTTACCTAAGCTTTCTAAAGCTGGATTGACATACGTCTCACACGATTAAAATTCTCACAAGGAGAATTTTTTTCTGGTGTTTTTTTTATCAATGGTACTCGATTCCTAACCAAGGTTTCTCAGAAAGAACGCAGGCATGTAATTTCCAAAGAAAGTTTAATTCCCTATAGGAACTTCGGTCTCCGTTGACACTCCATATTCTTTGACACATGCAAGACATTAGCAAAGCAATAAATTTGTTTGGATTTTTATCCCTGAGATATCCTTAATTCAAAACCCATATGAGCGAGATATTTCACGAATGCTTCGCTCGATTAGTACGAGAATATCATGAATCCGAATAGAGTTGTAACTTGTGAATCGGATCCCATCAGAAAAGCAGCCTTAAATTTCTAAATTTCTATCTATTTCATGCATCAACAACACGTAAATCCGGGGCATGCTTGCCTTTCAAAGGTTAAGGACGCGAGCTTGAAGAGACGTATATGGCAATGTTTGAAAACCTCAACGCCGTAACGTACAACCTCTCTTCATCTCTAACCATTGTGTTTCTTTAACCCACTTATTAGTCGATAAAATACCGTTAGGCGTTGTTACTCGCACAGTTGTTACTCGCACAAAAAGGCATAAATGTTTTAAAAGATCACTTACCAAAGACCTTAAGATCTACGACGCCAACTTTAACGACGAAGCCAGTTGAAAATGAGTGAATTCCTGTGGAAGTTTTAGACAAAATTCTTTCTCTGTCTACAACGCTGCGTATCACAAATACTTGCGTCTTACACTGAACGCCAGGATTGAAGCCAGCTGCAACTTCAAATTCGATTTAGTAAAGGTTTCTTGTCCAATTTAAGCGACGTCTTCAAGTTGCATTATTGCACTCGATTCTTAGAACTGATAAGATATACGACAATATATGCGATAATATACGAAAAATCTTCTTTTGGACCATTAATTGGGAGGTTTTTTAGCGGTTGCTGTCGTGTTGTTGTCTTACTACGAAAAATTTGGAAAATATTCATAGTCAGACATACTTTGAAAGAGCAGCACGCAAGCTTACGAATCGAAAGCACTCTTTAGCGTTTGATGTAATAAAACGTTGTTCCCTACGCAACCGCGTACACGGAGTTCGCGGGCTCTTAGAAATAGAAGAAGCCACTTCCTCTTAAAACAACCTCGAATGAAAACAAACATAACGGTGACATTTCACGTAGCTTTCCTCTCCGTGATATCATTTCATAGCGATATTTGAGCAAGAGACAAATTTTCGAAGGAAGACAGCAAATTTTAACAGAGTCGCGAAGGAATGTAAAATTGTAGCTCTCGCTGAATCAAAGATAGAAAAACAACTGAAAGCTATGGTTACTATGGTTACTATGGTTTCGATTTACAGATGATTTAAAAGATTTGTGGTTACTTAACTGTCTGTTTACATGGTCCAATTTTGTTGGATCTAATTCACTTCTGACGTATGGAATGTAGTCGCGATCGGTTATTGATGAAGCTGTAGTGCATTGGCTTCAGTGGATTTGCCGCTCATATACATTACAAGACAACAGACTATAAAACATCCTTCAGAAGTGAATTGGATCCAACAAAATTGGATCGTCTCGTCTGAACAGACCTTTAGGCAGTTAAACAATGGGATACGACCACCTTATGTTGGGAAATTAATCTCAGAGCAAATCGTTTTGCATCTGAAGTCAAATGGTTTACTTGTAGAGCGACAAGCAGGGTTTCGGTAGAGGCAATCTTTATCGCGCAACAAATCCACAATGACTACTAAGGGCTTGTTTACATGGAGCGAGTTATCCCGGCTAGGCGAGGTGAAAACTGCATATAATGAAAGACTAATCAGGTTAAGCCTTTGATGTGACGCGCTTTTCACCTCGCCTAGCCGGGAAAACTCGCTCCATGTATATTATACAGGCCCTAAATGTGAAAAACGGAGTTATTTTCCTCGACCTTAAAGGGTATTGGCAATAAATTTTTTTATTCTTGCTATCAGTTATATTCGACCTCCTGATTATGAATATGTGATTATTTTTTACCCAAACTGTTTTGTTCTCGAGTTATTTCATGATTAATATTCAATTCGTCCGCCATCTTGGACCGATTTTCAAAAAAATTATCTTTTGGTAACTTGACCCTTGTGACGTCAGGTGCAGGGGAGATCAAAACAACAAATATATTTTATACGCGCAAGTCGCGATGTCGTAGTTCTTGTAAGGGATTTCGCGCTTTTCAATCACTTAAATGAAAAATAGCCATGATAAACAAGTAGAAGAGGTATTGCCCTATCAATTTGAAACCGAACCAGGTTTGAAGCGAAGCAATATCATTGCGTAGAGTGACTCAGATGATAGTCAATCGTCTGATGAGGAAGTCGACCATGCGTTTTGGGCTAAAAATGCTTGTGTTTGGAGAGTCTGAATGCTATTGAATCATTACGTTGGCACGAAAAAACGTTGGAATACGATTTTCGGTAAACCGTATCCGTGATGATTGGTTCTTGCTAAAGACTTGCAACATTTGATGATCATGAAACTGCATGTTAATAGCAACAATCAACTTGAAAGAGTTAGTTACAATATCTAAATCTTTTAGTCTTACAATTGACGAAAACGTGATTTGGAAAAGGTCATATTGATGAAATTTATAAACAGTTTTACTGGTGACATCCTGAAATAGCGCTCTAACGCAAATAGGAATAAAGATATATAAGATACAGCTAGCAGCTAGAGTGCATCAAGTGTCAATTGAGCCACATTTTCCCCATTTTACTCCGTCTAGGATGGCATCGTTGAGCGATAAACTGCAAAAACTACAAAATAGTGCTGCATGGCCATGGGTTATAACAATCTCATCTAACTCTGTTTTTGCTTATTGTGGAACAGTTTGCCTGAATCTTTAAAATTATCTTCATTGCTTTCTATTTAGCGTTAGTTTTGACTCCCACACAGCAACCTGATAGATGCCTCATATGAGTCATGTTCTTTGCATGTTTACATAGGGCCAAGTATCCAATTGTATAACTTAATTTGTAGCGTATATACTGAAAAATGCTGTGCCTACAAGATGCACAAACAATAAAATTTCAGACAGTCTAGTAGAGTACCAAAATAATAAATTTGTATGTTTGTTGCGCATTAAATGACAACATGAACAAGCCCTGTGGAGGCTAATATTGTCATCTGATCTGGGTTGACCAAGTTGAAAATGTTGACACTTTAAATATATGTAGCTGATATGCTAATGTTCCTTGATGATGCCGGCTAAAATTTCGACTTCAATTCAACACTAGCGAAATAAATAGACGTTTAGTGAATAGTGAGAAAATATACATTGGTTTCCTGATCGTCGTGTGCGTAGAGATCAGTATACGAAATGTACAAATTAGACGAGCCGGCGTAATTGACATAGTAACAGCTATAATGATAATCAGCACTTTTACGACGGCGAAATAAACGTGTTTATTTTAAATTTACCATTAATACGTAGAGTAAGGTAGTAGCGCTTAGTTTTCTATCCAATTGAAAGAAATAAATTGGTTTATCTGTTGGTTTCTGGTCAAAGTCATCTTAGAATGCGCTTGCACGCATACTATTGTAAATCTGCTCCCCTGCACCTGACGTCACAAATTTATTTTCGCATATATTAGCATATGAGTTTTTTTTCAAGATGGCGGATGGCTGTCAAATGCTTTCGGATATATCTAAGCAAATAAACGCACTGGACAAGTAAAAATAGGAAATTAAGTATTCCATAGATATGCTTAATTGATCGCAAGAATAAAAAAATTTATTGCCAATACCCTTTAACAAAACAATTGCATGTGTGGTTCACAATATACTCACAACAAAACCTGATTTTTAAGATAAGAGGCGTGATCTACAATCTTGTGATCTACAAATCAAAAAATATTGGGAGACTTTTTTCGAAGTCTAACCAGATTTCCACGCAGTTACGTACAGCAAATGTACCAATTCTCTCAACCAAAAGGCAAGCTGCCATTAATTCGCCCCCTTCCACATTACAATTTTGTTGAGGTTAATGACAATTTGGAAGAGATACAACACTAGTTCAACATTGTAATGGCGGGGGGGGGGGAGGGGGGAAATGATATCTAAATTAGAAAAGTCTATCAATTTTTTCCAGTATTGTAGTTTGATTTAAATCCTAACTAATCGATGCAAATTTGCAAATCATATTTCATCAAATTCCCAGGAACAAACCCATGCAGTTAAATGCAGCATTCCACAAGGTTCTTACTTAGTTATCAGAATGAACTTGACCCTGGAAAAACCTTTAACAAATTCTATGAAAGAGTATCGCTTACTCGGCCGCATCATTATGGAATAGCTTACCAAATTTAGCTAAACATGAACCACAACTGAGGTTTTCATGGAAATAGTAACTAGGAAAAATACTTATGCTACTTTAATAATTAATACCTGTGTAGTGATAAATTAGTGTTTTGGATTGATATGTAATGCCGGATTAGTTTGTTAATCTATAGATTAATAATGTAAAAACAAACACACAGCTTGTCTTGGGCTTTTCAAGTCTGTAAACTTTACAGGTCACCAGGCGCCATATAGTTTGCCTAAAAACAACAGCTCGGACAAAATACTTAAGACTAAAACCAACACGACCACGCTAATTTTAATGCTAAGACGAAAAAGTAATTAATAATTGTAAATGGCCTGGCTTAAATTATATTTACCCAAACATTTCTGCGGGAAAAAACAATTCTTTATCTACGTCATGCGAAGTAATGTATTCCATCTATATATAGACTTTTTTCATTTTTACAAGTCTATCATGGCTATAACTAAACAATAACATAACTAAATAATTAAGCCGCGACGACTACAACTGTATATTTATCAAATATTTTCGGCTGGAAACATTCGAGGTTTGGTGCAAGTGTATTTAAAATGATATGACTATGCAAACTGATCGACGATATAGAAATCCTGAGGCAGCAGATTTTCAAAAGGAAAAAAACTCGTAGTCGAATCAGATTTCTTCATAGTCGTAGCGAATAGAAAGCTCCGAAATATTAAAGTAACAGCGGAATATATCATATTTCCCTGTATAGGCAAAGAATTAACAGTTATTCTGCGAACTCCAGTCGTATATGAGCTGATAGCTATCGGCCATATACGACGAGAGTGAGCAGAATAACTGTTTTATTATATACACAAACTTTGTTCGCTCTTTCGGTGCATTTTGGTGTGCTAGGATCAACTAAAGCTTGGATTTCTATTTCACTCAACTCCCCAAATCCTTCAGCCATTTTGTTTACTTTCTCTACTAGACAGATATGAGCTAATATCTGTCTAGTAGCCAACCAATGAAATTGCAGCATACCTCATATCTGGCGCTTGTGATCTAAAACTTAAGGGCGGTTTTCCGCCAGGCGGAATTTTTCGACGGAACGAAATTTTTCGTGGGATATTCTTTTTAATTGCGAGAATTCGACCGTAGCGGATTTCCTTTTCCGGTCAACATTCCCTTGACCGGAAAGAAAGTCGAGCGAAAAATTTCGTTCGATCGAAAATCCAGTAACAATTTACAATTCCAGTAGAGACAACAAACCAACAAGTAGAGAAAACAAACCACAGCTACATTCCCTTTCTACTTTGTAGCAGTAAAATTCCTGAGTCTTCGTGAGTCGATTTTTGACCTTAGGGAACCCGGAGTGAACTCAATGTGAACTTAAACGCTGAATATGCCGCCATCATTAACGAATTAATTTTGGGGTTAATAGCTTTATGATCATATTTTTCTCGGTGTCAACTAGCCTCAGAGAAGGGATTGGGGGGGGGGCGGTCTAAGTTTGGTAATCACATTATTTGCGCTAATACCACTGAGCTATAACATTGAGCTGAATGCTAATAGCAAGAATTACCCCATTACTCGAGAATATGTCTAGTAGAAGGTAACCCACACCACAATACGGCGGCGTTAAATGCAAACAATCGTGGTAGGGGAAAAGATCAGGTCTGCCAGATTACAGAATAAATAAATAACCAAAATTTCAAACAAAGAAGACAAATTTTATGGTATTAATATTTGGCTCATTTTTTTCGGTATTCTAGTAACCCTTGGAAGAGAGGGCCTAAACGTGTTTCAAATCAGCAATATTAGTTGATGTTTGGAAGAGTTTTGTATAACTAAAGTGACCTTGCAGCCGTTGCTGGTGAAATTCTCTTTTGAGGTTTTGAGACTGAATTCCTTTCGCAATTACCGCCCTCTGCTCTGACCCTGTGTGATCATAGGACCAAATGTCAACACTGGAATCGCAAAAGGAATCGCAAAAGGAATCGCAAAAGGAATCGCAAAAGGATTCTCAAAGGCGGGGTCTATCTCTAAAACTAACGCCCCCACTGCATAGATATTTCTTTTTTAAAAAAAAATTATTTTGTTCAAGTAATAAATGTTTAATTGAAACAATATAGTTTATTTTAAGATACTAGGTTTTTTATGCTGAGCAATGTTCAGAATTGGTTTTATCCTTTCAACGAGGACATACCAGCCTTCATGATCTCGTCCACCAAAAGGAGGTTTGTCGCGATCACGGTACTAATAAGAATGGAACAAGGAATACTTATGTTGGTGAAAGACACGGTTGTACTATTCAAAAGCGCAATTTTCCAACCCAATGACAGATTCGAAAACTAACCACCAAAATCTTTTTATCTTTATTTTATTTTTCATGAGGTAAGAAACCCAATTTGGCCTTCATTTGATGAGGTGAGAATATCCAATTTAGACAAAGACTATTGCGAAACTGTACGAGTTTAAGGGTTAAAAAATACTTGCAGTTGAAATAGAGTGAAACTTTTAGATGAAATGTTTTCACACCAGATCTAGCAGCTTAGGTAACATTGGTAGATTTCCCAAATAAAATACATGGTTTTATATAAGTTTATATTTTGTAATGGTACCCTTTAAGGCAGCAGTTATATTCACCTTTATAGGTCTTTAGAATCGGTCTAGCATAATATTGCATAGAAAGATAAATAACTCACGAAGAAAGAAGTTGCGGGAATTTATGAAAGAATTATAGAAGAATTTGGATTTAACTGTATAATGAAGGGGTGTTTCGTGGAGGGTAACTTATTCATTTTTTGACGTGTCTCGATATCTCGCGTAAAATAGGACAAAGCCAATTCGATATTTGAAGCTAGATTTATAAAAGGTATGAGCTATATACAAATTTTCCCTTCTTACTAACAGCGGTTGCAAAAAGTGTCGGTAACATAGATCGAGAATTGAGATTCTAAATCTAAGCGAAAAGTGATTCTAACAATTCTAACCAAATATCCTAATACATAATGGTAATCTTAATCATATTCCAATCGGTAATATTAATCATAATCCAATCAGCAATCTCAATCATAATGCAATCGGTAATCTTAATCATAATCCAATCAGTAATCCTAATCATACTCCAATCAGTAATCCTAATCATAATCCAATCAATAATCGTGAAACGTAAACGCCGGTTAACGCTTTTGAAATAACTTCCCCTAATTGGGGACGATTCTCTCGCCTAAACAAATATCTCCGTTATTTAAAAACCGGATGCTATATAATTGCAGTTGAAGAGAAAACTCGGACAAAATATTACTGCAAATTTGCTATTTCCGAATACTTTAATAATGCACTACCTTGATTCACTTACACCTGCGAAAAAGTCTTTCCGGTACCCCACCAGAGGGCAAAAAGTATCATTTTCCGTCAAGCACTTTTACGTTTATTATTTTTCTATGCATGCCTTTGCATTCTACAAACAATGCTATTTATAGAATTTGGGTTTTGGTCGAACGTCAAGGGTAGATTTTATTTCACAATTTACCATAGACTCAAACGACCGTTTTTCATATCAGTAGTTTCCAAATCAGACTATAAAAGTACAAAAGCTTTAAAGTAAAGAAAAATGCACTTATTTCAGACTCCCCTATACTTCGCCCAATAAAAAAATGCCACTAAAATAAACCCTCGACTTCACACTAGACTTTGCCGGTCGATAATTTTAACTGAAAGCACTCGTTTCTTTCATCGCTCTTTGTAAATTATATTCAACGGAAATAGAAAAATTGGCCGGCGCGTGTTTACCCTCATTGAAGCCTGGAACGAGAAATATGATTGGCCTATTCATCGCATTTTCAAACAAACGACCGGATATGCGCTGAACGAACTTTATAGACAAGCATAATGACGTATCAAGCTGCGACGCCTGCAGGGAATTCTGGTTTTAGTAGTCACGGCGAAAAATTCGAACTTCAAAATTTCCCGCCGTGACTATTAAGACCAGAATTCCCTGCAGGTGTTACGTCAGGCTTGTTACGTCATTATGTATAAGGTCTATTTAACCCCTCTTTAAGCAAACAACGGGGGAGCAAGACGCATTTTGTACTCATAGCCGTATTATACAAGTCCTGCCGTTAAGCTCTTCATTCTCAACACTCGCACAGCGTTAAGTATTGTAGTATTTTCTTTTGAATTGAGAGCGGTCAAGTCTTTTAAAATTCCAAAGAAAATATGCGAAAATTGAAAATATTTCGTCAGCGAACTATTTCTCCGCAAGCGGAAGGATATACAACTTCTAAGAAGACTAATTCTTACTTACCAAGAATGCAGTAGTTGCCTTTTAACGTTGTAATTATCCCAAACGCCAAGATCAGCTGGAATAAAGGCTTCGCCAGTACTAAGGTCAACACCGACAGGTTTACCAATATCTGAATATTCCTCCTGAAAACACGATCAAAAAACGATGAAGTACTATTATAAACGCGCGAAGAACTACTCGTATTTTATGCAGCCTAAAAACTTCCATTATTTCCGGAAAATTTTTTGTCGAAAACCACATTCTTTCATTCCTGGGAATTAAGTTAATAGACATTTTTATTTTCGCATGCACGAATCGAGTCGTAATAAATTCAAATTTGCTTTGTTTTGAATTTAATTGGGAAAGGTTCGATTCGACCTTGCACTATTTTTTTTTGAGTGAGTGAATATTAAAAACAGAAAAAAGGTGTCATTAGAAAGCTTTACGAGTTAATACGACAAAAGGAATATCTCGTAATATATCCGTTTTGGTTTTTTTAGACACCTGCATATACGTAAGTTCATCATAATTTGTGAATTAATGTATAATTATATTTTTTAAAATTTTATTTCCCTTTTGGTAAAATAGATAAGTAGGAAGAGGTTTCTCTTTCAACACTTTAATATATATATGTAGTAAATGCAACTGAGTTATATAATGCCTGGATAAATAAATCGTACCTGTAGTTTGACAATAACCTCTTGTGGATCATGGCCAGAATTTTGGGCAAGAACTTTTGGAATGACAAGGAATGCGTCCGCAAAGGCCTAAAGAACAAAATAACTGACTTTGTATATATACTTATTTTAAGGTTTTATATATATCTATACATGTATAAATGCGTTTAGCTTACGAAATACTAGAGAGCGCATGCTCAATACTGAATAGATAAAGGTATTGCTTATACCAAAACCCCCGTCCACTATAGTCTGTTTCATCCGCATAGGAATCTACAGGTGGTTTTCAAACCTATATGTGTATCCTTTCTAAGGATATAAAAATAGTTTTGAAAACAGTTTATATTCTTGACCACCTCGTGGACGATTGTTAGTAAGCAATATAATATCTTGCTTACAATATATATTATTTCCATTTCTTATAATCTGTTCACATGCCCCTTAATTTCCGAGTTTGAACAAAGATAAAATGAAGATTATTTTTGAAGTATTGAATCAAGCGATTTGAGAGTAATTTGGTAAAATAACATGATCTAGCGGTAGCCAAATCTTAATTGCATGGCCATTCTCTATTTATTATTAAGACAAACTGCAGGTTTCCCAGAAGCTTCTTTCCATACTGGCAAGGGCGGGATCATGTAAACAGCATATAAATAACAAGACCAGTCAGAGAAGATCTGTCCCAGATTTTCTTCAGATCTGGATATAGCGGCCATTTCCTGCATGTGAACATGCACTATTAATATGGCCGGTATTGCTGATGAGTTATATATGATATTTAACAGTTATTCTGCGAACTCGAGTCGTATATGAGCTGATAGCCGACGAGGCACGTAGTTTTATTGTATACACAAACTTTGTCGCCCTTTCGTTGCATTTTGGTGTGCTATTATCAACTAAAGCTTGGATTTCTATTTCACTCAACTCCCCAAATCTTTCAGCTATTTTGTTTACTTTCTCTACTAGACAGATATGAGCTAATATCTGTCTAGTAGCCAACCAATGAAATTGCAGCATACCTCATATCTGGCGCTTGTGTATAAAATAATACAAATTAGTCGGTATACGGCTTTCGTATGACCTAATTCATCGGCGATGCTCTATGATCAATGCATATAGTCGCGTTTCTCTGGTTTTTTTCTTTCTTTTTTTCTAGTTTTTTTCTGCGGTGATGATGCAATTCGGGTTGATAATTCCTTTGGAAAGACAAAACATCTTGCCTGTGAACAGCTAATGAGGTCACAGCAATATACGCCTGAAGTCTGATAGTCTACTTTTCAAAACGTTTAGCTTTTTGAAAAGATGTGAAAATCTATTTCCTCAACAACATAAAACACTTGTAATTAATATTCCCAACATTAATTTGTTGGTTAAAAAAGGTAAAAATAGCTGATATTTTCCCCAAAATTCAACCAGTGACAAATTTTAATGAGAAACCACCGTGAAAATATGCGAATGAAAAAAGCTATGAAAAATGCTAGTTTCCACTCAGGGAATTCTCCTTTGGATCAAACAGGACAGGAAAGTTTCCTTTGTATAAACGCCACCCGAGAACTCACCGACAAAGGAAATTTTCCTGTCCGTTCCGATTCAAAGGAGATTTTTCCTGAGTGGAAACTAGCCTTAAGGTGTCATTCCAGTGCAGGACTGATGTTAAATTTACCAGAAATAACTTTCAAAATACGATATTCAAAAATAGAGTCTAAACTGTCGTATGTTTACGAAATAGGGGTCCGTCTAGACAAGTGAAAATAGGCCGTTGCGAACTACCATGCAGTTCGTATATAAACAGTCAAAATTGTTTGTAGGCCGCGTGGCTATTGACTGTTTACCATTATACACTCGTTTTGCCCGCGTGGGTGGATTTTTCATATAAGTAAAATTTAAAGTTATTCAGCTACTATAATCTTCTATAAGCAGCGGGCGTTACTTTTCAAAATGATATCAAAAATATGTACAGCTTAGTTTCGTTCTTAGTTTTAACACCATATATATAGACACATAATTCGTTCGGATATATTTAGTTCTTCGGATTAGGAGTAAAACCACGACTACAGTGCATGACTTTGTGAACAGACGCATAACTTTCGCAATTTTATGAGACGTTTAGTCGATGGTAATTCGTCGAACTGCATAATATGCGACTATATCTGTAAGTGGGCACCAACAAATATTAGTCACTTTCACTCTTTTTTCAAACTATTGCCTGGTTGGAGTTGTGACAAATTGTCTGACTATGGAAGTCAAAGCATGAAGGCTGGACTAAGGTGTCGAAAACCGGTAGAACTGACTTTTCAAATCCGATTAAAATGTTGCCGTTCGCGATAAGCGGCTTGTGACGGACGCCAAACTTCTTATTATCAATAAACCTTCTGTTAACGTGGACATGGGGCAGTCATGCCACCAGAGCTTTTCCTGTTGGAAAGCCAATATATTCGCAATTTATGGAAACTAGAGATTTTCTATTGTTTGTAACGTAAATATCGTCGCTGGGGCTGCTATCACAGCTGCTTCAATTTTCTTAGAAATCTACATAGCTACATTCAATATTGCGAGTTGAGCGATTTTAAGCTCATAGTATAGAGTGATGCCTCATTCAGTAACAAAAATGTTTAAAATCAAAGACAATCAATGGACGACTTGCGCTTAAGACTGATTTTTGATCGAAGTAATAAGAGAAAAATAAATAACCACAACAAGAAAGAGCATACTAAAATGAGTGGAAATGCAAAGTTCAGTTTGAATGCGGAAAATACAGCCATGCGAAGTTGCCAAATTTGTAACTAAATTAGTTACACACTATACTGCTATCTTATAAAAGTGATAACTTATAAAAGTTATAAGTGATAACATTATTTATCGTCCCGTGACAAAGGTATTGTGTATATTGTCGTTTTAAAACTTCGCCAACATTTATCGTCCCCCCCCCCGAGTCCCACATCATATTGGTGCTTTATGATAGTGACAACTCCGGAAACGTTAATTTCCCTTCCCCCCAACACACACAGGTACACATCATATTTGTGTTTTATATATTTAATATTATAACTCTGGTGGCAACAATTGTCTCCCCACCTCCCCCCCCCCGCCGCATACATTGATAATTTCATAGAAATTTCAATAAATAGTTTAAAATCTTCTTTGCAACAATCTCGTTTGGCAAGTCATAACACGGTGATGGCACATGAGCGCGAGAGGTCCTTGCTTTTACTCTTTCGTGAAATGAAATGAATTACATCGAGTTCTATTACTTCTCAGTTCCTTTTGTTTCGTTTTCCTTCACCGAAAGCTAGTTTTTCGCTCTTAATGGCAAGAATACGGCCATAATCTTTAATTGTTCTTAAGAGCTTTGAGATTTAAATGCGTTATACAACATTTTTAAGTTGCTCTGAGCACTTCGACGCCGGCGACGCACATTTTGTCCGCAATGTTTCGCTAAACAATCCCATTTCCACGTGATGCATTCGTTACAACTCTTGATGCTGACACACAGTTTCATACAGTCCACAAAATATATATGGCATTTCATAAAATAGCAATTATCTGCTTCGACCGCCCCGGGAAATGAGGTAAACACGAACAGGGTGACAATAACAGCAGCGAAAATCGTTGAAGTTTTCATTCTGTAAACATAATAGAGACTAAAGTTTAGCTTGACAATAGAATTCAAAAAACAACAGTGTTTTAAATTACATTTCCTGTCCATTGTGTGTAGCGTTTTCCCGTATAGATAAGAGAAAACATCCGCCTTTCTCAGATACACAAACAACTAAAAGCCCTTCGTAGAAGACCAGAAGCCCCCGGTTAACGCTACGTCAAGTAATCTTACAGATCTTTTATCGTTTCAATTATGTGATTGTTATCGGCAGAACATCTCCGTAGGACGTAAACCACTTATATTGATAACATACGTCTTCAACAAATTATTCCAACGTTCCTCTTACTGTCTAATTGTTTACACGGCGTAAAGTGTCAAGCACACTATTTTTCAGTGAAACAGGGCCTATCTTTATGAACGCAAAGCCGATGGCAATGATATTCATTTTGGTTTAAAAAATTGACGACGCAAAGTTCTCTTTTTTTCAATGCGTTTTTTTGCATGGGCTTCCCTGGATTTGGTTTCATGAATATGAACTTTAATGCGACATTCACACCTTAACACCCACGTCGCTTGCGTGAACACAATGAAGCGGCAAGAGTGATGTGGTTTTAGTTGCGATCGAAACACTAGATCATCGCCCACGCCAGTTTAGGTATCTATTACCAAACAGGTAGCAAGCAACCCACGGGCCACTATCAAATGATCACTTCCTATCTTTTTCACATACAGCGCTATCTTGCAGTTAAGCGCAAAAACGATTGGAAATTTGACGACGAAATGCTCGGATGAGCAACAACGAACATTAAACACTCTTGCATGCTTCCATTCAATTTTTATGTTTTTTCTTCGCTTCAACTACCGGATAGCCCCATCTTAGCGCTCCGACATTAGATATAGCGTGCTTAGGGAAATATCAATCTGTCGACATTGCTTGAGCGTTATAAAACCGCGCAATAATAATGACAGCAAGTGGACGAAGCGCGAGAAAGATTTCCTTGAAGCGGACTGTGTAGAACACAATTTTATATGCTCGTATCCACTGTCTACCCTTTGATCGCCCGAGGAAGCCACTGTTCCTTGTCAACTTATACTTCTCGCGTTCAATAAAGTCTATTATTTCATTTAAACTCAAACCTATAACCCTTGCCGGTGTTGATTGAAAAGTAAACGACGTATCAAATAAACTTGAAAATACTCGATCGGATTGTGTTCAAGATGATAGACGACAGTATTTCGTCAAACATTTGATAAAAATAACACGCAATTTACCTGAATTCTTTGATACGATGAAGTTGTCGACGGATTTGAAGCGTCCCTTGGTGGTATACGTAGAAGTTCTGTAGTTCAAGATGAGCTAGTACCTTGTGATGAATGAAACTGGTCGGCGAAGGGTCCTTTTAAAGCGCAGCACGTGGAACTCAGCCAATTAAACAATAATAACGACAAAACAATCAGCTGCAAAACGGTTGGATAAAAAATGCGCGAGACA